AGTCTTTCCCGAATAACTCGACCTTATGAAGTGTCAATAGATCACTGTACCCAGCGAAGTTGAATACTCATTGCAGCCTCAGCGATCACATCTCAGGTCGGCTACGGCAGAGCCACGGTTTTAGTAGAACATTATTGTCTTGACTCAATTCGTTTGCAAAGACGAGAGAGATGACCGACATGTGCTATATCGAGAACATCATATCCAATAATTGGTCTGAACACAAGAAATGCAGTAGCACGCACTGAAAACCTCTTTCAAATTTCGCGAAGACGCCGTGGATGACTTGCTTGCTGGTGTCCATGTTTCTTATCGATCCATCGTTCTCGCTGTCTTGGGGCGTGGTGGTCGTTGGGCCGGCTCGCTGTAGGTATTCATGGCTTTAAATCGAACCCCGAGATTCTACCTATTTTCAAGAGTGCACACAGTCCACAGTCCTGAGTTCCAGGACAAATGCACTCGTAGTACAAGCCGAGAAGATTGCAATAATGGCAATGTGTCGCTCTCAAGCCGTCCTCGACACCTTGTTTTAGTGGCAATGCTCGATTCACAGTTTCAAAAATCATCATGCTACATGACGAACTCTCTGACTTCATCAAGTAGCTCCATGTTGGAAGCTGGGTTATACCTGCCAACCGTCAAATTCCAAACTCTGGAGGTCATAATCATCATGTTTGCCTCCAAGAGTACCACAGCCACGTTGGGGTCACCGACCTCGAATCTGAATTTATTATCTGCCTTCCTGAGCTTGGCAAATCAAGACGACCGATATCTTCACAGGTTGATCCGACATCTGCAAAGTTTTCAAGCTAAAATCGTCAACGACCTGGTATCCTGGACTCGTGTATAGCCAGCCCCTAGACATCCTCTGTATTCCTGACCTGCAGCCGGTGCACCACGGCCGCCACCCAGGACTTGCGAATCATAAGACCTGCCTGCTCCTCGGTATACTGGTCCAGATCCGAGAACCTGGCTAGTAGGTTCTCGATGGAGTCGAGGAGCCGCGTCGTTCCATCTTCCCCTTTCATGGGAGGACGGCGTTCTAAGCACAGGGGACTTTTCCGTAGATTACGGCACATCTGCAGCCCTTACAGTGTCTTGCGCTTAACCATGGTTGCCAATGTCATCCTCAAGGGCATGATATAGTCCTCTTGTGCCTCTTCTTCTGCCTTTGGTTGTTATCGTCACCAGATTGTTTCGGGTTTTGTCGTGGCTATTAAAGGGAACTGGCTCGCCAAGGGCAAGTTGAGACGAGGCGATGGCGAGACTTGCCGATGCGCCAGTATAAGACGTTCTATGATGTGCTAACCCCTGCTTAAGCACATACACAAGCCGTCTCTGGAAAATAGGCCTGATAATGCTTAACCATTCTTTGTATTGCGGCCTCCACCGCCGCTGTTGCAGCAAGGGCCGTGGCCTCCATGGCGGTGGTGGTGTTGCTGATGACGCTGTCTACCACCGCTGTACCTATCTTGGTGCCGGGGGTAGCCATTAATTAATACCTGTTACAGTGTTCTCGGTAGAGGGACCACCTGCTCAACATGTGAACGCCACGACCGTCAAGAGGGCATTGATTGATGTGCTGGCTGTCATGTTGCCGAGATCAAAGCTGAAAGGTTAGGGGCACTGGTATGAAGGTCGATCTAGTTCCGCTCAACTATGGACTCTTGGTGACCTATCGCACTGACCTTCTATTGTATGTGTGTAATTGCTGATTCTAGGCCAAGTGACGCTAGAAAAGAAGTGCCGAGCATGTAGAAGGCTTTTAATTCTGTATATTGTTCCCCTGGTATTGATGTGTATGTAATAATAGATGGATGAGTTCAGCCCGAGAAAGAAAGCGAAGGCTACCCCAGCCATATTTGGTTGGCGGTAGATGGATAGTGGAGGGAATAGCTAGGCTCGAACTATACTATAATATAGTTTAGCACTGCTCGGGCCTCTTTCCTACTCACTGCCACACGTTTTGTGTATTTGCAAGTGATCGTCAGCACTGCACTATAACCGCCATCAGAGAGCGCCGTGACTGCAAGGCAACGAGATGCTTGTTTTCATGAAGTTCGCTTCCAACAGCCGGAGAAACAACGATAACCTCGTGTTTCTTTGAAGACTCACAACCTCACAACCACCGTGTCGACATCATTTCAGTCGTCCACGAAGGCCTTTGGAATCCGAATGAACTCGAGCTGCTGAGGCTTGACTATTTGAGCTTATCTAGACCATGGCGTCTCTGAATCTGGCAGTCTGTTACGCCAAGCTGCTCTGGCGCTGTTCAATCTTCCACGGCCCAAGACGCTCGCAGGCTGCGTAAATTATCGGAACATGGGTCCAATCCAGCTATGAGGTACACATGGCAGAAAGGTCAATGAGCAAGCCATGCGGTGGATTTGAACTTATCTGTACGCCCTTCTCAGGTCCTGAAGACCTAGGCCCGTTGAAGAAAAACCATGAATATATCCAGTCCTCTCTCGCGGGCTATAGTGGGTGAACCTCACATAATCAGAAATGCGCCTAATCCAAGGCACTGAGTCAGCAGAGAAGCGCGCCGGTTGTCACACTTTTTGTGTGCAGGATCTGGTGCTCAGGTCGATGGGCTCAAGATATTGTCAGCCTATTATATTATGATAGTCTAGAATCAATGCCTTAGAGAACCGAGATTTTCAGGTCTTCAAGGTCGCTGAACTCTTTCGTCTGCGGCATCTGCCGCACAAGTCTTCGAGTAGGTCTAGAATATGCCTCACATCGTTGCCTCCGAAGCATTTTCCCCACACTTCGCCCTTGCTGTCACGTACCAGTGCTCCAGGATCGCCAGCGTCGATCACACCGTGACTGATGCATGAGTCAGTGATAATCTCACAAGAAGCGAAGCTGGTTCAGTGACCACTGCATCTGTCTGCACTAGATCATATAGACCGCCGTTCATTAAATTGAGTGATTGACGGGACCTTGGAGTACTGTATGATCAACTGACGACGTTGTTAGGGATAATTCTCCTTGACAAGAAGGATCTCACTTTGCTAGGTGTCTGCTGTAAAGTGCTTTCACCAAGTTCTCCGGGGCAAAGGCGATAGCTCTCAGAGTAGATGCGAGCCTTATCCGGATCCAGGCAACAGTTCTCATATCTGGCGGCACCACACATTCGGTCCACCTTCTCAAACCCAAGCAGCACCGCGACATCAATCGGGATTGTTCTTCGCAAATCCCCATGTCTGGATTGATTTCATCTTTCTGTTATATGAGTGGTCCAGCGTATCGCATCTATAGGATAGGCTGGGTGTCGCAGACGCGTAATGGCAACCGCAATTTCTCGCTGAGCACCGCGGAGTGATATTCCGGGAGGACAAACCAAGTGATACACAGGGATACTGAGTCGTAGAGAATTTGCTCGTGTAGATTATTGTGCGGGTTGGCCTGCCACATTAACAATGCGGTGGGTATGGGACGCCTCGCCTCCGCATAGAATATGCCATCCTAATCAGTAAAATGCTTCCTTCAATAGGTTTGCCGCATTTCCTGATGCTATTGCTTGCTAGAAAACGCAATGCATCTTTGCTAGCAAGACACAACAGCTGGGCATCCAGGATCCCACTTGTCAGGGATCGACAGCCTCAATTGAGCTCGCGAGCAAGATCCAGCTGTCCCGTGTGCGCAAGGTAGCACACGATCTCTTCTAAGGTCTTCGACCAATGCTCGGCTCGACACCAGACGCCCTCAAGATTATACCGATCCGGTCTCTTGTAATATTGGCTGTCACATCTGGATCCTATCTGTATTAGAAAAGGTTCTGTGCTCAAGATCCAGAATAGAGATTCAGGTTGGGTTTTTGAGGACTTGAACGCGTTAACCTGCGGTGGTCAAAGCATAGCGATCCTTGAGCTTAAGCACCCACACATCCCAAGCGCGATTGGAACCATCGGGAGCAAATTGAATAATGTGTACTCCCCATGTGCACATGAAAAAGACGTTTCACCCGTTCTCAATACGATGATCACGAAGCAGGCGAGCAAGGATTGTCTTTCCGCTCGCAGGAGTGCCCCGAGCATGGATAACTAGATTTGGATGTGATGATGTCGGCAAGTACCGAAAATGTGTCCTGTCGAGGACAGAGGTTCGGGTCCTGCGCCTTAGGCGTGGCTATGACCGCTGAGACCTCGGGGTTTGGACTGTCTAGTATATTCTAGAGTTATATTAGGGTCACAATCGGAAAGCCTGGTATAACCCGACCAGAGTGCCAGGAAGGTCATAATACAACAAGTGCTTGATGTTTCCGTGTGCTAGGACATGCGAGGATAGAGGATCTGTAGCTCTAGGTACCATGTCGATCATCACGGCGAGAGGATGTGCATCGCAATAGAAGAGAGGGAAGAGCGACTCTCGTGCCCGGGATCTAATAGAGTATTGGACCCAGAGTTCATATCTCGTTGGTCGAATTTGTAGTGCTCGACGAAAATCATTGAACCTTCTCGTATTATCGCAATGCGTGTGACAGCTTCATGCCACATTGGATGGTCACGAGAACATGCCCAATCATCTGAGCTTGGTGGCAAATGTGAAGTGCGGGAATTGGCTCCCCGCTCAAGGCATCATATCGCAACTCTTGTACTCAGGGAAGCTGATTAACCTGTAGAAGCGCAAGAACAATTCCCAGCCCTTCAATTGTTTCTCTGTACGATTCCCTACCCTTGTCTGGCGGGACGGCGCTGTGGCTGCAGACGAGGCGTCCGCGGTTTGTACAGTACAGTACTTAACGTACTCGTCGCGGTAGATGCGAGACAGACCACATCTTCAAGTGCATCGTCAACCAGTGACTACGATAGGCAACCAACCACGTCAGCCTTGCCAGAAAACAGTGACGCGAGAAACTTACTGGCGTGCACCCACCGGCTCCGCGCTTGTGCATGCGGCAGCGCGAACAGTAGGTCTCCCCCACCGCCGAAGCGACGAGGGGTCACGCCAACCCTGAACGCGCAGTGGGAGCAAAACGCACATGTACGCTATCAGAAATATGCCCAGTCCAAGGCTCTGAATTGACCTTGGCTAGGACGATGGCATACTTCGGGGGATGCTGCGTCTGCTTTGCAGGGGCTTGACCCTCGCGTTTCGCGCTGCCCAAATGATGTGACTGGAGCTTGGACGGTTTGATTGCCTGCGTCTGATCTGCAGGGACATCATTGCGCTTCGCGCTGCCCAAAGGATGTGACTGGAGCTTGGACGTTTCAATTGCCTGCGTCTGCGTTGCAGGGACATCATTGCGCTTCGCGCTGCCCAAAGGATGTGACTGGAGCTTGGACGGTTTGATTGCCTGCGTCTGATCTGCAGGGACATCATTGCGCTTCGCGCTGCCCGAAGGACGTGACTCGAGCTTGCCGCTTGCCTAGTTGACTTGGTCGTTTTCCAAATATCTGGGTGCGTCTCGCGTGCGGTGCAGTGCGAACCATCACGCTCTGTGCTCATTCGAGATTCCGTGAGCCCGCCGCGGTATGATGGGACGTTCAGGTGGCTTGTGAGAGGCACCGTGTAGTCTTTTGCCTTGACATGTTGGAGCAGACCATGGGTTAGCTGAGGGTATAGCAGGCGGAAGTATCGCCGCCGACCTTTGTAGGTAAGATATAGCGCAAGGTGCATCAAACCTCAGTCTCGTTTGATTCTCAATATGGGTTTTGGCTCGAACTTCGGCGGGCCACCACCGATCGAATGCACAGATCCTTCTGAAGGGTGTCTGCTCTAGCTAGATCAGAGACTAGTTGACCCCGCGGGCCTTGTTATCCAGGATAGAGTCAATTTTCAACACCAAACGGTATCCACCACGATCCAGTGCTTCTCGCGTGCTATCATGGTCAGGAGATTTCCGTATTCCCATTTGGAAACCTCCGTATGATTTCAATCACTCCATCTTTGTGGAGACCAGACTTTATCATATTGTAGAGCTCACGTTGGAGGGGTGATATATGATATTCTAGCACGCGAGTGTCAGGTCGACGCCGAAATAATCGAATGCAGCGGGCCTACATACCTCATATTGTGGACTTCCCACAGCCATTCAGGCCACTAAAGGGCCTCCGAGGCTACCTCCGCAGAAACGCCTTCGTACACGACGTCAGTAGGAGGACATTTGCTAAAGTCACAGAACCGTTCTTAAGTATCATAAAGCAGATACTCCACCGACGGAGATGCGTCGATGGCGATACCCGAGATGGCATGTGGATCAATCGGCATGCATAAGCTTTGACAAGGGTGATCGATCTCAAAGCCAGCCGCAAAACCGAGGGAATACCCAGAAGGTACCGCGCACGTACAAATTGCCATGCGATTGTTACACTGCAGTGTGAGATGAATCGAAGTCGGATTCATGTGGTTCAGCCATTGCTGCGTTCCGCGCTCCATGAAAGAATGCCCCTAGCAAACTCTCATGCAGACAAGAGATGCCATCAATGGCAAATACCCCCACCCCAGGGTCCAGGTGCATTGAAAGACCCTGTACGGGCTGCTCCGAAGTTAAGTCTGAAACACCACTATCCCAACACAGCAGTCAGAAGCACCAGCCTGGCAGGTAGAAATTCCGCTTTGTAGCTCCTATTGGAGCATTGTCCAAGCTGCATATCGAGACACAGGACAAGAAGTCTGCCAGTGCCCAATAACTGAGGCACTGTACTCCAATCCAATGGGTCGCTTCCATGTAATCGGAACGAATGACAAGACAGCCCAATAAATAAGGCCGTAAGTCAGTGTGGCACTGTATTTGGGAGTCAGATACCTATAATCCGGGTCAGTCACTTTGTCATACGCTTGCAGAAAGCTCACACGCACCAGAAGCAAACCACTGCTTATTAAGACGATAGAAGTGGAATTGATCGCCATCTGACAAGAGACCAAAGAGCGGTCGAGCAGGTTTGCCCGCAGCTTGCTGGTCGTTCTGGCAGCAGTTGAAGATGTTCCGGATATTTCCCGGAAGTGATGCCTACTTCCGCATGTACCCCAAGAATTGGCCTCAATCACAACAAGGTGCTTCCAGACATCGTCTCTGTCGCCGAGATCGAAAATATGATAGCAATAAGGACAAAAGATCAACAAGCAGTGCTCGATACGTTGGTGTATCGATACTAGTCTAGCCAAGCTCCTAGAGATAGGGCAGAATGACAATTCCATCTCACGCTGGGGGCTCAGAAAAGCAATGCCCTAGTCGTTGCCCAGGACAGCCACGCGACATGTGCTTGGCGACGGACGTGAATATCCAATCTATGGTCGGGATTCCCAATCATGAAGGCATAGATATGACCCCGCAGAAAGCCAAGAATACCGAGGTACCGCGGGGCAAGCAAAACGCAGACGCTTAGACAGTCCTCCGCAACCGCAGCCAGCGTTGGCAATCTCATGGACACCAATTCCTGCATCGACAGCAATTCCCCTCGAAGGAGGCATCCCGAGCAGCAGCTGAACACGCACGGCTCGAAAGCACCGACGCAGCACACGCCACCTTGACGAGGTGGTGCTCGTCATTGCCGTTTCCAGGAGCAAAGGGCTAACAAGAAGACTCAAAGAAAAAGAATAACATCGAAAAGTCGAGGACCGTGAGTATGACAGCGGTCATCACATCTCGCCACTTTTTTGGGGGTCCGTTGCGCTGCCTTGGATGTTCTCAGCTCTATCACTGCATTAGCACGCAAATCAAACTTCCGGAATAGCGCACGCACCTGATTCTGGCATTCCGCTCAACAGCCACGACGCAGCTATTCCTGGTTGAGCTGATCGCAGAGCCGCAGCTTGAGCGCTCGTGGCCCAGCCAGAACCAGACGGAGTGCAAGTTCCACAGTGGGAGGGGCTTAATCGCTCTGGAGGGATACCTCTGTCCTCCCTGATATGCCAAGACTGGGTCGATGGTAGAAAGCCTCGATTGTCTGTGGACATGAGGTAGGTTAGGTAGGATAACCTATGATACTTTTCGAAGGCAGATGGACTGAAGAAAGGGACATGACAGCACAGCGCAAATAGCTCTTCAACACGAAAGAAACAGTGGGATGTTTCTGGATCCTTGTTTCTCGACAAGAGATCTCTGCATGGTTCAAAATCCGCAGTGCTTAAGAGTGATCCTTCGAGGTGGGAAACAAGTTTGGATCATGGGGAATCAGAAGACTAGCTAGGAGATTGAGCACCAAAGATCTGTTCGCGGCGGTTGAATGTCGCCATGATCCAGGTAATCGCATTTGCCTTGAGATGTAGAAGAAGATTGCAGAAACATAATATTGAAGCAGGATGTGGAGACAGGATGTAGAAGAATAGAGAACTGGGTATAGAAGACTTGATGTATCACCAGGATGTAGTAACCAAGATGTAGAAGCCAAGATATAGAAGCCACAATGTAGAAACAGGCAGGACATGAAAACAGAAGTAGTTGAAGATAGGAAAGACGACAGTTGAGAAGAAGAAAGTGGAAAAGAAACTGAGGAGGAGGAAGATTTTATGATAGACCAGTCGGGCTGACCAGATGGTAGTTAATTTCCACGAAGCTAAGAGTGTGAATATGGTCTATTGAATTCTACATTCACAGACTGGGAGTATTCATCTTTTGTGGAAGCTGCTGAAGTATATTCACTCACAAGAAGACCATATTGACTGGATTCCATGGCAGGGTCTGTCCATCTTTGATACTTGTCTTCACTATGTAGCATGTGCCTCATTCTTTCACCCTTAAATTGAACGATGTTCTATCCTACCTAGCATTAGTTTCTCAAGACGAATGGGATCATCAGGGGAAGGAAAAACTTAACCATATGGATGCGCATGACAGGCTAGATCGCCAAAATTGATCCGAGGTCCCGAACAATATTTGCCACCGTAAATCCGTTGCGCGATGCCATCCGCGGATTGCATAATAGTAAGATTTCCACTCTACGTGTATAGACAGACATGATTGATGATCCAAAAACTATAAATTATGAGTCTATTATGATTATGAAACACCTGCAAACACTATGCCAACGCTGTATATCATGGCTCATATCAAATCCGAAATGCTCCCAAATGCTGGTACCTTAGACAAATGAATATGCAAACCAAAAGTCCACACCCACAAACAAGGACTCAAACCCCTTCAATAACAATCCTCCCTTCTAATCGCGGAGAGATCCCCGGCGTCCAGTTCGGGGTGAACCCGCCGAGCTCTTCGGAATCGTTGATCGGAGATGGCTGCAACCCGGCCTTGCGCATCCAGAGCCGAGTCACCTTGCGGGCAAGCCGCAGACGACGTTCCTCCTCCGTAGCCGACTTAGCCGGGTGAGTGACATAATTAGTGATCGGCTGTGGCGACGTCAAAACCTCGGGGTCGGTGTCGGAATCCGAATCCAGCGACGCCTGGTCAGATCTCTCTGACTCGGATGAGTCGCTGGGGGAATAGCGTCCGTAGTAGTATTTCTGCTTCGTGCGATTCAAGGTAGGCCGCTGGACGTGGTAGGGCACTTTCTCCGAGGACGGTGAAGTCTGGCTCGAAGGGGCCTTCAGCCATTCGTCCCTGTGCAGGTTCTTGTGCACTGTGCCCCAGTGGCGCGTCAGGCTCTGGCTCCATCGCTGCCACTTCCCTAGGACTTTCAGACTAAGGAAGTACTGGCGGAGCAGGGTGCTGATGAGGATGCCGCTTTCCTCGTCGACCACCTCTTCCACTTCGCCACCCTCTGACTGCACGAGCAGTGACGCAAAGCCGTCTTTGCCACGGCCCATATAGCCGCGGGTGGCAAGCAGGTAGCTTTGGCCAAAGTCAATGGGCTGTCCACCGATCTTGGCCCAGTTGATCCGCGAGCCGGGCGGCGAAGATGGATTATAGCTGAATGAGATGTTCGACACCTGCGGGAACCGCCCCTCCAACGCGGGAAGCTGACTGACTCCATTCTCCAGGGCATCAAAGAGCGCCTGGCCCTTGATGCGAAGGAGAACGACAGGGTCCTCGAAAGGAAAGCAGTTGAGAATATCTTTCACCTTCAACACTCCTGGCTGGTAGATCTGATCGCCACGAATCGTCCCCCCAGCCATCATCGCGCAGTCGGCGCCATAGTAGAACCGCATGAGATCGCATGCGAAATTCCCGAGATTCGACTCCCGCTGACGCACGGTCGAAAACCGGCCGTCCAGCGGCCGCGTAGTGTATCCGATGGGCTTCTCCAGCTTAGCCTTCAAACTCGACGTCAACCGACCGACCATGGCACGGGCGGACGGGTCCTCCGGAATGGATCGAACCAAGTCTCTGCGCACGATGTCGAAGTCCCATCCCGCGCCGTCCGCCCTGCGCCAGGCTTCCAGATAGCTCAACTGCTTGAAGTCGGTACCCGACCGGAGAATATGCACCCCGTTGACCACCGCATGCGCATAGAAGTGGTCGTGACCCCCCAAGATAATATCCACCAGCCCCGGGGTCAGATTCTCGGCCAACTTATAATCATTCGGTTCGCGTTGATGGGTGACAGCGACGACGATATCGGCCCCTTGCTCGCGCAGCCGGGGCGCAAGCTCCAGCGCCGTCTTCGACGCCGATTTGTAAATGAGATCCGGCGGGAGGGCGTTGATCGTGCCCAACCTAAATCAGTGAAACATGCAACATGTCAGCAAATCTGACCTCTCAAGTAGCGGTGTATGTGTGCGGGATGCCAACGTACCATTCCCTCTCCCCAAGTCCAATCACCCCGACCTTAAGCCCATTCGATGCGGTCAGCATCACGGTCTTCTCACAGTCAGCGATAGGGACATCCTCCCCCAGCGCTGGATCGATAACATTGGCTAATAACCAGGGGAACTGGCATTGTGTGCGTAGATGGCGGAATTGCGTTACTCCAAAATCGAGATCGTGGTTCTAAACACGGCAGGTGAGTTGTCAGCTTATCTCGTATTACACCACCCTCCAAACTTGCCAGCCCATCTTCAAACACCCCCCAGAACAACATGGAAAGTAAACATACCCCAACACAAGCAACATCCGTCCCAATCTTATTCAAAAACGGCACCATATGCTTGCCCTTCGTAACCGAACTCTCCAGACTCGGGTTGTAGGCATCGCCGGAGAAGAAGGTAAGCACGCCGGGTTGGCCGGCAAAGGCGGGATCGGAACGATAGTAGTTAACGACAGACTGGAAGCGCGGGACGCCTCCTACGGGCTCGGCGGAACCGGGTCTGTGGCGATAGTCGGATGGTTAGCAACATGATCTCTGTGGTAAGGGCTTTTACCCCCAAGGTGTAATGCGAACTTACTCTACGTGGTAGACATCATTGTAGTGAATCAATCGGAGATCCGGCGGGCCGGTTCGGCCACTAGTATGGATGACGGAGAACCCGTCGTTTGCGACAGCTGACATGCCTTGATTGGGGAGGGATGTGTATATACAAACAGAGGTAGAGACAGACAAGAGAGAGTATTTCACAAGTCCAAGCACGGAGGGAAGGGTCAGAGAGTAGGAGAAAGAGAGAGGAGAGGAGATAAAGGGATGGACAAGAGGGAGGCTATGTGTACAAGTACCCCCCGTACGAGGACAAGGAATGGGCCCAGTGACGCAGTTACGCTGGGTCTGGCACCGCGCCAGGCACCAAGGCAGCCATGCAGGCACCCGGAAAATGCGGAGGTCGCCGGCCAATCACTCCACCACGATTGGGCACACCGGATCGACGCCGCGGTGGCGGAACTTGGACAAGACAAGCGGAGTCATTCTCAGGGCTCGCTGAATACTGGATCCCCAGTATCCGAGGATCCGGTTGTCCTCACAGCCTGCCTTCAATTGAGTCATCACATCGACAGAAGTCTGGCGCAGAGTTGACGGCATCCAAACAGAGTCGTAGTCTCCGCCACATTCTGCGACCACTCCATGTGACGGGTGATGATGTCGGGGTTCTACTATCGGTAAACACCGCCCCACATTCCCGCCCATCCTTGGAGTGATCACATGCCCGCGTCTGCTTATCAGCCCGTCAATAGCCCGATAACTTATCGCCTATCGATCAGCCACACTAGTGCTTCTAAAGATAGCCGATACGCAAGGGCGGTTTGGTCTCAATAATGAGTGAGCTCCCCCATACACGAGTTCTGACGGAGTTCCGGAGTATCTGTCCGTCCTCAACAACTACAGAGTCATCGGCCAGAATGAGCCCTGTCAGATTCGACGTCGCATTGCAGCTCGATAAGAACTCTAATTTGGAACCATCCCGCTCCAGCTGGATGCAATGCATTGCATGCGCTGACGTGTATTCCGCCGATTGCAATGACACGCTACATGGCATAAATAACCATTGTTGCCCAAGTCCGATTCTAACAACCTTGACATCGCCGACGAAACTTGCAGGAAGCAAGAGAATTCCACAGAACGGAAAAGAAAGAACAGGTGGCAAAACGAAATACAGCATTATGGAACAAGCAAAGTGCACTTCGTCTTCCACTCATCACAAAAAAGCCTGCACACTTTTTGCTCGTCCTCGGTCACATAGAGGGGGGTATATGGTCATAACATGGTAGGTTGGGGGTGGACAGACACAGTTGGATCTGCATCTGCCCACAGTCATCGGCTTATTTCATCAATCATTTCCATATCATGAGGCTGTGTCGGGCTCAAGCCCAGGAGGCCGTGGATCCAGCTGTGTCCGGATAGAGATTTTCAATCCACCGGTACAAATCCGTGCCGTCGTCAAGGGTGACAGTCTCGCCGTTGAGCCAATTGGTCGCCAGAACATCAGCGGGCAGGGTGGCAGGCATCGGGGCTGCGTTGACCGTCAAGACTCGATCCAGAATGTTGGAGATGACCTTCCGTGCACGCTGGCAGACATCGTACATGCCGTCGTGCGGGCGGACGACGTATTGGAGATGGGAGGCGAACACAGTGAGTTTCTGGATAACCTCCGATCGGCGGAACGGGGTGGCTTGGACCGGAGCCTGGGCTTCGGACTGACGAAGGAGCTCGATAGCTAAGACCCCGGCTGCAGGGAGACCAAAGGACGATGCCTGCAAGCTGTTAGCGCAGATTCATAGCAGAGAAAAGACATTGGCGATACTCACATTCCATCCGACATTGTAGGTGCCAGCCCTAGACCCGATTTCCTTCCCAATGAGCTCCAGAATGGTGCTCAGTATGTTTTGTGCCACACTGATCAAGCCCTCCCCACCGCTTTGAGTCCGCTTCACCAAAACGCGGTAAAGGAGGAAGTCATTGTAGAGAAAGTTCAAATACAGGGGCAGAAGCACACTGCTCGAACCGTTCGGGTCGGGCGAGCCAGGCCGCCAGCGAAGGAAGCTGGGCAGCTCGTTCCAAGTTTTGTGCGATTGCTGAGATACCTCCCTAAGCGTGCAACGTAAGCGATATGTCTTCAGTAGAGGCCGGGCCAATGCACTTACTGAACCTTGCGAGACAAATCGTCAATACGACGACTGAGCGACAGTTCGAGAATCTGCTCTCTCGTCGAGCCAATGAGCAGCGCAATCCGAAGCCACGCCGACTTCCCCACGACTCCCTGGGTATTCCATCCCGTCTTGTCCAGCTTGCTGATGGCGGCTTCGCGGATCTTCGGCTCGGCCAGGATCTCATCGTAGCTCAGGTCGAGCGGGAACTGGACGTCATAGTAGCGCCAGCTGATCTGGGGAGGTCTGCCCAAGGAGGTGGCCAGCTGTTTGTCGATGCTGTATGCGCCCGCGACCAGACGTTTGCGGAGCTCGACCACGAAGAAGGGGGTCCTCGTGTCCTTCTCTGATTGATTGGAACCGAGGGTGAAAGCGACTGTCGCCAGCTCGGCCAGCTTTCTCCACGCTCGAGGATCTGCCAGTCGTTAGCCTGCGTCTCAAATCCCCGCACCCAGAGAAACCCATCCAACATACCGTTTTCACCATAAACCAAGGTCAAGAGATGAAGGTGCTGGAACAGCAACCAGCCAAGCGAATCATCCACCGCGCCAAAAGTGTCACAGAACTGCAGACAGGCATCACTCGCCGAGACCGCCTGGGCCGCCAACAACTTCTGATCACGGGGGACGTTGCGTTCGCGCTCGCGGATGGACCGCCAATCGCGCTCCAGCATGGCGCCCTGCCCGACGATCGAGTACACCAGCCCAATGCCCTCCCACCGGGAGGAGATGCGGCGGATGTAGTCCTCCGGGGTCGTGGCCGCATGCACGGTCAGGGGCTTGGCGCTGTCGTCGAAGATCTTCTGCGCCCACCGCAGCATCGTCGAATGGCGATCCTTGACGTAGCTGGGGTCGGACGTCAAGGCCTCCAGGATATCCTCCAGGGCCTCGAACATCCCCGTGATGAGCCGGTGGCCCAGGATGCACCCCTCGGGCCACACGTCCAGCGAGGTCTCCGCCAAGCGCTCGTACAGGGGCAGGTTCTCGAACAGCAAGGTGAGCAGTCGGGCGCCCATCTGGACCTGCCTCGGATCCGGCGTGGTGGGCTCGGCCCGGCCCGCGGAGGCAGCATCGAGGTACATGGACCCCCGGAACTGGTCTTCCATCTCACTGAACATTGCTGAGTTGTTGTTGGTGTTGCTGCTGTTGTTGTTGTGGGCGGTCGTGGCAGTGGTGGGGAGACCCAGGGCGGCTAGTTTCTCGTCACCGTTGGGGGTGGACCGGCCACCCTGCGTAAAAGAGTCCGGGCGGCCCTGCGAGCGCGGAGACGCGGTCGGCGACGGAGCATTATCCGAGTACCAGGTGCGCGTGGCAGGAGGGGCGGGATACACACAATTCTCGGCCTTGCCTCGACGGATGCAATTCTGGCAGGCGGGGATTACATTGTCGCAGCGCATCTTGGACTTGCGGCAGGGTTCACATGGAGGTGGTGGCTGGCCATTGCGGCGCGGAGCAGCAGACATGCTTGAAGGTTGCTGCACTCACTGCAGGAGATATAGGAAGAGGAAGAGAAAGACGGTAACAATGCCAGGTGAAGGATAAGGGGAGGAAAGAGGGGGCAAATCAATTGGATTGAGAATGGGGGCTGGAGGCTGGAGCATACGAGTAGTGACAAGAGATCAAGAGATCGAGGCCCGCCTTGGTGGGCGGCGTATTTAAATTGATCCTCTTAGCTTGCCTGCCCGTGCGGACAAAAATAGTAAAATCCAGTGGCTGGAGGAATTGAGGTGAGGACAGGGAAGCTACTCCGTACTAAAGCTGTCTCCGCACTTACGTACCTGGCCCACACCTCAGGCAACCACGCCCACAGTCCGATCAAGTCCATATCTGGCCCTTGCACGAGCGTATGGTCAGAGCTTCCTCAACTGAAGCTGTACTGAATTTCTTTGACAGTTGACAGTTGACAGCCATAGCAATAATTACGGGAGGTTAATTGACATTGACAGGCACGGCACCCGCCATCCACCTTCCCAGCCTCATGAGAACTCGCCCTGATAAGCTGCCTGCCTGATAACTACCCGAGAACTACTCGGTAAGACACAGGGCAACAATAACCCAGTCAGCAATCGAAAACTGCAAGATGTTTCAAGCAAACAGGGGTCTGGAATGTTTCAAATGCATCCCACGACAAGGAAATTAGCTGTTTACACTCGCTTCTTTTTGCAGCCCCCTCTCAAAATGACATGAATCGACGAAGTCGTTGGGATACAGAGCAGTACGACACTCAGGGAGAGGAAATACCAACAGATATAGTCAATGAGCCAGAGACAAGAGAACCATTTTCGACAACTAGCTGAAGAACCGAATCTTCCAGGTCACGACCAATCTTAGATCATCGACTCGTCGACTCATTACAAGCAAGCGACCCTCCCAAAATCCCTAGCAGCAATCCCAGACACGGTGTTCGCAGCCATAACCTGGCGGCTACCGAAATTGACAACCTCACTGGGTGGGTTCGACATTTCGCGATGCAAGGGACGATCGAGCGGCCAGTGATCTTCCGTGAGTCCGTCGCCGCAGAGTTCGTGGCAGGGGCTAAAATGGCAAGATACTGCGCTTGAAAGGAGCAACTCGATCCAGAAATCTCTTCATACGAGGTCCGAAGGCGAGGAGCCCGACTCCATATCTCCCCCACGGGCAGTATCAACAGCACAACCCGCGAGACTTCAATTAACACAATCGTGTTGAGGCTGTTGAACTCCTCCGTTTCACGAAATTGTGCAAGAGTTTCAGAACGGGTGCTAGAAATAGGCCGTCTGCATCGATGCGGTGACGTCAAACAAACAAGAATGCTGTCCTGCATGGTCACGGATCCGGAGGAGGGCATTTCAGACTTCGGCCCAAATGGTCGCCCTCAAGCGCAGATCTGCTTTCAACGACACTCTAGCTATAGTCCGAAGCAGATAGAATCGGTTGTTGGTGTCCTGAGGAAGTAGGCCAAAGTGAATACGCTGTATCCAAAAACTAACATCATTGCAGTCGCAAGAGAGCGAGGTACTATGCCAGGTAGCAAAACAAAACAATCGGTTATCCGGACTTGGATGCTACTAGGGTCATTCAACGTGCGACACGTGAGGGAGAGGTAAACATCGACAATAGCAACGAACATTCACCATATACCATACCATGACTTCGGCATAAAACTACCTAGTAGAGAAACAGTCGCCGCTGCCCACCCGAGTAACCCCGACTTCTGCAAACACCCCAATCGAGAACACACACATACCGCGGCGTGGATCCCTCCCCCATCCCCCTCCCCACGCATCGAATGACAGCATATCCCATAGAGCAAGGAAGATGCCAGAAACCGACCAAAAGAATACACCTCCGCGTTGGGCTCGGGTATATCAAGACCGCGAAAGCGATGCAAAGGCCCACACGATACCACAAGCCATCGCACCGATATAGCATCTACCCGTATACTTTCTCCTTGATACTTGAGAGAGATTATTCTTACGACGAAGCGCCATGGAAAGGTACGTATCCCAAACCCACGCCCTACAATTATCTTACTCACAACTATAGCATCCCCCCCACCCCAGCACAAAAATACCTCGCCCTCACCCAAACACCGGGCCAACTCGACCGCGCCGAGCTTGAAACGATCTACGACCGACTCAACCCGGTATCTCCAACCTTCTTGGACGGAGAATGGAGCATCCACCTTCTCGACACGGGCCATCCGGCCCAGGCCATCGCGGAGGACGGGCTGCCGCTTATCCGGACGCTCTTTTCTTTAGAGGAGACTGAGAAGGTGAGACCTTGATGTTTAATCAATGGATTGGAGGGCAGAGCTGATACGGTGCAAGAACAAGGTCCGGCAAGTCAAGTTCCACGGCATCGGCGCCTGCGCTGTGGTTCCCGACGGCCAAGACAGGGTAGATCGGTTTCGGTATGTGAATGAGAGCACCGTGGCGGCGACGAATGAGTATAAGCCCTATTATCGGGACTCAGGGGTTTTGCATTTCTATCTGACGCGTGTGCGTGGGTGATGCGATAGGTGGCTGGTATGGTTACAGACGTGTTGATTCCGATATGGGACATGACGATTGGGCGATGTTTGTATTGTACTTGCTGAGAGAATGATTGTTATGAGTGTAGATGGCAGATGATTTACATAACCCTCTTGAATGATGCCCCCTCGTCATAATCCCACCGCTCCGGGATAGCTTTGATCAGCGCGACTTGGCGAGAACTGAGACCTACCTCCCTCCCCAGCTTCAGCGCCAGACGTCGGACATCGAGACAACCCGGCATGGTTGCGGGGATACACACGCGGGGGTGGGTGGCCAGCGTATACAGGGCTCTGGGGAACTGGGCCGCCTTCGCGACGGCCACCAGGAGCGGAAAGGAATCCCGAGCGGGGCCGTTGACCTGACGCCACAGACGCATGGCGTTGACGTCGTGCATGACGTCTATCTCGTACTCGGGGCGGTCCAACAGACCCCCGATCAGTCTTGTCTGGCCGTTGGCGATGGCGATGGTCAGCGCGTTCTGCCCGTCGTTGGCAATCGGCCATGCCGTTGATGGGAACCGGAGCAGGGATTGCGCTAGACGCCACCAGTGAGCTTGCACGGCTTGGTGGATGATGGTACGCCCCTCGCCATCGGTAAGATCCATCAGCCGGGGCGCAGCCTCAAGAATGGCCCGGAGGACCTCGTCGCTGACCTTGTCTTCGGGTAGGGCGGGGTGGTGGAGGATAGCGCTTAGCGGGTTTAGACTTACACTCTGGCTCTCCCAGCGCAGACTGAAGAGATCGACCCCGTTGCGGACCGCCTGGTGAATGAGATCTACACGCCCAGTCCATAGAATGATATCCCAGGGCCCCTTCTGGGTGAAAGCCGCCCCGCGGGTGAGCAGTGTTTCCACCATTACCACGGCGGCCTTGATCTCCGCTGGGTTACCTATTGAGTCAGTTCCACGGAAGGGGGATTTGATATAGTCCAATGGCTTCAGGTGAGCATTTTCGCCTCCGTAAGTAGGGTCCGCGCGATGCTTCAGAAGAACATTCACCACGTCCTTTCTTCCCCTGAGAACCGCCAGTGATAGGATCGACAACCCACTCAAGGTCACGGCATTGGCAAGCTTGTTAGCATAGTCATCTCCCTCACTCTCACTCACCGCGCCGCGCTCAACCGCCCGGGCAGGACTTTCCACAGGGTGCAGATCGAAGACCATGAGTTGGGCGGTTTCATTACCGACGGCCGCCGCGTGATTGTCATATACCTCCTGCGGAGTCAAGAGCTGGTCCTGACAAGCAGCACAGCGCTTGTGATCCACGGCGTTGTAGACACCGCGACGAGATTCAGACAACACGATCAGGTCGGTCTTGTCCAAGAAGTTTGCTACCACTTCCCAGAGCTCCGCTTGCAGCGCGCGGGTCTTCCCTTGCGAGATACCCTCTCCAGACTTTGAGTGTGCACTCGTTCCACATTGTTGCGCCACCGAATCTGACATCTTGGATGTGAGAGATATGCTACTCAGCAAGAGAAGTTGGTTTCTCCATGGTGAGAATTGGCATGATGATGCCGCCTTATATTCTCTCCATCTGCGAAATCTGACCCCATAGTAAATCAAGCATGAGAGCAACATCCTTTCAGAAGGCAGTTATCACCAAACTTCATTCACCACAATGCGATGAGAGAGCAATCAAACAAAGACCTTGTCCTTCTTTATTGGAGTTCGTTCATTGATAACAACACAACCTGGAAACACGGAAGGAGAACCCGCAGCGGAAGCTAAGCCCAAACCAGCCCTGCCAAACCCCACTGCACTCACTCCCTGACGGACAGCCGCAAAAGAAATCTCTTGCATCGCATCCTCAAACTCCGTAAATCGGCCGTGCCCCCAGAAGAGGCCTGGCGGGTGAACCACCGCCCCCCCAAGAAAATCTTCTCAGCGGGAGGTTTGTTGATGAGTATTCCGTACAGCATCCGAAGTAAAGTTCTAGACAATACGAAGAGATCCATCCCGGGTTAGCAGATTTTTTTTCCGCAGCAACTGACTAGATACAGTAAGATGATTAATCATGTCTCCGAGGATGTGCGGGGCGGGAAGGATCGTGGATGGGAATCTCTCCGACGTCTTACCAATCTTCGCTAACTAATTAGTAGCCTTTTGCAGTTAAGGCTGGGTGAGCTACCGAGGGATGGATCGCGAATGAGTGATTTGTTCTTGGCTTGCATGGAACCCCGCGATCATCGTTGTCTTTGCTTGATGGTGGGCGTGTACTACGTGTCAATCCTCCTGTCGATTGCGCTGGTCGAGAGCAGGGATGGACCGGGGCCCAGGCGGTGCGACCAGGTGTCAAGCTCGTAAACACAGACCATGCTACGATTCGAAAATTGCAGTAAGAGTCCAAGTTGAAGTGAAGAAAATGTCTGGTTTGATTGATTGGGGTATATTGTGTTTTTCAAAACCATTAGTTAGTACATACATCCCTTGATAGCCGAGAGTCTGAGCTACATGATTGGGCCTAGTTAACCTTGTAAATCCCCTCCTCGGTAGTTCGTAAAATCATGAATTGACGTCCACGGACTATGCTTCCCACGCCAAGAAGCTAACGTGCAGGATCACATGCTAAATCACAGCCTTCGTCGTTCCGTCACGGTCCAGCGCCGTTTGGTGCCCGCTTCTCGATCCTTTGGCAGGGGTTCGCTACCCCACAGACCACGCTGCGACATGGTTCGCTGCGGCATTTGACTGGTCCAGGTTTGTCCAGTGGCGGCCGGCTTATCCACAGCCAGACCGATTTCATTCGTAGACGATGTAGAAGCTGGCGTGGTCCAATCGCCGAAGTTGGGCACAATGTCATCTGCTGGCTCAGCTGAGGCAGAGACGGACCCCCATAGCCCCGTTGAACCACTGGGGGTTACAGCGGTCGAGGGCCGTGCTGCTTTCCACGACTGGGACCCCATGCCAGATGTGGAGGAGGGGCCGATGATGAACATCCCCTGCGACATCGACTTTCGCGGGGCAGCACGCTGGCGATAGGTTGGAATGCCTGGTGATGCGAGGTTGACCGGTGACGAAACACCGGGGTTGCTAACTCCAGTCCGTAAATGCTCGGTCGAAGCTACCTTTTTCAAGCGATAACTTTGCAAATTGGACGGCTCTTCGAAAGACTGCTCGGAGCCTAGGGACCCAACAGACACAGTTGATGCGGTGCCAGTGGACTCGTGCAGGTCAGGGTAGCGCACTGCCAGGGTGAGAGACGCTGTGCCAATATCGACCAGTGCTGGCTCCCCGGATATTGCCCCAATGAGTGCATTGCAGCCAGCTCCATGCGTAATAACAACCAGAATGGTCTCAATTTCGTCGTCAGTATCGTCGAGGTGATTGATGTCGCCGGTTCCGTTCAACATCTGCGAATGGCGCTGACTCTGGCGGGTAGAACCTGTGAAATCATGTTCGTCGTACCAGCTAACCATGCGCTCCATCCCATTGCGAAATCTTGCATGCATTGAGCTCCATTCCTCCCCATATTCGCCTCCATTCCCCCAATTTTGGTCACCACGCATGCTGTCCCATTGGTAGTCGACATTGACGCAGGCATCACGGGCATGCGTCACATATCCAGCAGGTATTGGATTGGAAGGAGAAATGGCATAGCTTGGAGTCGGGGGCACATATGCGCTGTCGGGGATGGGCGATAAATTGGTGTTGATTTTGTTCAGTAGTCTCTTGCTACGAGGGGCGTCACCAGCGCCCAAAGCGTCACAGCTACCCGCACGAGTTCTGTGCCCCGGTACCGACTGTGTTGTCGATGTAGACTCAACCTCATTGGGCGCGTTGAGGTCGGGAGCAGGAGACGCTGGAGTTGAAACGCTTCCCCAACCACCCGGGAAGAAGCCAACCGATGGTCGGGACGTTGTGTCTGCCACCGGGACAAAATGTTGCTCACGTCTTAACAGCTCAATCTTGGCGGCGGCGATCAACCGGTCGGAGGATGGAGGAGGCACAATTTGTTCGAAATAGTCAGGACTGAGCCATTCTCCGAGAAAAGCGTCAACACGCAAAAGGCATCGCGTATTGTCCATGCTAGACCTGGGGCTCGAGCTTGGAGGAGTGTCCAAAGTCAAGTTCTTTAGGGATCCGGGAGTCGCATGATGAATCTGGCCTGCAAGCGAGCCATACGGCCGGTGGTACTCGTCCGGTTCCGGTGAATTTTGGCAAATTCCTGAGCTGACTGCGATAGCTGTCTGAAGGCAACGAAGGAATGGAGAGGTATGGATGATGACTCGGCGCTTGCGCGGTGGAGGCTTCACCCCGTCGAGGAATTGTTTCCGTGCAGCATCGTTCTGTTTCGAGACGTCTATCTCATCGTCTAGGGACTGTAGAAGATCGACTATTCTAGCACCAAGAGCGCGGGACTGTAACCAGCCGCCGTAGGAGAGGGGAGGATCGTAAGGAGTGGGAGATGTCAAATGCCAGTTCTTGTCGGCAGCGTCCAGGCGAGCGCCATGTCTGTTGAGACAGTGGGTGTAAGGATGTGATCTAACACCTGCAAGAAAGAGGAACGTGAAGCCTTACCTAGCAATGATGATGGCGGCGGGGGGTTTCCCCATGACGGCAGTATAAGGCACCCGTCGGGAGAAGCAAAACAAAAAGTGATTGTTGAAGACAACACAAAGTTGGACAAGATATAGGAGAGGCAGTTGTAAAGAGGCAAAGGTGATCAATGTAAAATTGAGCGAGTTCGAATTTGGTAAATCGGTGACTCGCAGGTCACAGCTAGAAAGGGGGTGTTGGTTGTCGCCTTATTGCAGGTTGTCTTGTCGCTCCGGCGGGGTAGACAGCAACACCTCCACAGCCACGATCACAGCGTGTTTAGAGGGCGATCCGAGATGTTAAGGTCGCTAACAAAGAACGAGGAAAGAGACACAACATGATGACGGAGAGAGATCAGTTGAGACAAAGGGGATGTTCCCGGTCACATTCTTCCTGATTGCGATCGGTCGGATGAAGAGTCTTCCCGGTGAGGAGGTGAATTCACATTTCTTTTTTTTTTCTCCCTCTCGCTCTTTGCTCACCTGCAGTGACTCTCGCATTTCTTTGCTGCTTCGTCACCGGGGCATGTGATTGTGATTAGCTAAGGTGCTGAGATCATGTGGAACAAGCCACCGGATCCACTGCCTTCCGATGCCGATATTCGGCAGTATCCTGAATACAAAGTACACCATAGAACGCGAGAATGGAAGCGGGACTTTGCGGAGGGTCGTCAGGTTTGTACAGTATGTAGTCACACCACCTGGAAGACGGGTTTGCCTTTTTTTTTTCTTCTTCTTCTTCTTTCCTTTTCACAGGGTCACAGGATTGATTGATGATTGATGAGCCTCTTTGGGCGATAGAAAGAGATTCTGCCATGTCACATGATCCTCGCTTGACCGCCTATCCTCCCGCTTGGGTTTTTCACCAGAACACGGAATAAATTGCCATTCGTGGTCTTTTTCCTCAAGCAGCAGAGCTCCGAAGGATCTTTTAGGTTGTTATTGAGTCCTACTAAGTAGTCTCTGCCGAGGATCGTCAACTGACTATCAAGTACATCGCATCAATAGTACAAAGTTGTTCATTGGCTTGAAGAATCGCGCAATCTCAGAACAGAACGTAATACATGCCAAAGTTTAGCCGCATCAGTATCTACGCTCCACACGAATGCTTACTTCAAGTTTCGAGTTTTGTACTTCATACAGCCTCGACATAATGTCAATTGTCAACATCCAAGTTGAGAAGGTTGTTTACCTACGTCATGTGCCGCCAACAATCAACCAAACTCATACACTACACTAGTGAACGGGAAGGAAGATCAGCAATGATATGATACAGAATGGGTTAATTATCTGCGCCGGAGTCAATAGCCGCAAGCGCCAAGAATCTAGAACAGGGGGTCTAGCTATATCGAACACTACTCAGAATAAATAGAACTACTTGCACGCGGCGCAGCAAGCGCAGGAGGCTCAGGAGCCTCACAACGCCAAGAAGCGTCTAGGGGCCTAGAAGCCTCAGGAGGCCGAGGCGGCGCAGGCACCAACTTATGCACGCAACGATGCTCGGTGCCGAGTTTCTGCAGCTCCAGCTCCGGGCGAGTGAAGCTTTGGCTCCGAACCGTCTGCCACGGAGGCCGGGGCTGCCGCTGGTGGACCTGGAGCGGCTTCCCCCAGCAACACCACAGCAGCTTGCCATCCCCCTTGGGCAGATGCATCAGGTCCTTCAGGGTCGAGTGCATGAACCGCAGATTCTGCGTGCCGCAATCGTTGTCCGTGATCCGGTCGTGGTCGTAGTAGACCAGCCGCTTATAGTACTCCCGGTAGGGCTCGTCGATCGTCTCCATCCGCCAGAGGGGGAACGCGTTGTCGCTGTCGACGGCGAGCGATGGGTCCCGCTGGCGCGCCCCTTCCTCGTACCGCCGGATGAACAGGAGGTAGTCGATCCAGAACTTGAGCGACCAGTGGCCCGCGGAGTCGCGGCAGGCCAGCATGATGAAGGCCTCGACGTACTTGGGGAAGGTCAGCACCGTGACGGGCAGTTTGTCGGCCAGGGGCAGGTAGCTGCGCAACCCGGGCTTGGGGAGCCCCCGCGCCTCGTAGTGCGGGTCCCTGGGGGTCACAAGCCCGATCGGCGGACTGGGGAACATCCACAGCAGAGTCGATTGCTTGTACAGGTCGATTGAGGTGGAGATGGGGTAGCCGCGGCGGAATTCCTCCACCGTCGGGTACTTGGCCGAATGGAAGTGGTAGTCGGCCAGAGGGCGCAGGAACTGCTTGCTCTGCGTGGCGCACTCCCTCTTGAGCCGGCATTTCGGCAGCTCGAGCTTTTGCTTGAGTAGCCAGACGGCTCGTCTGAAGTATTCGTCCGGGACCACCCAGCTGCTGGAATTGTAGTCCGGGCTGCTCGACGTGACGCAGGGCGCCAGGAAGTAGACGTAGGGGATGTTGTTCTTGATGAAGAGCTGGGCGACTTGGCACTGCTGCCGCTCCGTCAAGCCCTCACGTGGCTTCGACGGTTGGATCTGGCTTCTTGCGGGCATGTTGGCGGTAGGGGCGCGTATAGCAAGAATTCTGCCTCAAATGGGATGCATGTACGCTATAACAGACTATGGGACAACGAATGGTTTTTATACGTCATCGCCGCATCGGAGTAATAAAGACGCTTTTCAATTCAATTTGAGCCAATATTCTGTCTGTCCTGAGTCTTTGTAAGGAAATCACCATCAAAGACCTGATCAATGTAGTTGCGTTGCCATACCGGAGAGCTCCAGTAATGGCTTTCATTGTCTCCCTGATTGCAAGCTTTGAATCCACACCTAATTCCTTGACCCAGTTATCAAAAATGCTTGTAAGGGTCCGCAGCAATAGCGCAAAGAACATTCCAGGTCCCGAAAATCAGGGGTCATTGTAGCATGGTAATTATTACCCTACGAGCAGAAGGCTGGTGCTTCCAACCACCCGCTGCCATAGAGACCACTCCAAACAGACTGTATAGCAATGGAAGAGCATACTCGTTATTCCAGTAGTCTATGAAATAGTAATCTGAGATATCAATCATACCATATAGACGTAGCAGAGAATAGCTGTAGGACATCTACTTTCCAGATCCTGACAACAGATAACACACACCTTACACTACCAATGGTAACAAAGTCTTGTCCCTACTGGAACGGCAATGGTCGTCATCAGGAAACGAAGCGCGCCTGAGCTTGCCGGCATTTTGAAGAAATAGTGTATATCATGAATTTGGAATGCGCCTCTCTGTAGGTTTCCTCTTTAAAAATGTCACTTTTTCCTATACCCGACCTTCACAACGCCCGAAAGATTCCTTCTCTCTTCATTACATATGTGGTTTCGGAGTCATTCGCTATATCATATATAATAAATATTGTCTACCACCTGTGTGAAAGCGAATACTGGATAATTTTCTCTCTGACTACTGGAAAAAGCTAGGAAAACAGTACAGGTTGGTGCAACCTCCGCCACCACTGTGCACTAGTTTAGTACGAATTGGAACTGACAATAGTGAAGGAAATCTCTTGGTAAGCGCCGGTCAAATGTCCATGATAATCTGGTTGTCTGATAGTTACTGGCTAACCTCTGATTGCAATTTCTCGGTGGGTGACCTGAATAAAACGCTGGACATCTTCTATACATTGCAGATTCCCCGCTTCTGCTGAAGTGGTATCGACACAAGTTGGCTGCTGGTCAAAGAGGCTATACGGGGTTGGATTTTGATTTTTATGGTGGGAGGGATAGATGAATCTCATAAGTTGTACGTGGAGGATATATATTGTTGATATAGTCAGAGACATTCAATCATGGTGCCAGGGGATCAGTGACGAAGTCCAAAAAATTGGACTCAGGCTGCCATAAAGGTCAAAGCCGTAGCAATGTTTTTCTTCAACTCGTCAATGGCGACGCCCAGGAGCTTGGTTTCATTGTCAGAGATACTGCCGATGGGAAGTGCCTTGGTTGCGCCCGTCTTGCCAAGCTTGACCTTGACAGCGAAGTAGTCGACGCCGAGCTCAGCAGCAATCTCCTTGCCGCCAGGAATACCGGGCAAGTAGACGTAGGCTTCTTCCGTCACCGACTCGCCATTCTTGGCTTTCAGAATTGCCTGGATGAAACGGAAGCCGGCATAGGCCATGCATGTGGTCGCGCTGCCGGCGCCTTGCTTGCTTTTGACAATTTCATCGCCACCAAATTGCACGCCTGTTGGATTTTCTCTCAGTTGGTTGTCTGGGATGAAGGTGGACCACGGGGGAGAAGGTACTCACGGTTGATGACGCCTGCCAGCGCCTCATCGTTCAAGTGGACTGGGGGCTGCGCTTGGCTATACAGAGGCAGGATCGTAGCTCCGCTGTGACCACCAATGACCGGAACCTTAAAGTCCTTAGGGTTGGCACCGTTGCCAAGGGCATGCGCCGCAAAAGTGGACGCACGGACAACGTCCAACGTGGTCACACCGAAGAGACGGCTGGGCTCGAAACAACCCGCCCTCTTCAACGCCTCAGCGGCAATGGGAAGAGTCGAGTTGACTGGGTTGGTGACGACACAGCATGTCGCGACAGGGCATGTGGCGGCCACCTCGGAAAAAATGTCCCGGATAATGCTAGCGTTAGTCTAGTCGTAGTTAGGTTTCATTCTTTCCAGCACCGTGGCAAAATAGAGAGGGTAGCCACCTTAAATAGATCTAGGTTCAGTCAAACAATTAGCTTTATGCAAAAGTTGAAAGCTTCCCTTGCACTGACCATCTCTTGTCATCCCCGGCTTTCGAGCAATACCAGCAGTCACGACCACAACATCCGCCCCCGTCAGCGCCTTCTTGAGGCCAGAGTCCTCGGCAAGATACCCATGAACATTGGCCCTGGTGTCAATGTGCATCAGATCAGTGGCAATGCCAGGGACATGAACCAGATCATAGAGTGCGATCTCGTCGAATAGGTCACTCTTTGTGCAGCGAAGTCAGCATTGTCCATATGCGTTCAGAACAAGTAGTACTCACAATTTTGCATAGAAGACTAAGAGGAGTTCCGATCTGGCCGGCGGCTCCGATGAGTGCAATCTTCACCATGATGAATCTGGAGTACTGAAAAGCCAGAGATGAAGTCGGAAGGTTGGATTCTGGTATATGCGCGAAAAAATCTTGAAGTGTCTGTCTTCAATTGCACAGCGGTGGGATGCACTCCGGATCCTTATAGCCCTTTTTAAGTCCCTCGCTGTAAGTTAATTGAATCATTGGAAAGGAGATGAATCCCTCGTCCGCCTCGTGGCGCTATTTCCGCGTTCCCCAGTTAGGGCAAGCTTTGCTGTGGCGAATGCGGTTCAACGTTCAGCCGCAACGGTATAGGTTCACCCGTTTCTCCATATTTCGGTGAAATAAAAGGAATAGCCGATGCGCTCCCGATGGTAGATCTTTCTTACGCCGGACCGAGACCAGTCCCAATGATGTCAGATACTATTGTCGAAATTGCGAATTAAAGGAATAGGACAAGGTTGGTTTAATCAGGGATCAGAAGCGGGTCTGTAAGGGCGGAACTACAAATTGGAGAGGACTCTGCGAATATGTCACTGTTCTTAAGTAATCCGGCCAAATAATATGCAGATGACACTGTATCTATAGCCAGATGGATCCATCAAATAGAGTAGTAGCAATGCTGCAGGTCTTTTCCCTCTCAATTCTTCCCGAAAGATACAGTTCTTAGTTGGCAAATCCACCCACCTGCGTAGCCTCACACAAGGCAGCTGCTGGCTGGCTTGCTTATGTTGCAGGTTAGCGATATTAGTCGGTCCACTTATCAAATATGTGGATCCCGTTCAACATTGATCTATGGGGACTTTGTATCTTGAGGCCAATGAACAGTTCCAAGCTAACCGAGAATTACAGTTACAGTGTGGTCTGTTCTACCAATTCAAGACCGTTATGGCTGCATTTTTGCTATCGAAAGTCCAACGTAACAGCATCAGGACAAGCTGGCAAATCTATTTTGAGAATAGTATACGGCAAAAAGCCACGATACAATTGTTCAATACATCGTGGTTCAGCAAAGGGCTTGGTGCTCAGGGACTGGCGACAACAATGTCTCACCGACAATGGCTCGCCTTATGTTCTCCATCGCCCACGTCTCCATCTTGGCCAGCGTCTCAGTTGTGTGAGTCCCCACGTGGGGTACCATAAGAGCACGAGGGTTTCTGAGAAGCTTCTCATTGATCTCAGGCTCCCGTTCGTAGACATCCAAGCCCACGGCGCCGATATGACAATCTTCCAGCGCATCGGCCATCGCAGCTTCGTTGATGATTGCACCCCGCGCCGTGTTGACAATAACCACGCCAGGTTTCATCCTGGCGATTTCCGCCGCGTCGAGCAGGTACTTTGTTTTGGCGTTCAATGGAACGTTGACACTGATGATGTCACTCTCCTCCACCAGCTTGTTGAACGAGACGTACTCGGCCCCGGCAGCCTGTTCGGCGGATAGAGGGTTGCGGTTGTGATAAACCGTCTTCAAGCCGAAGGGGTCACAGCGTGCCTTGATTGCGCGGCCGATTCGGCCCATACCAAGGATCCCAAGTGTTTTGCCCTGAGGATCATGGCCGAAGTCAACCCCCGTCTTGAACTTTCCGGCATGCAGTGCCTGCATAGCAGGGTTGAGTTGACGTAAAGCCCCGAGTAAGAGGAAAACGGCCAGATCGGCAGTGGCGTCGGTGACCGGGTCGGGGGCATTGGTTACGATAATGCCCTTATCGGCGCATGCCTTTGTATCAATCGGATCGTATCCTGTCAAGTGTATCAGCAGAAGCAATTTCTTCGGTTTTGTCGAAAAACGGGGGTCGCATACCGGCACCGTTGTGGCAAATAAACCTGCAACTTGGTGGCAGCTTGTCGATCAACTCTTTGTCAAATTTACCTGCGACCTGGTGCAAAGTAATATTAATACTTCGCATCGGGCATGAGAGATATAGCAATGCTAAAGTTGACTCGAACGAAAAAAGTACAGGACTTGAATACTCACTGCACCACTAGCCGACGTTCGATAGATTGCAAAGATGTCTTGGTACTTGTCTTGCAGATCCTTAAAGAACTCATCCCGGGTCTTACTGGTAACAACTTCCGTATGAGCCACGTCTTGTAACTTCTTGTAAAAGTCACCAGCATGTTTCACAGGGTTGAAGAACAGCACAAATGGCTTGTGGGCGGTCATTCTGATGGTTGCGTGGATCGGGCGCTGGTTAAGTGGTAGGGATCGGGTATCTCACTGGTCTCCCAGGGACTGCGCGGTATTTAATCGTGTTTCGACCAAATTCACAGATTCAACTCCGAGCTGGATTATATCAATGGCTTGTTCTTGGTTCCAGATCAAGAGCCCTTGCGGCCTTTGCTGCCGATGGGCATTTGGTGGCGGAAGAACCTGCGGCTAAAAGTGGCCCCGCTCTAGCAAATGCTAACCCTAGAAACCAGTGGGCCATTGGAAAGGTTCTACCGACATGTTCATGTGCGAATATTGGTATCCTGGCTGATAACCTGAAAGCCCTGCCAAGCTATCTGGGGTCTACGGATAATGCTGGGGTAGTGGGGAAATGGGTGGTGGTCGACTGAATGACCCTAAGAACATGGGGACCCCAGAACCAAGCAACCCCTTTCCCTTCCTCGACAGATCTCCTCTTAGCCAGCTTTATAAATCGAGGATTGCTTTCCACTCTCTGTTATAGAGACCATTGACTATTTCCTATGACTGATTTGAAATTCTTCTGTCCCGTCTTCCTCAAATACTTTCACTACTAGTCTCAAGAGGGACTGCTGCAAGACCGAATCTCTTCACCCAGTGGACATAATGGGTCTCATGGGTCTCGCGGGCACGAGGTTAGCCAGGGCTCGCATATGCTTTATCGTTGTTCCTTCCTTCTTGTTGTTCGGATACAACCAGTCCAACATCGGTGGCCTTCTCAGCTATCCCTCGTTCATTAAATACTTCCCGCAAATCGACACCAGCAACACCACCGGGTCAAGCAAGGCCAATAACGCCAAGGCGCAAGGGACCGTCGTCGCGATCTACACTATCGGGTGTCTTCTTGGTGCTCTAAGCATCACGCAGATTGCAAACAGAATCGGACGTCGAAAGTCTCTCATGATTGCTGCTGCCATCGCAGCCACCGGTCAGCTCATCCAATGCTCTTCCTTCAGCCTCGGCCAGCTCGTTGTGGGCCGTGTCATCTCTGGCGTCGGCAATGGTGGTGTGAATGCTGTAGTGCCGGTGTGGCAGAGCGAATGCACCGCACCTAGAAGCCGCGGCAAGAATGTGGTCATCATCGGAATCTTTATTTCCTCCGGGATCGCTGCTGCTGCCTGGGTTAACGTTGGCTTTTCTTTCTTACCAACCAATGAAATTGCTTGGCGCTTCCCTCTGGCCGTACCGATTCTGTTCGCCCTGATTATCATGACTTTTACTCTCGCGTTCCCCGAGTCCCCCCGTTGGCTGGTCAGCAAAGGCCGCATCGAGGAGGCCCGGAACGCCATGCAGAGATTATCTAGAGACGGAACTATTGACGAAGCAGCTGTTACTGTGGAGATCGAGAATATCTCGAGCCTTCTGCGTCAGGGCTCACAGTCCGAGCGTGGCTTTGTCGATCTGTTCAAGTCTGGGAACCAGAGGCTTTTCTACCGCATGTGTCTTGCCGTTGGCATCAACTTCTGCGCTCAGATGACAGGGGCCAATGTCATCTCATACTACGGGTCTACCATTTTCAAAGAGTCGCTAGGCCTGGGAGAGAAGAAAGCTGCCCTGCTCAATGCCGGTGTCCTGACTTGGAAAATTGTGGCGGCCACCTCTGCCTACCTCTCCGTGGACCGATTTGGCCGCAAGCCCCTCTTCATCATAGCCTGCCTGGGAATGGGCCTGTCCATGGCCGCTCTGGCGGGGTGTGTCTGGGCTATTGACTACCATCACACTCTTGGTGCCGCCGTCGCGGCTACGTTCTTCCTCTTTTGCTTCATGAGCTTCTTCCCGCTCGGATTTCTCGGTGCCAATTTTCTTTACAGTGCCGAGATTGCACCACAGGATCTGCGTATCCACCTGGCGGCCATTGGGACCGCTACCCACTGGCTGTTCAATTTCGTTATCGTTGAGATCACCCCCATCGCCTTTGTCACAATCAGATGGCGGTATTACGTTGTGTACGCCGGTATTGGGGTGTGTGTTGCTGGTATTGTGTATTTTTGCTTTCCTGAGACCAATCGCAGATCGCTTGAGGAGATGGACGAACTGTTCTCGGATCCGGATCACTGGTGGCAAGTTCCCAGTTATGCTCGCGCATTGAGGGTAGGAAACCCGGGACCATCAGCAACCAAGACATCTGTCTCCCACGTCGAGAAAGTATAGACAGACTCGATGCGCATGCCTGGAATGGGTGTGCGCATGCTTCGGTTGGCAATGGACATACAAGTGGGATACACATCTCTTAGTATATTACAGGAGCAGCCGCAATGACTACTTGCTCGCAGTTAGTGCTTGGTTATGTACTTTTTCACGCTTAAGTGTAGCATTGCGTGATTCCCGTCCCACCATAATGCAAAAGGCAGAAGATATACATAAAATGGCAGGCCGTCTCTATCGAGGCGCAACCTGCGTACGGTAAGGGAAGCGTCCAATATCCGTCATCACCTAGGGTCCACTGTTGGTTTCAAGAAATCTTGCAAAATTATCACCACAGGAATTGTCTCTGAATAGATATCGGAATAGAAATATGTGTGGCTCACGATTCCCCACCAGCCCGCGATGTTGTCTTTCTACCACGCTACTTGTCCTTGGTCAGATCCAGGTGTGCCTCAAGGGACCGCGTATCATTCTTGGCGGGTCCTCTTTATCATGGGGTCAGCTTTGTTTCCCCCCCCCCAGACGAGCAACAGGCTTAGGTAGGGATAAGGAGGAGAATAAGCATTTCTATCTGCCTTGACCATTCGCAGGGTACGCTGGAAGACCGACACTTGTGCACCTGTAGGGCTATCGCATGGTCACTGGGACAGTCTTGCAGAAACTTCAAATTCCAGGATCTGATAACGAGAACAGGAGGGCTGAGATGTACCTGTCTCCAGTCCACTATGCAAAGCCAAGAATAAAATATTAGTCAACTGACGAACGAAGATGGGGCTTGTGGTAAAAATATGCCAGAAACCAAAAGGAAGGGTGATCCCAGTTGCATGCATGCAAAAGGTTGGTTGGGGGTTGGTTGCCTTGACTTTTTTTTTTATTGTTTTTTCCCTCGCACGACATGCGGCACAGGCGGCGGTAATGCGCGAAGGTCTCTCAGCAGCTGACCGGGATCTCATGATGGATGATGGATGGATGGTATGCCCGCCTGTGGTCAGATTGATTCATTCTCCGTATACCCGTCACTGGGCACACGGGCAGTTTCTCCCAGTAAGGCGGGCAAATAATCTGCCGATGGCTTCCGCCGCTCTCCCAATTGCCATACTCCACGGTACCATTGCACTAGGTAATGCTTTCGATGCTTCAAATAGCTAATAGGCACTGCTGAATTATGGTGAACTAGTGCCTTGTTTACATTTCTCAGGTCCTAAACCCCAAAGAGACCCTCTCCAGCAACATACGTCTTTGCATGGGCAATCTCAATCAAGTCTGCTGCATCCTGTGACACATACAGTCGGATTGCATGCCTCATCCCCGTTGACGGCGGGAAGGGTATCTCTACACTATGGCGACCACAGGCAACACACCATGCACGCTGGATCGGGTGACAGCATTCGTGCTCCCGCTCCTACAGCAACACGCACAGCATCAACAACAACTCGAAAGCAACCAACCGCGCCGACCATTCTTTCTAGCAATTTCCGGCATCCAAGGCAGCGGCAAGAGCACCCTCGCATCTGCATTACAGGACGCCCTGGCACATTCCTCCCACCCCGGCCTTCACGTGGCATGTGTCTCGATCGACGACTTCTACCTCAAGAAGGATGACCTCGATGCTCTGTCGCGGGCTTTCCCGGGGAATCGGCTGGTGTCGGTCCGAGGTCCCCCGGGGACCCACGACGTGCATCTCGCTGCGCGCACCATGGAGGCGCTGGCCGAAAGTCCCCCGTCGTGGCCAGGGGGATCATCGTGGGCGATACCGAAGTATGACAAAGGGGCATTCGGCGGCCGCGGCGACAGACTCCCGTCGAGTGGATGGGAGCCCATCACGGCCCCGGTCGATGTGGTCATCCTCGAGGGATGGTGTCTGGGGTTCCAGCCCCTGTCCGCGGACGAGCTGGAGACGGCGATCGCCGAGGCCACGAGCGAGCATGCGGCGGGGACGCCATCGTGGAGAGATAGCCCCGGTTCTGCGGCGCTGCAGCAGCACGCCTCCGAGCACCTGCGGTACATGAATCACGCCCTCGCGGGGTATAGCCGGGACGGCGGGGGGGTGACGGCTTTCACCGAGAAAGTCAACTGGGATGCGTTCATCCATCTCGACACCGATGACCTGCAGAATGTGTACACATGGCGTTGGGAGCAAGAGGCGAAACTGAGGGCCACGACGGGGAACGGAATGGCCGCGGAGGAAGTGCAGAGATTCAGTATGTTTTGAATTCCGTGTCCCAACCCTTGTCTTCATGCAGTGCTAATTGCTTTTGACATGCGTTGTAGTTGATAACTATATGCCTGCTTATCACCTCTACATTGATCGTCTGCGAAGAGGGGTCGTCCCCAAAGGGAGACAGTTGAGATTGGTTCTTGACAGTTATAGAACTATTAGGGAGGTCGAGGTGATATAGTAATGAACGTTGATGTTGGACTTGCTTGTCTACAGACCCAACCCATCTGAGATACGTGACATAGATATGTATGATGTTGATGAACTTGAGATCAGTCCTAGCATATTCATTTTCATAAAACCACTTCTCCACCCCCCGTATTCCATCGATAGACCCGATTATTGTTCTGAATTGCAAGTACACATGTTTAACTGCAACCCTCTTTCAGTCCTTCAATGGAGCTTCTTCGAGTGCAGCGTAGGACGTGACAGTGCTCGCCTAGCTTCGGCTCCGAAGTGATTCGGACTGAACTATTCTGCGGAGTGACGAATCCGGTTATGGGACCAGTCGAGGGCTCATTGAAGCACCAATTCCCCCAGCAACACCACACGGTGCATTGATGCATCACTGACCCACCAAGGCAGAAATATCAAGCGCAGGCCATTTGCTGACGTCACGCTGCCACCTGCGAAGGGATCTATCTAGATAGTCGTGCCAACGGGAAGGAAGGATATTATCTGCGGCTATACGTTCAACCGTGCGCGATGGTTTGCCCGAAGGGGCAAACTTCAACCGCATGCGAACCGAACTTTACCCTCTTTTCGGAACTGCTCTATACTACCTTAGGTAACTGGAAAGTATCTCGCAGTATGACTGACTGACTCAGTCCATGGTATTTAAAACTCCCCGAACATCACTTTCGAAGCAGTTGACAGGGCACACTACGCTTTGACATCCCAACAGAGAGACCAGATACAGACACAATGGCTGGAAGTGCGGTTCGCAAATACAAGATCGCCAGCATCGGTGCGGATGGCATCGGTCCGGTACGTGAAAACATGAGTGTTTGCCCTTGAAGCTCGAGCGTCTCTGACAGCTGCACAGGAGGTGGTGAATGCGACCATCGATGTCCTGAGAGCGATGCAAGCGATTCTGAAGACCTTTGAGCTTGAGTTCACTGATCTGGACTGGGGTACTGCACGGTACAAGAAGACCGGGCGATATATGCCAGAAGATGGCCTGGACATTCTGCGGAAGTTCGACGCCGGGCTGTTCGGAGCGGTGGGTGCACCGGGTATGTATCGTGATCCCCGCCGCAGAGCTCTCGTGCCAGTCACAGCGGAGCCCATCGAGTAAAGCTCATCACTGACACGAATTCCCGCTCTGGCGTCCAGACGTACCCGACCACATCTCCCTGTGGCAGCTCCTCCTGGCCATCCGGAGCCCGATGCAGCTCTACGCCAACGTGCGGCCGGTGAAGAACTTCCCTAACGTTCCTTCTCCCCTCGCGGGCGTGAAACACGGTGATATCGACTGGGTGCTGGTCCGGGAGAACAGCGAGGGCGAGTATTGCGGCCAGGGCGGACGGACTCATCGCGGCCAACCGTGGGAGGCGGCGACCGAGGTGTCGATCTTCACCCGCGTGGGCGTCGAGCGCATCATGCGCTTCGCGTTCGATGTCGCCCGCCGTCGCCCGCGGAAATTACTCACCGTCGTCACCAAGAGCAATGCCCAGCGGAATGGCATGGTGCTCTGGGACGAGATCGCGCTCGACGTGTCGAAGGATTATCCGGACGTGAAGTGGGACAAGGTCCTGGTGGACGCGATGACCGTTCGCATGGTGAACAACCCCAAATCGCTCGACACAATTGTGGGGACCAATCTGCATATGGATATCCTGTCCGACCTCGCGGCCGCGCTGGGCGGCTCGATCGGCATTGCACCATCCAGCAATCTGGACCCGACCCGCCAGAATCCCTCGCTATTCGAGCCGGTGCACGGGAGCGCTTTTGATATCACCGGAAAGGGGATTGCCAATCCAGTCGCTACGCTGTGGTCGGCCTCAGAGATGCTGCGATGGCTGGGCGAGGAGCAGGCGGCCGATATCTTGCTCCAAGCAACACAGGAGACTTGCAGCATGGGAATTTGCACCCCGGATCTTGGTGGGAAAGCCAAGACCGTGGAGGTGGCGGAGGCGGTCATTGCGCAGATTCGGAAGATTGCTAGCAATGCTTAGATCTTTTCGCATCCATTTGATTAGACCCAGTCAATAGCTTCCACGATGACCAGAAGAAAAGTAAAATCCCTCTTGTTGTTACCCGGAGGTACCTAGTAAGTACCTTTGTGTGCGATGTTTAGTCGTTTACTGCAGCCACGTGATTTAACCATGGATAATCATCCACCGAGGAAATGTTCCCTGAACATTTATTTCATTGCATTCCAGAAGATGCACGCTTCTATCAAGTACAAAATAGATAATCAACATAGACAAGGCTGAGCGCCGCGCTTGACATCAGGAATCAGGTCCTCATGAAAACATGGTGGCTGACGCAATCGAATCTTATCGAGATCAATCCTGACTGGGGAGCCGGTGTGCCGAGCAAAGACCCTGCATTGATTAGCATAGATGGACCCTATACAGCTTGCCGTAAGACTACTAGTAGTAGCTAAGGGATATCGGTCTCGAGCAATCAAAGAGTGGATCTCTTTGTGCGCCAAGATTCTGCTGCAGTCCCTAGATCTTCGTACATCGCAAATGATGTTATCGATTCGGGCTGTCGGTGGCGCATCGCAATCCGTCGGACCCGGAGTGCTTTCCGACGGGACAAGCCTAAAGTATGGGTCCGCAAAGCCCGACTAGCCATTCTGGGACATTTCTTCAGCCTTCAACAACGAATCGTACTGCAGTATACGGCCCTTGTGGCGACTGAGTGGGTCAAGATAGATATCATCAACAGCGTGGGCTACAACATCTCGCAATATAAGACAGGGGACTCTCCCGAGCTCGGGATCGGAGCTGTTGGCTGTCCTCTAGATTTGGTGTCTCGTTGAATTGGATGCATTTTCTTGAGGCTTAGACATCTTCAAAGACATGACCGTCGAGACAGAAGACCCCGATCGTCAGTTTCAAGACGAACCCACCCCAACCGATTCCGATTCTACCTTTTCCGGCAACGAACTGCACGATAAACCGCTTGAAAATGAGGCCGACGAGCATGACCCTGAGGCACTCACCCGACTCGAGACTGCTCAGTCCACACTCAAACCACCCTCGGTACTTTGGAAAGAGATTGTGTTCATTGCGGTAGTATGTATGGCCCAATTCATGACGCAAGCTGGGCTATGTATGTCAATCGCGCCGGCGCATATCATCGGGGACAGTTTCGGAACCACCAGCGCAGGAGAGCTGAGCTGGTTCGCCGCAGCCTATAGTCTGACGGTCGGCACTTTCATTCTGGTCGCCGGCCGGCTTGGAGATGTGTATGGTCATCGTCTCATGTTCATCATCGGCTTCGCGTGGTTCGGACTGTGGTCACTTCTCGCTGGGTTCAGTGTATGGTCCAACAAAGTGTTCTTCGACTGCTGCCGGGCCCTTCAGGGCATCGGCCCAGCTTTGTTGCTCCCGAATGCGATTGCAATCCTCGGCCGCGCATACCCCCCGGGCCTGCGCAAAGAAATGATTTTCAGCTGTTTCGGTGCCACTGCCCCAGGCGGGTTCATCGTCGGCGGTGTGTTCTCATCGATATTCGCACAGCTCGTGTGGTGGCCTTGGGCGTACTGGGTTATGGGGATCGTTTGCTTCGTGCTATCGGTGCTAGGCCTGCTGGTCATACCGCAAACGCATCGGCCGCAGTTCAAGGATGGCCTATCGACATGGGCGCGCTTAGACGTCGTCGGAGCGACAACCGGTATTTCAGCACTAGTACTGATCAATTTCGCCTGGAATCAAGCAGCTCTGGTCGGATGGCCGACGGTGTATACCTACGTCCTTCTCATCGTCGGCTTTGTCCTTTTCGGCATCTTCGTCTTCGTCGAAGGCTCGGCTTCGTGTCCGCTGATCCCCCGGTCGGTTTTGACAGGGGATCTAGCATGGGTGCTCGGATGCATTGCTGCTGGCTGGTCCAGCTTTGGCATCGTCATCTACTATTTCTATCAGTTTATGGAGGTGATCAAAGGAGACTCGCCGCTACTGGCGACGGCGAAGTGGTCTGCTGCCGCACCGTCGGGGGCAGTCGCCGCCCTTGTCACCGGCTTCCTTCTCGGCCGACTGCCGCCAAGTGTGATCATGTTCTGCGCCATGTGTTTCTTCACCGTCGGTCAGGGCCTTGTTGCGACGATACCGTTGAATCAGACATATTGGGCCCAAGCCTTCGTTGCTAGCTTGATTACTTCGTGGGGAATGTGAGTATACCCCTATTTGCTTTGTCAGTGGTAGCATGTGGCTAATCTGTTGCAGGGACATGTCATTCCCATCTGGCACCCTGATCCTGAGCAATTCGATGCATCACCACCACCAAGGGCTCGCAGCCTCCTTGGTCACCACAACGGTGAACTATTCGATCTCGCTTGGACTGGGGTTCGCTGGTACAGTGGAGTCGAACGTCAACAACGGGGGTGAAGATGCACTTCGGGGGTATCACGGTGCGCTGTATCTAGGAATCGGACTTGCTGGTCTAGGGGTGATAATCTCGGTGTTCTTTATGCTTGTCAGTTGGAGGCGATATAGAAAGGGAAAGTTGTCGTCTTGATGTTGATTTCGAGTTGATTTTGACAGAGTGTGATAGACTATTTTAATTCTAATGTCATGTGATCCTCCAAGGAATATTGAGAGTGATTTGGACCTGAGGCATCACCATTTAATCACTTCCCTCTCCCTTAGCCAGAACAAACCCTCTGCCGGACTGGATAAGCCTTCTCGACATGAATATAGCTGGCAACCAATATCCATTTTTAAACAAGCACTACATGAGCTTGGAGTGACGAGAGGCTTGCTCAAGTCCATTAGTATTGAAGAAATAATGAGGTGATCTCCAAACTCACTCCTCCATATGGAAGTCACTCTGGGTACTGACAGCCGCACTTCAAATAGCTCTCTGTCTCGAACCAGAGTCAACGACCAACATTATGCTTACGGGCTGAGATTCATTTCCACCTTTGAGGTTCTCTCCTTCCCACCTCACATCTGTTGTGTCCCGTATCTTTGTCGCAGCCAGATAAACGTTGCAAGGCGATCAAGCTTAAGCAACTGCACCTTGCAACCGCACAACACTTGAAAAGCGGCAATGAGAATCTGAACCAGGCTGCAGCTGCCGCACAACAATTTCTCCATCCACTCGAGCTGATGCTTGTTGCAGATGGGCATGCGGTAGCTGTGGTTCTTTCCAAATTCAACGATCTAATGGTGTGACTTTCACACCTTTCCTAGTAGGTCACTGGGGAGCAGCTACCTTCTCAAGACAGAAGATCAGTCTAAGCCCAACTAGTTCGATCCTCCATGATTCGCTTTCTTCCACCATACGTCTATCATCACACGCATATACGTCTACAAAACAGGTACAGTATCTGATTCTACATGGCCGTGTTTTCTGCATGTTTCAATGGTTCAGAACTGACTTCGAATGTCTTCAAGCATCGGTCCGCTACTCGCAGCTTACTGTTTATCTTGTGCTCGGTTCTCGACTTCTCTCCATCGTCTACAGCTGACTTAGACGTGAACAAACTCTCAGCATGGCCTCCAGCGAAATCATAATATCACCAGGACAACACCTGACTGGTATCACGACAACGTACACGGTTGCTATCTTCATTCCGATGGCCGTAATCGTCATGTCTCTACGGCTACATGCACGCAAAGCCCATGGACTGTCGATTAGCGCTGATGACAAGCTATGCATTGTCAGTCTAGTTGTGTTCACTGCTTACTGTGCCGGAGCTCTTGTCTGCGTGTGCACCTATGGTGCGGGCCAGAGCTATACAGGTCTAGAAGAGACTGAATTGAAGAGCAGGCAGTACCTCCAGGCCAGGTATGCCGACCCACTATTGCATGGCCTGACTTTGTTGTTGGCCCGATTTTTATTACTGTTGTCCTGCCGACGAACGTTCCCAATCCCAGATCTCCGCTTTCGCATTGACTCATTTATCATTTTGTCTGCGACCCTCTGGTTCTTCAAGACAATCCCTCAGGTTTTGATCTGCATACCACCACGGTACTTTTGGGATAGGTCTATCGGTGGCGGCCGCTCCTCATCGCAATTGCAATTCTGGACTTTTGGGATCTTTGATCTAGCGCTCGACGCTGTGATGCTGTTCCTACTAGTACCTAGATTTATTCTACTGCAGGTTGGCGGGCTGAGGGTACAGTTGGCACTGGCAATCTTCTTCGGGTCAATGTAAGTGCTACGTGATTTCTTGCCCACCAGCGTTATTTCTGCTGAAACAGATAGTGTCATCATGACCGGTACAGTCCGTGTTGCATATGGATGCATAACGGATGACTTTCTTGGTATGCTAAGATAACACGACAAAACCATCATTATTGTGCTAAAGTGAACAGGTGATTACGACCAAGTTACTCAATGGTCCGTCATGCAGCTTGTCTTTGCTGTTACGTGCACCTGCATGCCTTGTCTCATTACTGGATTGTTAGTCAACGAAGCAAATGGCGGCGACAGGCTTGTGTGGTTTGTTCTTCGGCTCCCAGAGAGGCCGAATAGCATTGAGATGCCAACTCAATCTCGAACTCCTGCTCATGGCCATACCGATGTGCCATTTGACGACCATTCCTCCTGAACAAGCTTCATTTGAGCAACATGACAAATAGTCTGCCGGGGACTTTGGGGCGGTCTGATCACCTGTATCATCTTGCGCCGAAAGCTAAAGTGTAGAGGTTTATGGATATCACGGTTGGATCATCAGAAGAACGTCGCAATTGACCGCAGTGTTGTTGTTTCCTTAAATCATCTGTGCTTCATGGAATACTAGATTAAACATGATTTCCGTCACCAATTCCAGCTATTGTGGCACCTTCACCAATCCAATCCTCTCGTTCTCGCTCTTACTCCGCTGACTCCACTCCGGCGCTTCATCCTCACCCGCCTCCTCTTGGGCGTCGCCTTCCTCCTTGGTCTGGTGCACCGTTCGAGGATCGTGCTCCGCGGGGGCATAGATAGTCACCAGCTCGAGAGGCGTATCGCCCGCATTCAGGAACTGGTGCTGCGTACCCGCCGGCACAATCACCACATCCCCCTGTTTGACTTCCTGCTCCTTACCCGCGACAATCGCCTTACCCGTCCCGTGTGTGAAAATCAAAGTCTGGTCAACCGTATGCACCTGCACCCAAGACATCTGTGTTAGCTCGCGTCCCACAAGACACCTGTTGAACAGGGAATACCTCATCCCCAATCTCCCCATTAACCGGCACCTCCATGGCCACAAACTGCGAGTACAGACCCGTATGCAGGACCTTCCGGAACACCCCGAACTTCCGGCTCGGCGACATGACGCCGGGGAAATAGACCATCTCGTTCTTGGGGGGTTGGCTCGTCATGTTCCCGGCGGTGTATTTGTTGAGATTTGTTGTTGTGCTGTGGTTTCGTTGGGGGGGTGTTGCTGCGGGTAGAGGGAGCCGGGTGATCCGGGAGGTAGTGAGGGTGAGTGGTTTTGGGGTTGATGTGTTGAGGAGGGTTCTTGTTGCGGATGAGATTTGTGTTGTCAACTTGGAAGATGGGGAGGGGATGCGAGGCATTTTATTTTTTTTTGGGAGAGGATTGATTGAGCTGGCTACATCAGGTGGCATTGACTAATGGGTGGGATGGGTTATAAATCTGGATGGTCTGGGTTTTGGGGTCTGGTGGTGGTGGTGGTGACGTAATGGGGATGTATGCCATCATCGATGGTTTAGGAGTATCTACAGTGTATGGGTTCTTTGTTGGGGGGCGCTAATGTGGGGAATTGGGGGATTGAAGTGGTGATGAGGGATAGTCAGCTACTTCCAGGAGGTGGTCTGGACTTGATTAGTTATTCAATACGATTGGTGTGTAATTGGTTTGGACGTGACTCTTGAAGATCGGTTGATCGCGGGATTGGGGGTTCTAGAACGTCGCCGCGCGATTAAGTCATGCGTCGTATGGTCCACGGGTGTCTAAGCATAGGGAATAAGGGTCGGTAGGGCTGACCGCCTTACGTGCGGGGGAGGGGTCTGTCTCCAACCCGTGCGGGGAATTTGTTCGGTAACTCGCTTGAATAGCATGAGGTAGACTACAAGATAATCAAGCTCCAGGTTAGATGAAAAGAGCGAGGTCTCCGACATGGTTCGAAGCCAACCCATCCTTAGGGATTACGGTGATATTGTTCGCAAAGAGTCTTATGCATACATTCAGACGGCAAGATAAATGCCAATGGAATTCAGAAGTCTCTCCTATGGTATGCTATAACGACGGCGAGAGCAAGTGTCTCTTTCAGATGTCGAGACCCCAAACAGTTACTATATATCCATGTCGAGGTCGAAGGCGCATCAACATCCAGCATCTAAACCCCATCGTCAGCCATCTGCCCCGTAAAGAAAGCGTAAACCATCATATGCCCCTTAGGACGAACTCACTTCATTCACTATTCACAACAAAGCCTAGGCAGCAGTGACCTTGTACGAGTACATGACGACCTTCGAGCTCCACTCCTTGAACACCTCGCACTTATGGGGAGTGATCTGCTTGCCGGACCACGCCGCCGTCCCCTTGCAGTCCGCCTTGGGGTAGATCGTGATGTGGTAGTCCTTGGTGTTGAAGTTGCCATTGATCGAGCGGATCCCGGACCCCTCTTTCTTGTCGAAGTTGAAGCACCCCGTCTTGGGCGAGTTCTCGATGTGTGTCAGCAGCGAGCCGCTGCAGTTGTCGCTGTGCCAGGCCTTGAGGCCCCAGGCTGAGAGGGCGGGGGTGCTCAGGCCGAGAACGAGGGGGAGGTAGGCGAGGAGTTGCATTTTGGTGGGTTGTGGGTTGTTGGTGGGTTTGAGGGATAAAAAGGTTGGGGTTTGTTGTGTTGTGAGCTGGTGAGTCTGTGATGCTGGTGATTGAAATGGCAGAGTTGGAAGGGGGTTTATATAGATTTGGTTCTTGGGAGAGGTTAGTCGCATTGAGGTTAGAAGACTAGGATATTTGGAATGTAGGTAGTATCCTGGTGAAGGGCTGAGTGGGGCTGGAGGTGATAGTTGAGATCCTTCGGTGCTGGGCGTCTCTTGGTGTAGTTGTCATGGGTGGTGAGATGATGTTTGGGCGGCATGGTAGGATGGGAAACTTGAAGAGCTTGTGTATTCGGTGTTGAGTTGGCTACTGCCATTGCTCTCAAGGTACAAATTGGTGATGCACTGAGTAGAGTTGACATGGTAAGTATCTATGCCGCGAAAAGATGCGGATGAAGTTCAAAAGGTTATGCATAGCGCTCGGGACATAGCTGCCATCCTCGGCTACCCCGCGAGACCAGCTCAAAATTCTACTCTGACATCCATGATGGAGCGGCATAATGTGCATTCGCGATGTAGTATTGCATATTTGGAATTCTCTGAGACTTGAGACCCTTGGAGTAGTATAGATGTGGAGACAGCGTCCCACTCTATAGTGTGATCGAGTCGATCTGCTACTTAGTCTAGACTAGACTCGGATGGAACCATCAAAGCCTCAGATCTTCGGTCAGCCTAAACGAGACCCTTCTGTGCTAGACCTTTTCAGGCAGGAGTCTCGAAGCGAGCGAGTACCTTTGCGTTTGGTCAGTTTGTAGATGAAGTCGGCGCCTAACTAGGGCATTATACGGGAAATGGCATATGAGCCTGTTCTGAATCACATTTTTGGATATGTCCCCAAGTGAGGACTGTATCACTTATATTGGCGCGATGGAGATGTCAGACTCTACTCTCCGTGCGATAATTAGTCTGACCGAGCTACCCATATAAGAGATGTGACAAAAGAGGCAGGCTGAACATGCAGCCTCGGCAGCTCTGGGCTATGTAATCTTCCTATAAGAGTATGAATATGCCGCGGTCAGTACCTTCGATATCCTCAGACTGGGGAAATCGACCACGAGACTTGCCGGATGGGTGCTCAAAGCAGGCCAGATCACTGGCCAACGCATATGGTCGGGTGTATTTCCCATCCTGTTATGGTCGCAAAGTTGTAGCAACCGCCAAGTAAGTCAATCCACTACTAGATGCATGTTTCTCGTTCAGACAGAAACATCATACCCTTTAGTGATAAACCTCTGCTTGGCGGAAGCACTAACATACGCTAGTAACTCCGCTCCGAACGAGTCTGAATCATCTCATTATCTTGTCACTATTAGCTGTAAGGTAACAGAAGGGATGAAGCAAGAATTATACCAAGATATAGTAGTCTCACTTGACCCTCGACTTTCACATACGCTCCCACTATAAAATAATGTGGGCAAGCACCTTCGGTGCTTGTGACTACGGAGCAGACACAGGGACAATAGTTTAATTTTCGGCCCGCTGCTGGGACCCACTCCGATTTAAGCATGAACATTGGCCCCACACTGTGGACATTCAAGCGGCGGATTCCTACACCGGCTAAGGGCGGAAACGATTGAATGTGGGCTTGGGAGGAAGTCGAACGACAAATCTTGTGCCGATAGATCCTGGTCGAATTGTCTTACCTCCTCTAACTTGGCGTAGTGGCAGGGTACTTACTGTGCTAGCCTTGCTGCCTCAGGCCTGCACAGAGTGGGCCCCACAACCGCCTTCCTAATCTGATTCATAAACGCGGTACTTATAACAAAAACGAGTACAACTGTCAATAACCCAGACCCTGTGGCGCAATCGGGAACGCTTGCGGGTTTATTCAGGAAACGGCGCAGTGGTCTGGGTTCGACCCCCACGGGGATCGGCCCATTTCGTAGCTGCAAACCTCCTCAGGATAACTGGAAGGGGGGGTTTCGTAGCCTGTCGGCGGTGCGGCGCCTTGCGCCACACCCGACAGGTGAGCTTTTTGATCTTGTTGCTCGGTGCTTGATTCTCTTGTATTGATAATAGTGCTTTCTGGGATGATATTTGGCCCTGTCTTGCGTGCTGTGATGCTGAAGTTGTCGCTTTGGAGCGTGGAGATTGCTGGCGACAGCCGACGGCGGGTTCTTGATTTCCACGCTTCTTTCTCTTCTTGTAGTGTCTAAGATTCGATGACTATGTTCCTGCTTCTTCTCCGTACTGGTATCCTCTCTTTGAAGATTTTGATCATGTTTTTCCTCCTCTTGAGGACTGACAGTGAGGCGTAGGCCCATTCTTGCTCCTCTCTAAGGCTCGGTGTTTCCGCCTGGGCAGAGAGTGACTTGCCCGCGCTTCTAACACTCCCTGATGCTTCAAGCACCACTTGATCCTTTTTGCAGTCGATCTGATCTACTCACGCATTGAAAGGAACAACCATTGTCGTTTGTTTTCGTTGTTGGAACAGTCTGCATTATATATTACACTAGCTGCGCTAGGATCGCTTCTCAATGCGCCCCCGCAACAGAAAGAAAAGATATTCCCTGAGACAAGTTCTGAAAGGTGGTTGAATGTCTACTCGGTCCCTGATGTTCATATTCAGACATTAGAGCGAGCGTTCTGGCCCGTGAATGAAGAACACGGACGACACTGAGACTTCTCGAGGCTCATACATGCCCATCGTTTCGTCTATGGTGGTCACTCTTCATCCAACCGACCGACAGGCCCAGGTACGATAACCCGTTTGTCTCCTCTCTCCGACCGCAAATTGACGAAGTCGATCCTGTTATATAGATACCGTTATAGTCTGCGCTGCTATATGTCCTCAAGCGCTCGATGCTCCATCTCAACAACCGCCCCGAGTGAAGCCCTCGACCTCACATCGAACCGATCGCCAAGAATAGCTTCCTGCTCCACATTCTGATCGATTAGACCTGCATAGCCTTAAGTCCGAGCGGCTTCGAGAACCACGAGCGCATTCCATGGGTTGATTACATATTGGCATCGCAGAGGATGTATCTTGAAGTGGGGTTTCCGGCACGCTAGTTCTTTGGAGCTGGAGGCAGCTTTGCGGGGCGTGATTTGTCTTCTCCACCTGAGCGGCATCACGGTCTCAAACACCTCGCGTCGCGATGCGACCAGGAAGACTCGTCAATCAGCAGCTACGATGAAGTCGTCCGGGCTGCCGGCGTGCTCGCTCGCATCGGCCCGGGCATTTGAGAGCAATAACTTGCAGCGAGCTTCGAATTCCTGTTGAGCCTGATGCTCCAAGAGACTTGCCTGCTTGGCTCTGCGCAGGGTCAGGCACACCTGTCGATGTCGCAGTGGGTTTCTGGTTTATATCCTTCGTAGTTTTTCTTTTTTTTTTTTTTTTGTTTTCCATTCTCATGTGATGAGTGCGCATTTGTGGTCGAACGCTATCTTCACAATCTGCTACCACTTGTTTACAAGGTCATTATGTCGACCCGATCTTGACGCCCCTCCACCTTTTGGAGCTGGGAACGCCTAACCATCGCCTCGGATGGAGCATGGTTGGCTAAGCCGAGGCTCGGGTGCGATCGGGTCCACTTTTTGTGGCCGTGTGGGGCGAGGCTTAACTCAGGGAAGCTACAGTGAAATAGAGAGGGTCAATCGTTGATTGTATTATGATAGAAAAATTGAAATCGACAGAGGGTATCCTGTTCCGAATGAAACATAAAAAAGGCGTGATAGTAGCAGCGGTGAGGCGCTGCGGGGTCGATGTGCTTAGCAAGGACTTGCTAGTTGATCCCATGGAAGCCAAGGATGAAGAGCGTGTGTGGTCGGGTTTATGTGCTGTCAGAACTCCGGCATCCTAGGAGTTGTAGTGACGATTGCAGAGACTGACGAGAAGTCCGGCGTTTCTACTGCATGATCCTCGACCAGTGGTGATTGGATCTGATTCATTTAAAGATATGTGAGTTTAAAGCCCGGGTTGTGGAATGAGACGATGAGAAACTCACGTTGAGGTTGAGCAACATCTGAACAACCACCTTCTTCAGTTCCAGCCAGGCGGCGCGGAGCTTTAGATTGGCGCGTAGCCCCGGATGAAAGAGTAGCATGGTTTTATCCATGAGCTTCCTCTGCGGCACGCTAGCAGTGAGCCACCGCTCCGGCCGGAACGCGCGCGTGTCGTCTCCGTAGATCGTGTCACTAAAATGCGCGACGTAGGCGTTGCAGCTGATGATCGTGCCACTCGGGAAGGCGGGTTCCGATCGTAGATCGTCCGAGACCGCTGAGGCTGGGAACTCTTTGTCCATGTTCGAGGTGCAGGTTAGGCGCATCGACTCTTTCATCACGGCGCAGAGGTACGGTAGACGTGATAGTTCCCTCCAGCGTGGATTGGAGGAGAGTGACCCAGTATTGTAGGCTGAGTCGATCTCATTTTGAAGGGTAGTCAGCTTTTCGGGTTGTTGGAGCAAATATGGGAAGACGGAGGCAAAGGCCGTGATGAGGGATTCGGTTTCGGCTGTAAGATTGTCGCTCGTCAGGGAATTGTCGTTAAGGAGGATGTTGGAGCTGTCTGAGTTTGGTTTGTGGAGGCTAGCAGGTGTCGTGAGGGCATGGACGGAAATCATGGAACAATGTGTAAGCTGCCGACCTCGGTACCTTTTCAACGAAGATATTGGGCTCTGGAAGAGTAAGTACTCTATTATGGATGGTTTGATGGGAAGGGAGAGGGCGTTTATTGCTTGGGTCTGTATCTGAGTCGTGTCTGGCGCTGGGTCGGATATGCATCGATCAATGAGCGTCGCGGCGAATATCCTGAGACAGGCTACCAGCTCTATACTCTGATGTACTCTCAGAGCGCGCAGAAGCTCTTTCGTTGAGGTTTCGTTGATACCCTCGTATTCAAGAAACCTCGCCCACTTGCTAGTTGGAATTTGGAAATCCCGTCCACTTTGTGCGCAAGCATCGGCATCCCGAGGTTCGAATCCCTGCGAGTTTGAAGAACACTTCTGTCAACAAGGCGTCTAGTCTAGTCAAGCGCGTGATAGACATACGTTGATACTATTGCACTGAAACTGGTAGAGCTGAGCAATGATGTTGGGGTCTGAGACACTGATCCGGTTTTTTCCTAGATGAACGATTCTTCCATATCTCGAATGAAGTTCTGTGAGCTTGCGACCATCATGAGGTGAGTTACGCAGGTAGATGTGCCACCACCACAAGATGCGCGATATTAAGGGGTCGGGAGCCCAGTTCAAGTGCGCGTATTGGCGGAACGTGTATGCAAAAGCCAGCATTGCTGACAGAAGTGCAATCACGAGCAGCAACATGGTTGCAGTCGCTCGGAACCGCTCATCCTATTCCTCCAGAAAACCTTCGCATTCAAATAGAGGTCAAAAGGAGTGGTGCTCTCATATGAGGTATCCGGCTGTGTGACGGTTTGGGGGATATAATTTGGGCCCAGCCGCGTTATCCCGAAACCGGGTCGAGAAAATAAAACGGAGAAAACATCTCCTCAACGTCATTGTCGCAGCATCACCGTGCGACACGTCTGAAAGGTCCCCAAGCACGGGCTGCCCCGGGTGGAATCAGCCTGACATTTAGCTGCGAACCTTGATTGGCGCAGACGAGGACTTCCAAGGCCAGTCAGTCGACTCGAAATTACGTGATGGGAAACACGATTCCCCCGGGCGCGCGCATGGTCATGGGGCAATCGGGCCGAGAAGTTTCATTCTGAAGGGGGTGGTTATGAAAGACAGGCTGACGGATCTGCAACAAGGGAATCCTTAACGGGCCGATAATACCTTAAGTTGTAGATTGATTATTGATTGATGAATGTGGCAGTCGATCGCGTGGCATTCGGATGGCTGTGAAGTTGATGATCACATGGGAGTGACTACGACCATTCTGGTTACCGCCTTGGCTGTTTCCTCGAATTTCCCCGCAATGTTTGGATGCCAATCTTCTGGCCTTGCCTCGTGTTTCTCGTCCTGTTCTGTGTGGAACACCACGAGGGCAGTTCGCACCAAGTGGAGTCGGCCTCAGATCCCAATCCTCGTGTTCAGAGTTCCTGTCCGTTATCTACTTTGCCCTTGACGCTTATCAACGTGACCGTGACTCAAAAGTCCAACGTGCGCGATCTCTCTTATCAGTTGCCGCCCCCCTCCGCATTTGGGTTGAACTGGACGACCCCCACAATCCTAGCCTCATACCGACATCTTCAAACCTTTCAGCCATTTTCATGATGCATATTCTGCCTTGACACTAGCAAAGAGTGCTTGAAAATGGCTCATGGGAAGGTCCACCGTGGGTTGCAGCACCGATCTGCCGAAGAGCGTGCAAGCGCAAGGCGATCGATGGTAGCGTATGGACGGACCCATGTTCCCTTCTGCCACGTGGGTGAGACTAACATCTACGTGTAGATGCAATCGATGTCGCTCCAGGAAGACCCGCTGTGCTGGCAATCCTCCTTATCCGTGTGCGGCGTGCGAAGATGTAGGTTATGATTGTGTGTATTCCGAAGCCGAGAAACGTGTGTCTATTACCGAGAGGTGAGTTGACGACTACACCTACACATCCATTATCTGACTGAGTAGCTACTTTCGTCGCTTGCTATCCGATGCGCAAGCCGCTCGTCAGGGTTTGTTTCGTCCGATCTAGGCTATCGTATTTCCAGCTCACTCTTATCCAGATGGAAATCGCCCTCCACCACCCGCGCCCAGCTCCACCTCAGCTTCCCAGAGCACTTCCGTAACCCCAGCGGAGACACCTCTGGAACGAGACGACTGGTGGTACAATGGAGCGGATAACCTCTTTCTTAACCGGTCGGGCGAACATCGTACGTACCACTCTTACCTTCACAGGAAAGATACTAAAGGATTCATGATTCGATCAGAATTTATCGGAGCATCCTCCGCCACTCATCTAGCCAAGCGTCTCAACCCAACCTCAAAGAATTTAGCGTGGGATGTGCGCCCACTTTATGATGATCCAACATCCTTGCGTCGATCTATATCGCCGGCCTTACCTCAATTACCGCCTTTCGAATACGCCAAGCGTCTTTATTGGGTGCAGTACAGTTACATCGGAACAATCTTTTCCCTTATACAGCCACAGGACTACGAAGATCGACTTTACATAGTCTACCACCAACCTCCAGACCTACTCAACCGAGAGTCATGTCTGGTCTATTGCCAGGTCCTGCTAATTATCTCATACGGGCTGATGTATTCGGTGAATCAGTGGTCGGGAGATGATGGTCCTCCTGGCTTCAAATACTTCAAGCATGCTCTTCGCTTCCTACCAGACATTCATGAAGAGGGTTCCATCTTCTTTGTCGAAGTACTATGCTACGTAGCATATTATATGCAGAACTTGAATCGGCGGGATGCTGCATTCCTCTATGTATGTAGTTTTGTCACCCCACAACACGACAAAAGCTTACAAGTATGACTAGATTGGCACCGCTCTGCGGATGGCCATCTCCTTGGGACTTCACCAAGAGGCGTCGGATCCAGCAATGAGCGAAGAAGACCGGAACCGTCGACGTCGATCCTGGTGGTCCGTGTACAGTTTAGATCGGTAAGCCTGTGTCAGCTAGAAGAAGATATGACGTAACCTGACAAACACTAGGCTCCTTTCCGTGAAATCCGGAAATCCTATAACCATCCAAGATGAAGACATAGGGACAACTTGGCCGCGACCGGTTGTAAGCTTTTGAGTTGTCAAGGGATTTGAGCATGAACTGACTGCACGTAGAACCCCGGCGACGTGGTCCCCTGGCCTTCTGTTGTTCTAATACACTATACCCAATTATCGAGAATACTTGGTCGCATTGGAGAAGGTAAAGATGGCTTCGCTGACCTACCAGACGCGATCACTAACTTTTAGTCGAAAGAAATATATCGGAAGAAACCTCGCTCCGGGTCAAACCTCCTCCTCTCAGTACAAAGTATCATGGACGAACTATTCGACTGGCTACGACGAGTACCTGACCGCTTGCGTATTGATTTTTCAACTCTTGGAACGCACATAAATCGCGAATCAGTGTCGTTGTTTTTACATTTCTACTCGTGTGTCAATATGACAGCAAGACCATTGGTCTTTTATATCATCCAGCGACGTCTTGATGCAGACACAGCAGGCTCGGTAACAGATGACTGGAAGAAAGGGCTTTCGCAGAATGCCGTGCAGGTGATAGAGAGCTGCATTTCCGCTGCTCGTGCTACCATCATGATCATGGATGCTGCTTCTAAGCAGAACCTGGTTGGTATGTGCATTCGAGTCCCTCGATCCTGATACTGTTAGCACTCTAACGCGCAAGCAGCGACCTACGGATACCTAGATGGAGAGTATATCTTCTCTGCCGCTCTTTTGCTGGTCATGGTCAATGCGGCTTTTCCGCACAACGATTCCAATGCGCGATCCATGGCGACCGCGCTGAACCTTCTCCGTGGGATGGCGGATCGAGGTAATACCATCCTCGAGGCTCGTCACTCATTGCTTCTCGAACTACAGTCCGCCATTGGGCCGAACCGCTCAAGGGATGTGGACAACAATGCTTTGGATATACCGGCCACCCCTGCTAGCACGCAAAAGCATACACCATCTTCTAGCGTCGTGGAACAGGCTGCACGAACAGGACCGAGACCTCAGAACCAGGATATCTCTTTTGTGCAGGACATATCCTTCAACTTCGATGTAAATGATGACCCCGGGCTTTGGGATGAGGTCCTTCATCAAATTGATATCGACATGGACACCGATTGGATTGAGCAAGCGTTGCGCAAATAGGAAGGTTTCAAAAATATAAGCCTTCCTTACTGTCAGGTTTCCTTAATTTTCACGCTCTCTCAATGATGTAAGGCAACGCTTAATGAGCACATGTAGGCACATGCACACCCCTTGGCTGACATGAGCAAGTACACGAATGTTGCCCATGGTATTATTGTACCAGCTTGATCTGATTTCACTCACTTGTAGAGACCTCCGTGTCAGCATCATGTTGCTTCACTTCAATTGATTACTGTTCCGCAATCTTGTTGTATCTGTGATAATCCCCCTAGGATGCACCACGAGGTGCACTTACCCAAAGCGGTAATCCAACGGGCGGCTGTAGGCTGCAGCTGGGAGATAAATAAGCCGCTTGCAAGACCACCGCATTTCCCCGCTCTTCCTCTCCATCAACCATCTAAATACCACCATCCCAAGCCATTGATCGTGGGGACGCGCTATCATCAATTCTGTTCAACTGACAATTAGCGAAGACCCCGTTGACGCCCGCACTGTTTGCCACAATGGTTCTACGGCCGAACAACTCTCCCCTGACTCCGGAGTTCGACGCACTGGTTGAGGAGAAACTGGCCAAGTGGAAGGTTCCTGGACTCACAGTGTCGGTGATCCATGGCTCCAGCACTTATGCCAAGGTACTGCCAACTTCCAACGTCGCCATTTAGTATGAGCTAACCCTGGAGTACAGGCATACGGGATTGCGGAATTTCCCGACAAGAGAATGACCGTCGAGTCTCTCTTCGACACATGCAGCACCACAAAAGCCTTTACTGCGGCCCTCATGTCAATCGCTATTGACGACAGGAAGAACACACCAGATCCAATCCGCTGGGACACTCCCATCTCGTCTCTGATCAGGGATGATTTTGTCTTGGCAGACCCGTACGCCACCGCGAATACCACAGTTGAAGACATGCTCTCTCATCGCTCAGGTCTACCCGGGCATTTTGGCCCAATGTCCCTCGCCTTTCCGAATGAGACCCTGCGCGAGGAGGTGCGGAAGCTACGCCACCTGCCCCTTGCATTTGCTCCACGGACAACATTCAATTACTGCAACCATATGTTCATGGTCGCATCGCATGTGCTAGAGAAATTGTCCGGAACATGTCTGGGGCGCGTAATGAAAGAGCGGATATGGGAACCACTCGCAATGAACGATACCTACTTCTCGAATAAAGAAGTGCTCGCGTGTCCATCCACCGCACAGCGTCTGGTGAAGGGCTACACCTGGGATCCTACCACGAATTGCCACGTCGAGCGACCGTACATGGATTATGCGCCTACCACCGGCACGGGCGCTATTGTCAGCAATGTGCTCGACTATGCGAAATGGATACGCACGATGATATATCAAGGAGCACCGATTTCACCACAAGGGTATAAAGAAATTTTATCTCCGCGGACCATCATCAAAGACTGGGAAGACTTGATTATCCCGCCCGGACAAGTCCACCTCTATGCGCTCGGGTGGTTTGTGGATAACTACCATGGCGAGCAGATATTCTGGCACTCGGGGAGCTGGGAAGGGTTCGGAATCATGATGGGCTTTGTCCCGAGCAAGAAATTTGGCTTTGTCATGATGGGCAATACGCAGAAGGCAAGATACGCGGAGTTGGAGCTCTATCTCTATCTTCTTGATCGGCTATTGGGGAGATCGGGCGAAGACAGAGAGGCCTATATTGCTAAGATCGATGCAATCGTGCAGGAGAGGCAGAGAATACAGCTGCAGAGCCTAGAGGAGGTAAAGGATCGACTGTTTCCAGGAATTACCCACTGGTTGCCCCATCCTTTGTCCCTCAATAACTATACAGGCACATACTCGCATCCAGGCCATGGGCCCATTACACTTTTCTTGAAGGATGCGAAGCTGCATGTAAACTTGATGGATCGAGTTGCCAAGGAATGGATGCGCTTTGAGCACGTGAGCGGGGTGTTTTTTGTCGTGAAGGTTTATAAGCCAGAGGCAGAAGGTGTTGATCCTGAGTACATGGCGGCGCAGTTCCACGTGGGCGTGACGGGGGTGGTGGAGAGTCTGGCCTTGGACCTGGAGCCTGCACTGAATGGACAGATGATTTGGTTTGAGAGAATGTCGAGCCGACAGTGATCTTTTACCTGGAAATTACCACGGGATATTTATAGACCCAGGGGACCACTGTGTAGATCTCCACCAATCTCAGCATCAATCATCTCCCCAAGAGACACCCAAGCCCATAACAAGTGACCGCTACAATTCCAGCTCAATAACCTTTCCCTGAACGAGCGCCCCTTTTAAGAAACGCTTACCTTGGAACACTTCTCAATCCCCCCCCCCACCAGACCCGAACAGCACCGTCATCCCGCTTGCGCAGGCTGCGTCCCGCGCGCTCCCCTCCCACCTCCTCATCCGCACCACTGACGACCTTCGGCCGCTTTTGCTCACACCTTCAGTGAGCACCACAACGCGCACATGTGAGTTTCACAGTCCAATTCAAAATCCCCAATGTGAATGTCAAAAAGTTATCAATCAAAGAGAAGACGTTCGAAGATATATACAGACAAACTCGAGCACCCTTTCAAATGAAGCTATATAGGTAGGATAGCTTTACCAGACCAGGAGCTGTTTGCCGAGGTAGTATGGCACTCAATCTTTCGGGCCCGAGTAGGCTAATATCCCCACCCAGCATCCACGATGGATGTTCGTCACAGGACCTCCAAGATCTCCTGGAGGCAGGTGCTTCGAGACTGTCTGATCTGTGAGCTGGTGGGGCACTCCTTTTCCGAGCCCAACGGACAGCCCAGATCTCGGAACAGACCCGTGAATCGAGAAAACCGATCCCGGAGAAGTCGTGCGACGCGATAGTCCGGGGATAGAGAAGCGTCTCCCTGGAGCTTATAGAGGTATTTTGAGCAATGGCTCTTAAGCGACTCTGCCTCTGCAGTCTTCCCCAAGCTCAAGTCGGGCTTGCATCAATCCAGAAACCATTAACTGGGGAGATTATCATAGATAGGTCGGCTGCCATCCGGTTGGAGTGTTATTGTCTTCGGCGGGCTAACCGTGAATCCACTAACTCGAGCTCCTAGGACGAACAAATGCTTCCTGCTTCAGAATCACCTGTCTTAACCTCGGAGGCTCAATTGTGTTTACAACGTAAGAAGGATGAAAATGAGGAGGCATGAACGCTGTGATGGCCTTATATACCGGTGGTATCCCTAATTAAACATCCAGAGATGACAACATAGCACACAATTCCAGTTGCCCGATGCGTCAATCAAAAGGTTGAGTTGATCGGCAGACTATCCAACTGGGGCCAGAAGTCCAGCATCAAATCTTTATCCAATGCAAAGTAATCCAACAAGGACTCTGTACGGGGATCTAGGCCAATCGAGTCCATGTAGTGGCCGTGCTCCAATGCAGGGTGAGAAGTGGCGTTTGAATTGCCATTGCGCTCTTCGTTTCCTGTCCTTGAGGAACTCGCTTCACCTCGTGTCGGTTGATTGGCATGGCACGTCGTGGTGTGGGGTTGCACAAGCACCATACCTGTCACCGCCGAGCCATTTGTCTCCGTTGCATCCTGGGGATGTGGTGCGTCCGTGTTCGGTAGACCCAGACGAGTCAGTTCTTGGCGCAAGCCCTGGAGAATGACACTATACTTCCAGGAGGGTGCGTTCCGGGCCGTAGCATTGGCCAAATGATCTTGAGCAAGTGTGGACAGCTTGTAAAGCGTCGCTTCATCCAGCTCGGTATCAAGCGAGCCCTCTGGTCTTGGCAGAAAGGGGGGGCGAACGCGGAAGATCCGCCCCTGTCGAAGTTGAATCAAATAGATGTAAATGATAGACAGAGCATTGAAAGCAATGTACTGCGAGTACCAGAATGCTGTATAAAGCTCATCGTCATGCACGAAGCCGAGGATCAGCTCAATGGCATCGCAGGCTGCCGTAAGGCAGGTGCAGAGAAGCTCCTGGTAGGTCGTATCACATTCCGGCCACATCTGCCCATAATTCCGCAGCAGCAGCGGCCTCGTGATGAACATCACAGCATGGTATCGAGCCAGTCGGAGTACGGTCAACTGGCGCCGGAAGACCGGCACCAGGCTGCTTGGATGGATAACGCCCGACAGGAACGGGGGCAATCCAGCTTGCCACACCTGTACCTGTTCATGCAATGCGCAGATAGTTGCGATCTGCTCTCGGGTGGAGATTCCTGTTTGCACATAAGACTCTTTGACAGCCCGCGTCAAGATACGAGCTAGTAAAACATGAAACACAGGGGCGTCCATCAAGCAGTCACGCTTTGTGAGTCGATTATCTTGGGGTGTCAAGTCTGAATCATTGACTCGTGTAGGAAGATCCTCGTCGATGTCTTCATCCTGCCACAAGCGTGGTCGACCAAGCATAACGCTGAGATACTTGTCCAAGGTGTATGAGCACCATACGAGTCGCCGTTGGCATTCCTTCTGCACCAAGTTGTGCCCATCTTGACCCCTTCTTGTGCGTCCGTTGTGCAATCCAAGGGCCATCATCAGCTGGACCATAGTCCCAAATGTGAACCATGCTTTGTGGGGCCTCGAGGAGCTGAGCAAATATAGCACCATGAGGAAGCGAGCCTGGACAGATGCCATGCTCGGAGCACCTGTCTCACGAGAAAGTAGGTGGTCCGCCTGTGCATAATACATTTCACTCTTCTGCCAGCCATGCTCATCTGCATCGCGCATACGTCCATCCATGTCTACCCGAAACATTGTTGCAGTGCTGAAAAGAAGCAAGAGAGTGGCCTGCGACGCCGCCTCGAGCGATGTGTCTACAGGCGATGAGCAGGACTGGTCGTGCGGCGTTTGGCTCTTGTAGATGCGATGAACCAGCCTCTCGACAGTCGGCTGATGAAGAACCCGGTAGGTCGGTGCAGCAAAGTCGAAGTATCTCCGAACCAGGTCTACGGCGATAGTCTTGTCGGGCCATGTAAACCTATTGACTGATGATAGCGGCACAACACGATCTCCGTAAGAGAAAATCGAGATTGTCGAATGCTTGTCATGGTCATGTTGCTGTGAGGGCGACAGTCGCGTCGCAGGATGAAGATCTTGAACAGCACGGTCTAGGAAGGAATGCGCAGAGGTAGGACCCCAATATTGACCGGTCACTCCAGGCGAGCTTCCGTCTCCTCCCAAATCGACCAAGGACTCTTGGATCGGACGTGCCGACTCAGATGCCTGGGAAATAAGCGGACTGTGCGAAGTCTCGACAGCGGTGTATCGGAACCCACCCGTCGGGGTCTGCCGATTGCGAGGGTAAGGAGAAAATGCATTGCCGTCAATATATCTCCTCCCCCGGCCCGGGGTTGGAGGTTGACGATCATCGTTCGAGGCGGATGGTGGGGGGCTGAGGGCTACCCCGCGATTATAGGCCGTCTGGTAGGTGCATATCAAATGCTTGCGAGTACATGGACCACAAGGTATGCTTCCGGTGCAGGCCTTTTTCTTGGCCTTGCAGGTGTCGCACGCCCTAGTGACCTTTCGAGCTTTGCGTATGTGCTCGTTTGAATCGTCCGACCTCATTTTCCGCCTGGGGCCATTCCCGAACGGCGGTCGAAGGCTGGTATCAAAGTAGGAGACAGCGTACTGCCATGAACCGACAGCATCATCAAGCAAGCATACTATCGATTGCCTTGCGCTCCTCAAATGCCGTGTTGACTTGAAAGCGTATAGCTAAAGCTTCAGAGGCTTGCTTGCGTTGTATGAGGACAGAATGGAAGTGACTTGCTTCTCTCCCGACAGTTTCCGCCATTTTTCCGCCGACGTCCGTGCTATGCTGACACATATCTTACTCAGCGTCAGCAACCTACATGCAACACTCGGTCAATTGGCAGCATCCAAGAAGTTTCACAGTAGATAGTGCTCCTCCCAGCGAGGTACATCGGCTCGCTTGATGACCAGAACCGACCTGCGCGAGATAATGCAGTATTCTAGCTCTTCGACGGCAGCCTAGTCACCTTCACCGAATGTCAACATGTCATTCGAATGCGAGGAGTCCTAATTCCAGGTTCATTACTGGTCAAGGATCCGGCAGCCGGTGGGAAAAAATCAAACCATCGGTTGAGTACCGGCAAATGACCCTGGAATGATTTATCGAGATCACTTGAATATGAGAAGGTGTTTACGAAATCAAAACAAAGATCTATTCGGACCGCAGCCGACCGACTTGGCAGGGCCTATGCTTGGGACCAAGACCTGTGGCGCGGCAATCTTAAGGGAATCACCTCAAGTCAAGAATCCGACCCACAGGCAAGCAAGAGTCATAGCGACAAGTATGTTATCGGGCCATTGCCACTAAGAGCCCGACAGCAATGCCACAGCATGGAATGGGAAAAGTGCTACAAAATCGCGCAGAAGTTGAGGCCTTGTGGGTCTATGGTTTTTAGCTCATTGCTTCAGGATGTGGAACTCGCGCAGCTGCACAGAAACTACCCGATACTAGAGAACTCTAGCGCGGCGACTCTGAGACATCTGGGAGCGACTATCCTTCAACATCACTAGTTACTGGTTAATGTCTGCTTTAAGCCTCTAAATTGCTCCTCATCCTAGTCACTAACCTGGGAACAGGACGGAGACGAGTGCATATCATGTTTAGCCGCTGGCGCCGTACTTGCTCGCTGTTCCTCAATTGTCATTATTCCTAGCCCGGTACATTTCCGGCCAACTTACATCTAACCATTGTTTATCTGCCTTTTTTTCTCCGCGGTTGATCTTCTCCTTACCCTCTGTCGGGTTAATTCATTTTAGAGCGCCTGCGAACTTGACTTGAAGTCTATTTTTCTCAACGCAATTCGGCCCTCCATCATAGGCCACCTTCGTTTACCGATGACCAACTCATCAACGGCCAGCGATCCCGTGATCGCCTGTACAAAACCTTCTTTCGATACAGCAAAGCAACCTTCCCCGGGTTTCAATACTACCTCATCAACCACCCGTGAGCCGGAGACTGTCAGCACGAGTGGCTCCAACAAGATCTTCCGAACCCGGGGCATTTTCAATAGAGTACTCCTATTCACAACCGCGGCCGCCGTCGCATGGGTGGCTTGGGCAGCCTCCCATCGGGGTGACTGCTCTCTCGTCTCGGGCGAGATCGATGGCTGGCGGTACGAGTACCGTGCTCCGGGCGGCAATTGTGATACTTCCCTCTCCCGGCACATCCTCGAGTCAGCAATTCGCCATTATCTTTCGAAAGATGAAAATAGCAACAGAGCATGTGACACGCAGTGTTTGTCGATGGACCAGGGGCAATCTCTTAAGGGTCACGTGAAGATTGGAAAGGCGGAGGTCTTCAATGCCTCCGCCTATTGTTGGCCGACATGGGATTTGGAAGGTTGCGGTTTGAAAGCAGCAAACGACTTTTGAGAGAGGGCTCCGGGGGTAATTCGAATAATGTGTAGGAGAACTAGGTGTGTGAAAAAAGGCTTCGTGATGATTACTTTCTAGTTTGTTGTGCTGCACAAAAGAAGGCTCAAGTCTGGGGAGTCGTAGTGTACCTGGCTCTCGGCTAGGGTTAGGAATGGGACTGGATAGAGGGAGCCTTTTTTTTTTACTTGGTACATTCGCATTAGCTCTATTTGAAGCCATCTTTACACCATAGCTTGGTTCTGATAGTTTGGATTGAGCTGGGCATTACCGCATTTTAGCATGTCTATAGAAGAGATATTCTTGACTTCGACGGCCATGGCAGATGCATCGTTCGCAGGATTAGAGATCAACCAAGCTTGAATCTTCAAGATAACTCAACAGGTATACATCAAGGAGAGTCACAACCAGTCACCAAGCACTCTGAAGCGAGGGACGCATAGCTTAGAGACACAATGTCAGATAGAGAGTGTTATGCCGTGGACAATCATCCCACAAGCTCGCGATCTGCATAATTGCACTATCTGCCCACGATGCTATGCTTGACGAGAACCGTATCTCATCCTGGGCTGCCATGACTGACATTCATCCACGTACCGGACAGAGGACTTACCTTCCCATCTAGTCGAAAGAGTCGTAGTACTTCACAGTGAATCCGCCATCATTGCCCTGGGTCACAGTAGCATAGAACTTGCCCGCCCTCGCCACCGCTGAAGTCAATGACAGCACCATCTCTCTCCACAGCAGACCGGTCGACAATCTCACCAGGCACCGGCTGGCTCTCCGCAACGAAGAATCTCATCTTAGGAGTGGCTTGAATCCTCTGATCATTCTTCGGAGCAACCTTGTCGTAGAGAAGAGCCCATCAGCCGCAAGACAATGAACTGCTGGACGTGTCCTTACCGATCCGACTGGAGAAACTTGTCCTCTGTGATTGACCTTCGCAAGACCAACAAGATAAGTGTTGTTGGGCATACTAAAGTCTTTGCCTGTTTTGAACTCGTACGAACCCTTCGTCGCAGATGGGTCGATCTCTTGGATGGTTGGGAATGATTCGATATTCTGCATCTCAAAAGTGCCTCTTTGTGCAGCGAGGGAAGTTAGTCTTTTTTCTTTTCTTTTTTGCTCCCTGATGCCGTTTAACTTCTTAGTGTGAGATATCTATGCACCGGTACTAAGGTAACATACTCCCGGGTACGCCTTCAGAGCCCAGTCGGCCGAGCAGGCTCATGCCACTGAAAACTACTACGCCTGGCGCGGGCGAAGTAGGCACAGTTCCCACCCCTGCACAGCTTCTTGTCAGCTCAGACATACACCTCGAAGAGGCACAGGTGGCAACTTACAGGCATAGAAGTCGTCGCCAGTGTTAACTTCGAAACTTCCATGGAAGGGGATGAACATGGTGTACCAGACATTCAGCCACGGTTCCTGGTCACCAGTAAATTCTGGGGTGTCCATCATGATTGCATAGTTCGTGTTGGCCCCACGCCGGTTTTCCACGCTGATAGTGTAACGATTCATCTTGTCAGTGTCCAATACAACCGACGTACTAAGTAGCTTATCAAGAGAGAGAAGAGAAGATGTTAGTTGAGATTGTGAGGCTACGGGTGAATGGTAGGTATTTAAACCTTCTCGAGTTGAACCAGGCTTGGGAGCTACCAGACAGCTTTGATAGGGCACCATGTGTTCATTACTTTTAAGCTCGGGTCTCTGTTACGGTCTGAATCTCATCTTATCTTTCTGTTCGTTGTTCCTTTTCGATTTCATTGACAAGGCATGATGTGCAGAAGGTCTCTCGGGTCGAAGCAGATACTAGCTTCAGTATACATTGGGGGCAACACAATGAAGAGGCAATCTGAATTCAAGGGTTGTAAGGGGCTATAAGGGCATTCGAATAAGATTGCAGAGAATATAAATGAAACGTTACAGGATATAGATCCGATTGTACAGTACGACACATACATTTACCATTGGACACCTCAGTGCAACATAATCACATTTCCGATTGGAGTTCCTTTTCCAACCGCAATCCCAGCCAAGGGAAACAATTCCGTATCTTGTCTGCCCCTCACCAGACCAGTTTGGAGCAGTGGCTCGGAAGCATCAGCTGGATGGGCAGCATCAGATCTACGGTATACAATGCGCATCCTTGCCAGTTCACTTACTCATGCTCCCAAAGATCATCCTTTTTGCTCAGGCATTCGGCTAGTCCCTGACATTGTGAGCTCGATCTTGCAGAAATAAAGTATGAGATCCAACGCCACCTTCTCTAACCTGGTCTCATTACATGTGCAATATATTCCAGCTCGTAGCTGAAGACGTTCTGCGCATGCCGTGCATAACGCCGAAAACCGGAGGGCCCGTGACTCCTGCTAACTGACCCATTAGTCACAGCGGAAGCTAAATTGTGGGCCCGGCTCTGGCATCATCTATTCTTCCAATCGCATTTTACTCAAACAAAATACTCAAACAAGAGATTTCGATCGCTTCAGATGCTGAGCTTGGATCATCTTCACAACCTGCATACTCATTATGGATTTTACTGTATCGACTGGCCAAACTAGATACCCACGATGTTACTTCTCAATCCCAGATTGCGCTTCCACCAGGTCCGTGCTGGATTTGTGTTTATAGGAGATTGTCCGCTGAGAAACATTTAATCATGCTAGGTATCTAATTACTCAATGCTACCTAATTTATACTATCAGTAGAAGACTAACCAGCCTAAAGCTACAGTAGCACACACAAATGCTGCTTTCATCGTCTCCCCTTCCGACTCTCCACCTGTTCTAATAGTTCTTCATAAAGTATACAATCCTCGCATTCCATTCCGAGAGATGCTCCATCTCTATTCTGCCCATCATCTCCATATTGCACCGACAGACCTTCGATTTTTGCAATCTCCTGGCTCGGGACATGTTCATGACCTTGAAACCCCATTCCCCCCAGCGGGCTGAACTGATGCAGTTGAATCTCTTCCGGAACTTTGGCAGTAGTCGGCTCGCGAGGACGATATTTCACTTTCAATTCCATGAACTGAGCGGCCCAGATCTTCTCCTCCGGGTCGTCACCTGTCGATCTTCCTGTCTCGGTGCCCATGTGCAGTTCCTGGTCACCTGCATCGGATAAGCCGGTCAGTGCAGCCACCGTGGGATCTAGAGTTGGTCCAGGAATTCCCGTTAATACATGAGGCGAATGCGACCAACCGGCCTCTATACGAGTTCTGTTGATGTACTGAAGCCCCGTCAACAACCATATCTGGGGTTGACGAGCAGTGCCAAGTATGGCGCGGCTGAGGTGGTGCATAGTGCGCGAGACCGTCAATTGCGTAGCGAGCCATCGCTTTGCCTCTGTGGACGGTAGGATTACTTGTTCGAGGAACAAATCTGGGCTAGTCGGATTGAGAATCTCAGTACACAGAGGGATTGTCCGGTGGGTAGTGTCTCACTTTTGAATCGTCACTCGTCGGCTCTGCTGTCCTTTGAGTCGGACCTTAACATTGCCGTCTTCGTCGGTTTCCTGAAGGCTGATGTCAAGGCAGTTCGCGCCCGCAAGCCATTCATGCGAAGCACTCAGATTTAAGGTGCATTTGGTCTCATCACCAGAGCTGCTTATCCATGGCGACAGACTCGCGTCCCTATCGCGAATTAGCTCTGTGCTTGACTGGATTCAGTATCAACCCCAAAAGACTTAGCCACCCACTTTATTGGACATTGGTATATCTTTCGTGAATCACCCACGGGATTGGCGGGGTCGAGACAAAGACTACCGAGAGGCAGTTTCCCCGGTCTCAGTCCCCTGCTGTAGACCAAGAACGGCCGTCCTCGATCATGTTCGTTCATTCTGTACGGCCAGAGACTTCATATAAAGTTCTTCTAATGATTTGCATGTGGTAGACGACAAGGTCGCCGTTTTTTATCCTTCCCCGCAGGACCATCGCTGCAGCCATTGATGTCGCCCAAATCATTGAGATGAACCCCTCTTTTGGGCGCCCGAACAAATCACTGATCATCTCGATACTGCATGACTAGCCGGGATTTGGTGTTCGGGATCACTTGATTGGCTACGGCTTGATAGAGCACAAGAATGTTGTTATCGGCATCGATAGCTTTAAAGCAATTGCTTCTGGCAACCGTATCTCATACATCTGTCAAGGCAACATGATGTAATTTGCTCTTCGACTGCAGGAAATCTCACTGGCTTCACATTCGAACACTTAAAACCAATTACTGGATTATCTTATCGACTCTCACATATCGATCCCATCGTTTCGGTACATCCTCGCAAATCTCCGAGAGCTCTACACCTCGGCGAAGTCACTCTCCTCAAACACCGCCATAGTCGTCAAGTTCACAAGCGGAATGATTCGCGAAGCAAACTCAGCATGACGAGGGATTACATTCTTATAGAAGTCGCGGTCCTGCAGAGAGCCAAACTCGACGATGAAGACATGGCTGTTATCCTACAACAGTTATCAGTACCCGTGCGAATCCGACGCTGGACACTCTGGCACCATACTGAAGACACTTCTGAGGTACATTCCACCCCGCCTCGTATACTCCTAATATACAATCTCCCCGATTGATCCTTGCACTTCTGAGGACGGGTCATGAACTCTTGAAGAATCTGACATGTGTTAGAAGAGGTCACGGGTGGGTCCATAGAAGTCTTACGGCTTGCCGACGGACGCGGATACGGTGGTTGCTTCAGTGTTTGCGCCCCTCCTTTTTGAGGAGCGTGAGGCGCGACGGGATGGAAAGCTGGGATGGGTGGTGGAGAGGGTTTACTGAGGATTGGGTTTGGGAGGAGAGCGGAAGGGCGTGTGCATTATCCGCCATCGGTGAAATCTCGACCGCAGCGTCTATCTGCGAAATGCTCCGGCTGATTACTGGTCCTTTGGACGAAACGTAAGCCGTCAGACGGAGAACGAAATCCGTACGAAAAACAGCTCACGTCGCGATAGCTACTCACTCAGCCCGAAGATCACACGCGCGGACAATGCGGATACCGTCTTGACGGCCTCGGTAGCGCTATCGGCGTTGCGTTCTACGACCGGATCCCAAGTGTCATCCGACTCCCGTCCTCTGGCTCGGGTGGTCCCGTGGCCGTGCATATCTACTACCTCCAGTACGGCCCCTCATTCCCACTGTACGAAGACTCTTGCCAAACCTAATGGGCGAGCAGTATCCATCACCACGGTCCGAACATCCTCCTCCATCGTCCGTTCATCGCACGACAAGCAACCTCCCCCACAGACCGATGATCAACGAGGTGCGGGCTGCACGCATCTCGACGAAAGCACCCGCTTCGCCGAGGCGTTGACGGCGACATTGAAAGAGGTGGAAAGGCATGTTTCCCTGGTAAGCTGACGGCCCTGCCCGGTCCTTCAGTCCTGTCCAGTCCCACCCACATCAAGAAAGGATAGCTGATGCAATGCTCGCGAGAGAACCGCCACCATCTCCCATCATCCACCCCTGCCTCACCGCAGGCCTCATCCACCTGTGCGTCTGGACCCTCCCGAGTCCCGGCGGGACGCCCCGAGCAAAGAACGACTTCCTGTGCATCACATCATGCATGGCCTCGACCAGATGAGTACTGCGTTGGTGTGGGCGCTCCGCGCGATCCAGTTACTGAAGTTAGTCGCGCGGCGTTGGTTACCACCGACAGAGTCTGCGGGGTTGATGGCCAATGAGTTGTCATATCTGTCGAGAGGGGATGGGGCTGAGGAAGTGGTTCCTGTACTGCCGGGGTTGCCGGACGTGGTGGGTTGTGATCCCTGGGCTCAGTCCTTGTGGTCCGAGGGGGGGTGGGTCCAGTCGGGCCTGTTGTTCGATCTAGGCCTTCTGCACTACTGCTTCATGTGATTCATATATTCCAGGGCATTGCGCATTGGCCATTGACCATTGTGCCTATCGATCTCTGGAGTGCAGGAACTGTAGCACGAAAAGTTCCTGCCTGTAGAACCGAGCGGTGATGGTGTATATGAAACGGGAGCCACTGCGGCATCAAAAATGCTGCTGAGCCAATAAGCTGCCGTCACTTCCGCTTCGTGTGTTCCCTCCGACAACATCGCATCGGGAGATCATCTTGCATCTTCCGTCCCAGGAACCAGCGATCTAGGTGGCAGTGTGGGCGGTAAATAGCCTATGTCAAAATCCAGTACAGAGCCTGTGGCCTGCTGCCATCGAGATAGACGACTACTTCGGAACAGGAAGCATCATGGGCGCCAACCGATAACTACAACTATCAAACATCGAAACTCGGCACAGCCCTGTGGAGTGGTCAACGTGGCGAGCTCTGCAGGGCTGGATATCGGCCTATCAAAAGGGTTATAGCACTGGGAGAGTCCCCGAAGAAAGAAGGAGGAGATGCTGGGGTCGCACATTCGGAAGGGAACCGGGTGCTTTTAAAGAACGCGCAGGACTAGCGAATCTACCTTCACTGGCCGGCTATCGAAGACATCCTTAAGATAGAATTGTTTCGGTAAAGAACGGGAGCATCAGTGTAATCTTTGTTTGCAGATTATTGCACAGTCCACAGAACGACAACAGAAACACTATTGACAGTGTGATGAATCAAATCGGGAGCAACCCGCAGTGCGAACAACATCTCGGCTCCTTCGGATGGAAGTCCTGGAACGTCACAATTACAGTTTTCTAGAATCCCGGCCCCAAACCAGATAAAGTAGGACCCACTTGGATACAAGCTTTCAGGGGGGATAATGTGCGCTTCGCCTTGGGGAACTCACATGTGAAACCCCCAAGATAATCTCATCCTAGGTCCCGGGCTCAGATACAACAACATGAATCATAGACAGCACAGAATTAGAGTATATCTAGGGACATTTGTGTCTGATGCAGTGTACGTAAAGACATAAAAGCTTGTCTCTCTCAAGTGTGCAACAGGTTTCAATCCAGTCCGTTTACATCATCTTCCTCAACCCCAATCGCTCTCCAACCCAACCTCCCACCAGCTGACAACCTCCACCCATCCCCATCCCATTCTCACACCACCATCCCTCACAACACAACACCCCCATCACATCTACCCCCGCAAAAATGACCATCTCAACCACCACCACCACCACCTATCACCCAGTCGGACCCCTCGTCCGCGACCTCCGGGACTACATCCACCGGCACCCGGACCGCACGACCGCCTTCCACACGGCGATCAACACCGCGCTGTACCCGCACAACGGGGGCGCGCACGAGATGGCGCGCGAGGGCATCCGGTTACTGGACGACTTCCTCTGTTTCGCCGATGCACTGCTGCGGTGGGTGCCGCGGTGACGACGACGGGCGACGAGCTGCTCAACAAGATCGTCGTCTTCTACTGGGTGCTCGACCAGCCCGCGCTGCGCGGGTGGCAGACGCCCTTCCAGCCCGCCGCCGCCGCCGCCGACCTCACCTGGCTCAGCTACTGGCTCGTCTGCTTCGCCCGCCAGCAGGGCCAGTTCCTCCACTCCCGGGAGTCGGCGGTGGAAGGATATTGATGCCGCACGGCCGGTGGCGGCGCCTGATGAGGGGGCGGTTGTGGTGTGCGCGGCGGATGCGGTGGTGCAGGGGTGGTCCGCCCTGACTCGGGCGGGGGAGGTGCTGGTGCCTTCGGCGATCATGGCAACGGTCAACTGTAAGTTGGTGGTTTGGCCGATCGATCGGCTGTTGCAGGGGGTGCCCAGGGCGAGGGCGAGGGAGGTGTTCCGCGGCGGCAGCCTTGTGCATGCGTGTCTCGGGCCGGCGGATTATCATCGGCAGCATGCCCCCGTCGCGGGGCGGATTGTTCAGACCAGAAATATCCAGGATCAGGTGTATTTGCGGATCGCGAAGAAGAAGGAAGGGCGAGGCCTGCGGCCGGATCGCGGGCTGCGGAGGGATGCGAAGGAGGAGGTCCGGCGCGACAGGATGCCGTGTAAGGACCCGCGGATTCTGGATGCCCCGGATAATGCGGGCTGTCAATGGTGTCAGACGCGTGGGGTGATTGTCATTCAGACGGAAGAGTTTGGTCGGGTGGCGGTTGTGCTGATCGGGATGGCGCAGATCTCATCGGTGGTGATGACGGTGCATGAGGGCCAGTGGGTGAGGAAAGGAGATGAGATCTCGTATTTCCAGTTCGGGGGTTCGGACGTGGTCATGGTCTTTGAGGACCCCGTTCGCTTCAGGGAGGATTTGCTGCCGGGGGTTTCTCGTCTCAACGTTCGAGAGGAGTTGGCGATCTTCAAATGACCTTACGCCATGGCTTTTTTTTTTTTCTTTTTTTTTTCCAGGAACTACACTGCTGCTATAGACGGTAGAATCATTCCATGTGCACTAGGCAATACACATGGCTCAATATTTCAAATTTGTATATACGCAGCTCTATTCTAATCAGAGTTCATGCAGAAAGAAGCCCCCCCACAGTCTTCTCAACATCCTCAATCATCTCCTCCTTTGAGCAACTGGAGTCTAGCACAATCACATCGCTTTCCCATGGACCCGGGCTCTCCAATGTGCTAAGCTGGGACTCCACCATTGTAGCTTGCATGTAGTGTGCTTCTACCGCCGAACGAGCGGCTACTCGCTCCTTGAGTTGTTCCCCGTCACGGATCGAGAGAAGCACGAACGTGACATTGACAGGAAAATCCAATAATTCCGAAAGGCGGCGCAGCTCATCGCGGTAAGCCGTGCGTAACGCAGAACAGGTCACTGCCACGGCCGGCCCGGTCGAGTGCTGCAACCGATCCATGACTGCACCGCGAATATGTGCCAGCCAATCCCACCTATCCCGATCCTCCAAAGGAGTTCCGTTTGCCATCTTGGCACGTGCCGCTGGGGAATGCAGGTCGTCGCCCTCGATAACAGGAATATTGAACCGTTGCGCCAAGGCCTGGGCGGCAGTGCTCTTGCCGCAGCCACAAGGCCCAGTCAGGACGATAACCTCCCGAGGTGCCTCTGGAGCCGACTTCGCCCATTGGGTACGGAAATATGACAGAAATCGATCAACCAGCTCTAGTGTCAGTCCTCCGGCCTGACGCAAAGCTGGAGCAGCCGCTTGGGCTTGCTTGGTGTCGTAGAGAAGAATGCGGCTAGGCGTGTCCTTGTCGTACTTGCCGGCGAAAAACTCGACCAACTTGATGGGTGGATTGACTTTGGGATCTGGGTTAGACTGCCGAAGACGACGAACCCAGTCGCGGGGAGACAGTGTTTCAAACTTCACCCCAGCCTGTCGGAGGAGTGGAAGGAGGTCCTTTCCCCAGTGGTTGAGGTTCGGATTAGTGACATTGAGCACATCACCTGCAACCGGCGCAAGAGTCAAGTCAATAACACTTGCTGCCAAGACATCCACAGGTGTCCACGAGAGAACATCATCCAGTTGTGGAAGCGCTCCGATCGTTTCCGCACTTTGGAAAATCATGGGGATGGCTTCCGTGGCATTCCAGATACCATGAACAGAATCCGCGATGATTTGTCCCGATCGCAAAACGCGAGCCGTCATCCCCGTCGAGTGAGCGGCACGGTTGACGATATGCTCCGTGACGAGCTTAGACTGGGCGTATCCCATTCTCTGTGCGTAAGAGAGCGATTCAGGCAAGGCTTCTGGAACCCAATTGCCCGGAGTTCGGGCCACAGTGCTTACGGATGAGCAGAATGAGAAGCGCGCCGGTTTGGGGCTGCGCACATTGAGGCAGAGATCCAGTAGATGCCGAGTCCCTGCTATGCAGCTCGCCTCGAAGCTTTCCAGGGACCAGTTGAAATTGACAGACCATGCGCAATGCATGACAGCCGTTACTGATTGCACCAGCTGCTCATAAGTCGCTCCATCAAGACCTAGAGTTGGGTCTGAGAGATTCGAAGGCAAAGCCACTATCTTGTGCTCGGCGGCATGGGCTTGGGTGAGAGACAGTCCCCGCGCTCGTAATGACTGGCGAACTCGCTTCAGGGCTGAGTAGCGAGATTCGGCACGGACTAAGCAATAGATAGTGTGGACATTCTCGCGTTCGGCTAGCTGAGCAACAACATGCGCGCCCAGCGAGCCTGTGGCCCCTGTCACAACAACACGTTCAGCGTCGTCTTCCCGCGAAACAGGAATGTGAACCTTGAAGTCGGTGCTGTATTTCTCGATTAGGCTTTGCATGCGTTCTTCTACTGGAATCTCAGCCTTGGGCTCTTGGCCCAGACGCAACCGGGTGATTTCATCAGCCATGGCCTTCAGTGAAGGATTCTCAAACACAAAGTTTTGGGATAATTTCTGTTGTCCGAGATCGAGCGTTCTCATGATAGCGCTGCGCAGTCGGATGGACTGCAAACTGTCAACGCCTAAGCTGAACAGGTCTGTTTGATCTTCAAGTATGGAAGAATCAATAGACGGCGCGACTGTGAGTAGCTGTGCCCGAAGGAATGCGAGAAGATCAGCCCCTTCAAGAACTCGATCTCCGGTTGCATCGTCGATATCGTAAATCTCGTCGATCAGATCCTGGTAATCACGGTAAAAGGCCGAGCGAATGACTGTGCCCTTGTCCGTTTTTCGAAATACTGCGTCTGGCGACAGCACCTTTATCAACTCCCGCGAGATGTAGGCGTAGGCCGGTGATTCTGCATTACACCGCTCAATCGCAGGGTACACGGCATCGATGAGCTCCTCTGCGGTTTTGCAGGGTGAACTTTTAGCGGGTATCAAGAATAGACCCAGACGAGGCTTGTTTGCTCCAAAGGCAATGGCCTCAGCCACGTTGGGGTCATTGCGGGCAACCCCCTCGATCACAAGGGGATTGGCCTTTTCGCCGTTCTCCAGCACCAGTGTGTCGTCCAGACGGGCGTAATACCTCCAGGCGTTAGAAGTTGTTGGATGTTTCTCGAAGAGGTCTTTCGTGGCATACGAGTTGTCCGGTCGGTTGCTGGCTACTTTAGACGGCCAGCCTTCCAGGACACAAAGTTCGTAAATGCCAGGCATTTGCTCCTCCCAACGAATATATGGCAATAAGGTCGGACCAGGCCGGACAAAGTCCCAGTCCAGGTCATCACGTTCGCGGAAGGAGGTCATCAATTGGCCCGTCTCGGTGGTACCGTAATGGGACACGAGGCGGACTCCATTCTGCACCAGCTTGTCACCGATAGGCTTCGGACAAGCCGAGCCGCCAAACATCACCAGCTCTAACCGAGCCATTACATGAAGACCCTCGGGTGACTCTGATAACAACTTCAGCGCATATGGAACGGCATAAAGAACTTGGATTTCTTGGTGCTCTTGGAGGGTCGTGAGAAGATGAGTGGCGGTCAAGGGAAGCTCAGCGTTGTAAAGATATATGAGCTTCTGTGAGTGCACTGCGCGGAACAAGCAACTGATTCCATGAGCGTGGAAGAGGGGCAGAGTGATGAACCCGCACAAGCCGAAGTTATTGGCGTAGTTCTTGAGAGCCCCGGCATGCGTCTGGTAGATGGGCTTGGGATGTCCTGTTGAGCCACTGGAGTGGATGATCCAACAAATGTGCTTTTTTTCGATCTGCCCATCCAATTGAGCTGGTGCTAGCGTCACAGTGGATGTGGCAGTATCGTCATAGTCTCCACGTCCCAGTAATGGCTGGAGGCGAATGCCCGTTCTCTGTGCCACTTTATCACCTATGGCGAGGAAGGTGGTGTGGGCGACAAGATATGAAGCCTTGGTGGTCTCAGCGAGGCTGATGTAGGCATCTTCGGCAATGCGAGTGGATAGCAGAAGCACCGTATGTCCTAGTCTTGAAATAGCGAGCAGCGTGATCAAGTACTCAAAGTCCGAGGGGCCCAGCAAGCCGACCACCTGGACCGGGTCCTCGGATGAACGTCGTTGGGGGATTGACTTGGCATAATGAACTGCCGCTGCTTCGACAAAGGTGTTAAGCTAATGAAGATGGTGTTAGCGATCGAAGATGCTACCCGTGGGTTGACGTGTCTCACCTGTTGGGGGCTGTAGTAGACGTAGTTAGTGCCAGATGACGGATAGGCGACGATTGGCTCATGCCCAAGACGTCCTTTCGCTCTTGTTTGAAGAAGATGGTTTATTGTGTCAAAGTCCTCTTCCAGGCTATCTAGCTCATTGACAGAGGTGGCTGGCGAGGCAACGCTCACGGGAGTCAGACTGGTTGGAGGCGAAGGAGATGGGGTTGGCACCACAGACTGTAATACTGCAGATGCCATGATGAGTGCTTGGTTTGCAACAGAAGCGACAGGAATGGAATGAGGCAAGAGGTACGTTTATTCTTCTATCTTATGCCATTGTCCAGGCACCTGGATGGCCGCAGGACTTCGGCCGGATTCTGTCGGTCGGCCATTTTCCGGACGGATTGCATCAGAGGATCAATTCGGAGATGTACCCCGCGATTGAAGCACCCAAGGCTGGGGTGGAGACATTGCAGTCATGAGATGTGAGCAAGTGGATTCGAAAGATGAGGGGTTGGAGGAAACCAACAACCGAGGCGTGGGGAAATCCGCTCTTTTTCCGCCACGGCTTCCGCAAAGCGCCGCCGCGCTGCTGCCGCTGCCGCTCTCTTCCTGACCTGCTAAGTCACATGGTCTCTATACATCAGCGCGAGTGGTTTATGCATAGTTATGTCCCTGCTCAGTCATTATATACTCGTTACACAACTTTCTACAAGCACAGAATAAGCAAGATGGCCAAGCGATGCGACGTTTGGAATCCCATGTACTCTCGGTTCAATTATTTATAATTCACTCAAAGCAGGTGCTTCTTACATCTTACTCTAACTGAGCATCTACACGCTTTGTGACTTCCGTGGGTAGTGAACACTAATTTTCTAATCCGTACGAAAATATATGATGTTGAGAATAACTAATGTATAAGAGCATACTGATGCAGATGACCCCATCTTCCAGGACCTACCAAAAAAAACTATGCTAGACTGTGGATTTCATTTTGGTCCGAGAAAGGCATTATCAATGCCAGCCTTAAACCTGAAAGGTCAGGCATCGCTACTGCCGTTTATGTCGAGACGAGTCGAGTCTAGTTACTCATTCGTAGATGAATCGGTACTCTTACCCTTTGCCTGTTCTATCATGGGACCTTATGTATCCGCAGCACCTTAAGCAAGTGATATGTATACTCAGCAGGGCTGAGTAGTACTCTGTGATAAGATGTCTTACGATGAAGAGCCCTTCGATGACTACTACGACGAGCCGTGTTTCGATGACCATTACTACGATGAGCCAGATTGCGGCGACCCGTACTATGACTAGGATGAGCCATATTCTAGTGATCCTTACCACCATGGGCCAAATGACAGTGACCCTTACTGTGACAACTGTGACGGGCCATATCGCGATGACGAGCACTACGACGACCCAGACTGTGATGACCCCTACTACGAAGAACCAGCTTATGATCCGTCCAACTACGAACCACCCTATGAAGAAGGATACTATGATCGACCGCCCTCTACAGATCAGTACTGCCATGAGCCGTACTCTGATGACCGGTACCTCGATGAGCCATCTTTCGATTATCAATTGTCAGGAGAGCCACCCTTCGATTGGCAACACTCAGATCAACCTCTCTTCGACGACGAAGACCTCCATGGCGAAGACTTCGATGGTCCCCCTTATGATAATCAATATTACGACGAACCTCCGTTTAATGGGTCATTCTCAGCTGGGCTGCCGCCCCGCCGCCAAAGCTACGCTCCTGCCTCTTCCACTAGCTCAAGGAGTCACCAGCCGCCTGTGAATGTCAGACGTGTAAGTCAGGTGACTGTCAACATTCAGCATTTCCACAACCTGTCTGTTCACGTCCACCCCTTCGCAAACACGACCTTCTCTACCAGAACACAGGACTCTGAAAATCAGCACTCCAGGAATCAACAACCCAAGAATCAGCGCCCGAAGAACAACCACAGGGGTCAGTTCTCTCGTGAGCAGTACCGCAAGAAGCGACAACCCCCCAGGCAGCCCGCCCAGAAACTGCTCTGCGACTCACAGTCGGTTGGGAAAAAGTCCTCTGACAATATGTCTTCTGACAGCATGCCCTCGGACGAAATCACCACCGACAAAATGTCCTCATACGAGAAGTCATCCACGGAAGCAGCTTCTCATAACAAGGCCACCGAAAAGCAAGCCTCGGACCCCTCTTCTGCTTCTACCCATCCTTCTCCCTCCGACCCATCTCCAACGACTCTCCAGTCCAGTCGAGGTAATCCCTTGATCAAAGTCTCGTGCCCATCACCCTATAGTAACACAGCAAGCAGACTCCGTCTCCCAGTTCCGCACTGACATTCTCGACTGGTCTCTGCGCAACAAACTCTCGTCCGAGACTTTCGCCGGTTGTGCAAAATCCTTCATGAAGTCGACAGCCCTGAAACCAAGTCACTGCCGAAAAGAGAGGATATCTTCAGGGAGAACGAGAATAAAAGACTGAGATCGGACAGTCGGGGCAGCCAGTCCTCTGCTGAGCTGAAGTGATTGCACAAGAAAAAGGGGGATCCGCATGTGATATTGCCCAGGCACACCGGCATATGAGGATGACAGAATTTGATTAAGCATCTTTTATGTACCATCGCACAAACAAGAAATTCGGTTAGCTTAATAGGTTGAGAAGACTATGCTATCCAAACAAGCTAGTCTTCGACTTTCGAACCACACACATAAGAACAGCCTTCCGAGCAAAGCTCCCAACCCATCTCACTTAGAACCAACATGAAATCATACGTATCTATCAGAGACCCCTCTATCGAGTACAGTACACCATAACTCAACCATACAACCACCCCCAAAATCACACATTAAACTTCACCAAATTCTCCTCCGCCGCCTCCACCGCCGCCCGACGCACCGCATCCTCCCCAACCTCCCCAAAGATATCACACCCCCACCGAGCCGGGAAATTGAATCTCTTCCCTCGTTCGAGCCCATCCAACCGCCGCATCACCCCCTCCCCCAGTTTCCTAACCTGCAGATTCGCCTGAATCCGTGCGGGCGTCACGCTCTTCGACAACACGACCGTCCCGCGCTGCACGCCCCAGCTCAGCAGCACCGGGCCCGCATCCAACCCGACCTCTTCCGCGACCGCCTGCACGACCGCGTCGTCGACGGCGCGCGGCTCGCCGCTCTGGTTGTTGCCCAGCGGCGAGTACGCCTCGACCAGGATGCCGTTGCGCCGGCAGAACTGCAGCAGCTCGGGCTGCTGGAGGTAGGGGTGCGCCTCGATCTGGTTCACCGCCGGCACCACGTCTACCTTGCTCAGAAGGTCGGCGAGCCGGGCGGCCGTGAAGTTCGACACGCCGATCGCCCGGACCTTCCCGGTCGCGAGCAGCTTCTCCATTGCTTTGTAGGTGGTCACCGGGTCGGCGTCCGGGGCGAGCTCGAAGACCCCGGAGCTGTCGAGCGGGAACCATTTATTGCTGGGTTTGAAGGCCCTACACCATACATCATACCAGGTCTGTGTTAGTGGCGTGTCGTGCTGGGTGGGGAGTAGTGAGGGGGTGACAAGCGGGGGGCGAGGGGCGAGGGGCGTACACAGGCCAATGCATCAGGTACAGATCCAGATACTCGACGCCCAGATCCTGCAGGGTCTGGTCGAGCGCGGGCTCGACGTCCTCCGGCGCGTGCTTGGTGTTCCACAGTTTGCCGGTTATGAAGATCTCCTCGCGCGGTACGCCGGCCGCGCGCATGCCCGCGCCCACTTCCGTCTCGTTGCGGTAGATCGCCGCGCAGTCGATGTGGCGGTACCCCTCGCGCAGGGCGACCTCGACGGCGTGCTCGACTTCGAGCGGCTTGGCTTGCCAGGTCCCGAAGCCCACGGCGGGGATCCGGGCGCCCGTGTTCAGGGTGAAGTGCGTGGGGAGGGACATGGTGACTGGGTGGTTGTGGGTGAGTGTTTGTGGGGGATCGAAGGGCAGGGTGATGGGTTGCCTGGCAATATAACTTGTTTGTCTGTCTCTTCGCGTTGGCGGTACTATACTTACTGCGCAACCGAAAAGAGTAAGTGGGCGGTCGTCGGTCGGATTTCCGCCCCCACAGCCCTAACTGCGACGGAAAAGCGCGCAGCGGAAATCAAGGCGCCGAATGATGGCAATCCTCCACCCCCACTGCCCACTCCTCCCCGCTCTCATGTTCAGACTACGGCAGCCAGCCTCCGCGTTCGATCTTCGGTTCAGTACCAAAGACTTGATTTGGCAGTCGAAACAATCAAGGTAAATCGCTCCGACATCAGAACAAGCAGACATCATAGTCTCTACGAAGCAAGTGTCTTCAAGTTCTGCCCATTTCGGCCACTCTCAGTCCAACTTATGGAAGTATAGTATGGCAAATCAATGATACGCTCTTTTCAATCCTATAGAGATGTCTCACTCCAAAAGATGCGAGCATTCTACCTAGGTCCATGATACCAATATGACCCTACAACTAATAAGAGTACCGAAAGTACACATTCTCCCTATCCGTCAGGTCGACCTGCTCGGCGGCATCATCCACACGCACTCCCTCAGCAGCCACGACTGCATCCCTCCGCTGATTGAGCCACGCCATGTAAGCCGCAACGACAAGCAAGAGGACAATCTCCACGCAGTACGCCACCAGCATCGTCACAATCCCCGACGTATATGTCGGCGCCTCACTACTCTTGAAGCTGAACGGACCCACAATGTTGCCCACGCAGTAAGCGATGAAGAAGACGGCGTTGGTCGTCGACCGTTTCGTTGCGCCCGCCGTATTGGCCGTGATGAGCGACATGATCATCGCGAACGAGGCGGTGTATGTACTCGTTAACTGAGTATCGCATTAGCATTGTTCCTGCAGTATGGAATGACAGTACCATAGCTCACCCAGTAGCACACCAGCAACGCCATGGAATGCGCTCGGGATATTGTATGCAACCCCACAGCCCCTGCCACGGCCGGACACACGTAGAGACAGGCCACGATGCAGCGTTTCTGGCCGGGCAGCCAGCGCTGGAGATACATCGCGGAGACGTTCGAGACCAGGATGACCATCCCGTACGGGATCTGGAAGAGAGTCGTCACGAGGTTCGAGTACCCGAATCCCTCGATGATCAGGCTGCCGAAGTTGCTGGCGGCCCCGTTCACGATCTGCGTGCACACACCGCAGAAGAAGAAGAGCCATGTCTTGGGGTCCGTGAGTGCTTCCTGGATATGAGACCGTTTGATCTCGTGGACAGGTTCCCCAGAATGAGCGGGATCAAGGCGTCTGACAGCAACTTTTCTTTCTTCTTCGCTCAACCAGGAACTAAGGAGAGACGGGTGAGCGTAAAGGGAAACCGAGTATAGGTGTGAGGCACAGACTCACGCATTATACGGCCCATCTGCCAGCGTGAACATCATGAAGGCTCCCCATCCCACCGAAACAGCCCCAAGAATAATGAACTGATACTGCCACGAGGCAAGGGAACCGTGGATATGGCCGATCAGGAAAGCCAACAGACCACCAAAGGAGTTGGCAACTCCCAGGAACGTCGACCACCACCCGATTCTAATGGGTTGCTCTTCGACTGTATACCAAGTAGCCGTGATCAGGAGGTAAGCAGGGGTGGAACACGACTCCAAGCCTCCTAGCAGGAACCGCAGGGCCAGGAAGCTCTGGAACCCATGGCATGCTGCGAGGGCCATTGTTATCCCACCCCAAACAATCATATTGGCCGCAAGCCATTTCGGCACCGAAAGCTTCTGCATCACCAGACTCGAGGGATATTCAAACTGGGTTTCCATCATGTCAGGAACGTAGCCATATGCTTAGCTCAAGCCTTGGGATGGATCACGTACCGCTAGATACCCGAAGTAAAACATACTTGCTGTCATGATACCAGTCAGATGGAATGAAGTGGTTGAATAGGAGATCAACTTACCTAGCCAGCTATACTCATCTCCCTTTAAGTGCAGATCCTCCTTTAAACCGAAGACAGCTGCATATCCCAGCATGGCCTTGTCTATGTATGTGATAAGGTAAGTGATGCAGATGAAGGGAATCACGAAACAATCAATCTTTCGCACCACCCTCTTCCGTATCGCTGGGTCGATAGAGCTGGGGTCCCACTGCTGTCTTGATACGCCCAGTTTATCCTTCTGGATGGGCGGGCTTGCCACATCCTCGACATGGTCTGTAAGGTTCTTGGACATGCTGCCGAATTATCTTCAGTGTCGGTGTTAACTGGCAGGTTGTATAGAGAAGCAGAGTAACAAGATGCCTGCGTAAACAATGACTGTATCAACCAGGCTGACTATAAGCTCAGGAAGTATGAGATCTCAGGCAACCCAGGAGCTGCTCATGAACATAACGCACGGACCCAAAAAGACTCTTCCCCACGGGACAGGCTTCCCGCGGGGATACTGTACGATCGAAGCTCATGCCCATGCGCAAATGGAGTCACTCGAGCGAATGTTGACGAGTCGATGCGTAGTGTAGTGCCTTGGAGAAAATCTGTTGTACTCGGAGGGTCTATCTGCTCCACAAGCTGAGCCCAAGCCTAACACAGTTCACGCTTTGAAACTCAACAGAGAAAGCCAGTTTGGAGAAGAACCCGATGCGCCGGATACGTGTCGGAAACTTCGCGGAAAATGAGCGGAGATGGAGGGAGAGTGGGCGGGGCCATATCTGATCCGGTTTTCGGTGCCGGCCTTGCTTCTGTGCACTCGTGACAGTACCCTCTAGCTCGGATCGGCAGATATGATGGCATTCAGGTAGGTGATGCTCTTCGTATATCAGTAATGTGGTATTCATATGTCAATTTGTGTATAAGCACGCGTTCAACCCCCGGTGTGCAATACATCTCATAGTCTCAAATTTTGCTGGCAGTGACATATCCGCCGAGTCAACGATGAGCTCCACTGATTTTGAAACTTTCGTATTGAATGACGGCTGATATTTGTGAGGGTCTATGACCAGCGGAAAGCGGAGATGGACCGACCCCAGATGCCAGAGTCCCGCGTCTGGGGTCCCCCGCATGGGCCGCTAAGCGAATTGCGAGTCCCGCATTTCCCCGGGTTGTTGTCTGATGCGGCACTTCGCCAGAACCGGGGAAATCCATGATGTGTCCTCGTAGTACCCCAAACAAGGTATATAAGCCCTAGTCCAAGGAGTCAATTCCTGTGTATATGCCCTTCTGCTGTGATCAAGGCCGGCTTATTCTCGTCTGTATATATTCCCTTAATTGATTGACCCTGCTACTTACGTTCATTTCACTCGCCTGCTTCTTTGCATCCCCAGTCAATTCACTTGGTTTGTGGAGGCTCAGAATATCCATACCTTCTTGAAACAGCAACATGGCGGATGTCGACAAAGCATCATCGTTCCATGTAGAATCGACCACGAAACCGTACGATGACAGGGTCTCGGAGTCCTTCGAAGGACTATCGGACGAAGAGACGCAGGCATTAGAGAAGAAATGTGTGACTGCCCCAATGACTCGCCCTTCTTCTCATGCACGAGATTGACAATCTGACACCCGCACAGTGGTTCGAAAGATTGATCTCCACCTGATCTCATCACTGTTCCTGTTGTTCATCTTCAACATCCTCGACCGCTCGAACATTGCCAATGCCCGTCTCGGCGGAATGCAGGAAGACCTCCATCTGTCGGATACCCAGTATCAGACAGCGGTGGCCATTATGGTACGTCGCGCATGAATGTGTCAACATTGCATATCCAAATGCTCACGAGAGGCTCGCCATAGTTCGTCGGGTATCTGCTGGGTCAGGTCCCGAGCAACATTCTCCTCACCCGCCTGCAGCCCTCGCGGTACATCCCGACAGCAATCTTCATCTGGGGCGGCATCTCCCTCTGCACAGCTGCCACCAAGAACTTTGCCGGGATCATGTGTGTGCGAGTCTTTCTCGGGTTCGCCGAATCGCCTTTCTTCTCCGGAGCGTTGTATGTATCCTATTCAGGACAATTTGTCGAATCGTGGCTGACACCTTCGTACAGACTTCTCATCAGCTCCTGGTACAAGCCGTCGGAGATTGCCGTGCGGGTGGCGTTGGTGTATTGCGGAAACACAGTGGCCAACGGGTTTGGTGGCCTGCTTGCCGCAGGCATCATGGACGGGCTGAATGGCAAGGGTGGTCTTGCTGGCTGGAGGTGAGCTTTTTTCGGCAGGAAACACTTTCGTGCAGCGTGCTTATTGGAAAAACAATAGGTGGCTCTTCATCATCGAAGGCGCCGGCACAATGGTAGCAGGGCTACTCGCGGTGGTGCTTCTGCCCGACTTCCCGCGCTCGGGACAGCGCAAGTGGCTGAACGAGCAGGAGCAGCGGTTCGCCGAATGGCGCCTGGCGCGCGCGGCCAACGACGAGGTCGATGAGAACGGCTCCGTCAAGGACGGCTTGAGAGAGGCACTCACCGACCCGAAGGCATGGATGCTGATCTCGATCCAAATCTGCCAACTCACCTCCCAGAGCTGGACATACTTCTTCCCCGTACGTCAAGATCCAACGCCCACCCAAAACCCCTCTTACTAATAGAAAACTGCAGACCATCGTCAAGACCCTCGGGTTCGACAACACCATCACCCTCCTCATCACGGCCCCCGTGTACGTCTTCGGGTTCTTCACGGCGCTGGGAAACTCCTTGATCGCGAACCGCACCAACCACCGCGCGATCCTGATCATCTGGCCGCTGTGCGTGGACATCGTGGGCAATATCATGGTGATCTCGTCGCACGCCACGGCGGTGCGGTACGTCGGCATGTTCCTGATGTGCGCCGGGTCGTACTCGGCGTTCAACGTCGTGCAAGCGTGGATCGCGAGTACGATCCCCCGCACGCGGACCAAGCGCGCCATCGTCTACGCGTTGGTGAATCTGTTCGGCAACTCGTCCAACATCTACGGCTCCTACTTCTTCCCCACCTCGGACGGGCCCCAGTACCGGCCCGGCGGGATCACGCTGTCTTCCTTTGCCGCGGCGGGGATTGTGTTAACGTCGTTGTTGGCCGTCTACCTTCATCTCCTCAACACGAAGGCCAAGAAGGCGGAGGAGCGGGATGGTCAACAGCGCTATAGGTATATCTGGTAGACAGCCGAGACTGGCGAAAGGTGAATCGCTTTGGCATAAGCATCATGAACTTTCTTCGGGTATAGCAAGGAATAATGACATATGAACACTGCCTCTCATCTACATTTATTGCATAGTGAGCAAGCTTTCTCTTCGTTTGATGGGAGACCAATATTGAACCCTGCGCTCGAGACGGACCGGCTTCGTGGGATTATCGTAGGCATTTAGCCTTGAACATCTGTATGCGCCAGGGACGAAGAGGAGGCATTCCAATAGATTCTCCATCTTACCTTAGTTATATACGTTATTCCAATCCCATGTGAATAGTGGCTATCCCACCACCGGTAGGTGTCACCCGCATGAAGTCGGAGATGTACTGTACATGTTTGATCCGCGGGAAACTTACTTCCTTGTACCCGGGGGGACCTCTCTCAATTCCAGGAGAAGCCAGGAGCAGTAAGGTTCTCTTCGAAGGACAAAGGATTCAATCAAAAGGTCGACAAAGGTTTGCGCAGATTGACCCGAGAGCTCACCAGTATAAGCTATGCTCTTTCCATCAAACTCTCAACAACGCGATCGATGTACAGCACATACAGTACAGTACATATTTGAGCGAGAGCGAAACCCTTAATTGACACAAGCTGACAAGAAGCCGTGAAGGGAAAACAAGGACATGTAGCAACACTCACCGGGCATTGAGTGTCAAACTCCCGAGTCGGATAACTGCAGCCGGAGCCGAAGTAAACACGCCTGCGGGGTGACTCCCGGCCGGTCTCCGAGGTATCCAAATCAGGCACCACCAGATTGAGATATTCCCGAGAGCGGATTATGACTATGTACACAATTAGTCATCTTTTCAGCAGTTAGCATTAAGCTCACTGATCATCCCTTGCGCCACGATATTCCTTCCCAAGCCTCAATCCTTAACATGACAACATCCAGATAATTGTGAAGACTTACACAAGACCTCGTCTAGCAACCGATCCCCGCCACTCATCTCAACGAAATTACTCAACCAACAAAACAGACAGTTATCACCCTCCGTCCTCCAATAACAAGCAAAGCCCCACCGAAACTCCAACATGTAATCTTTTCCCGCGCGGCAAGTCTGACATTGCACTCTAGCCGAGCAGATACATACATACAGTACACGGTCAATTCGAACTCCCTCCATCCACTGGAGTACAGGGAACTACTGCCCGTACACCGTCAGGTCTCTCGCGAATGCATCGAACTTGGCCTAGAGAACAACCCCGACCCGAAACATTACCTGGCAGGATGGATATTCTCGGCGGAAGCCCCCAACCCCAAGCCCGCATATACCCGACAGTTCACCACACCCTTGCGCTTCGGGACTCACTCGGGGGAGGAGACATGCCATGCCATGCCATGCCACTAACATGCCGGATGGGGAATCCAAGTCAATCATGAGCCGGCCGGAGAGACCGCCGAAGGGATGTCTGACAACACACTAAACTAGAGCTAGTTGGTCCATGGTCCAAGTTTGTAGTCGAGTAAAACGAATTAGAACAGAGACGTGGCGTATTGATTAGGCTGCAACAACATTCCTAGTTGGTATATTGCAAAGAACAATAAAAATGAGGCGATGATACTTGATTACTGGCCCCCGGAATTGAGTTTCTGGGCTGCGACGCTCCGTCCAACCGGTTGGGTTGAAAGTTTGTCGGAGAGGATACACTACTAAGTGAATTCCCACGGAATCAGAACGTGGACGGAATAGGGAAAAGAAACCTTATGCAACGGGCGGAACGGGCGGTCTGTGTGTGTGTGTGTGTGTGTGTGTGTGTCACTGACCGCTCCCGGCTGTAATTACAGTACATCACGTCATGACTTTCTTTGTTGAAGACATATTTTGAAGAAAAGACACAAGTCTAAGAAACTCTAGATATTCCAATTACCCAATAGTGGGGAGCTGAAGTTACATGGATTTAGAAGTCAAGAGAAAAAAAAAGATACCGTTCATTGATGCATGCCTTGCATATCGCATCTTCATCATATGAGAAAAAAAAATATCAATCGCAGTCTAAATAAGAACATGACACAAACAATCACTCGAGACAAAGAATCGGTCTGCTTTCTGGTTCTTTAACTGCCCAAGACAAGCGACAACGATGGATATCAGTAGTCCAAACCCGTAAAGCCGTAACAATATGGTGGTAAGTGGGGGGGAGAAGATGAAAAATGTCTAACATCAATGGACTTGATCGGTCAAACATGGTGTATTGAGAAAATGGGGAATGAGAAGGAAGATAAAGAGAAGGAACTCGACACCGAGATGTCCAAGTCCTTATTTTTGATCGTTTATAGGCGTCCCGTTTACTCGACAGCGGAGGCGTTCTCGCTGTGGAGGACAGGGTTGACCTTGGGGTTCCACTTGAACTTGAACTCCTGGCCCAGTTCCTTGCGGACGGCGGCCTTGACAGCCTCGAGCACGTTGGGGAAGACACCGAAGTTGGCCGGGTTGTTGTCGTCGTTGTCACCGCCCTGGAAGACACCGGTGCGGACCAAGCAGGTGTTCCAGCCGTGCATGTTACCACCACAGATGTCGGAGGCCGGGTTGTCACCGACCATGTAGATGTTCTCGGGCAGCTTGTTCTCGTTGTGGATCTCCTCCATCCAGGACTTGAGAACCTCATCGGCGTAGGTGTAGGTGGCGCGCTCGGGCTTGCCGTAGACAACACGCTCGAGATCAACACCGGTGAGAGCCTTGTACTGGGCCTCGATGGAGATACGGAAAAGACCCTGGGTGAGACGGGGGGGACCCTTGTGGTCGGTGGGCATGAGCAAGTCACCCTGCGAGAAGTAGATGGGGATGCGGGAAGCGACAGGGTCCTTGGCGCGGGTCAAGAGCTTGCCGTCATCGGCGAGCAAGAGGTCCATGATGAGCTGCATGTCGGTCTGGTAGTCGCGAGAGTCGGCAAAGACCAGGATAGCGTCGAACTTGACCTGGGAGAAGTCGCGGGGCTTGGCCTCGGCCTTCTCCTCCTCGGTGAGGGTGCTCCAGGGAGAGACAGTGGGGTCCCAAGCCTGGATATCCTTGGGGTGGATGACGTTCTTGAAGCCGTAGTTCTCAGCGACCTCGCGGATCTTCTGGCCCTCACCACCGAGAACCAGGACAGTCTCGTAGTACTCAGCCAATGCCTGCATTGGGGTGTGGGACTGGATGAACTGGTCGGTGGAGATGGGGCAGTCGAGGACCTCGGTGAGCTGCGCGCAGCGCGCCTCCTCGGTCTTACCACCACCGTTGGTTAGGAGGATGTAGGGGATCTTGATGCCCAGCTCGTTGTCGCCGTTCAGCATCTTGAGGGCCTCCTTGGCCTGAGGGATAGCGTGGTTACCGTGAGCCAAGACACCGTCAATGTCGAAGGCGAAGGCCATGTTCTTGGCGGCGGCGACCTTCTCCTTGGACATGTCCTGGACCTGGGAGGCCAGGATATCGCGGGAGACATCTCTCGTGACAACGGAGGACAACCGCGAGACACGGGGAGATCTGGGAATAGGGAGGGAGGTGCCGAAGGAGTTGCGAGAGGCACGACGGTCCCGGGAAGAGGGCGCAAAGCTCAGGTTGTGCATGAACTGGGCAGCATCACTGATGGAGCTGCGGGTAGCGGGGACCTCGACAGTGTTGCCGGAGATGTCACCGGGGATGGGGAGGGAGCCGCGAGACTCGCGGTGAGTAGGGGCAGGAGCAGTCGGGTCAACCCCTTCAGCGTCTTCGATGCGAGGCATGATGGATGAGTTTTTTGACTGGTTAATAAGAGGCGAAGGAATTGAGTTTCGAGGTTGAAGAGCAAAAGAGCACCACCAGGGAGACTGAGGAGGGAGAGTTTAAAGCGTCCACCGGAGAGGTGATGGAATGATGATAAGAGACGAGGGAGATGATATCACTCCTATTATAAGATGAAAACCAGGGAACGAACTGAAGAGCTCTTCACCTGGAAGGAAGTGGTAGTGATGGAAGAAGATGAGAAGGATAGAAGGATGACAGAAGGAAAGAAGAAAAAGAGGAGGGCAGAGCTGGGATCATATATAACAAGCTTTGAAGAGCGATAGTGGCGGACCAGCCGAAGTCATTGTACTAGAAATGGGGGATGTTTCTGATGGATGGTTCAAGACTACGGACTACTACGTATGGAGTACACACCAGTGCTGGTGGTGGTGGTGCTGGGATGGTACGGGCGTACTGCAGCCGATACGTAGGAGGAATGATAGTGGAGTCGATGTTGGTGGTGCTGGTGGTGCTGGGTGGTGGTGATGGGTGCATGTTGCTGCTGGTGCTGGTGCTGCTGCTGCTGCTACTGCGGGTTACTGCTCTCCATCCGCCATCCGCAGTTGCTCGAATCCACAATCCGGGCTCCACCGGGGCGTATCATCATCCCTAGGAATTATCGTCATCACTCACACATGAATGGTGATTAGTGCTGATAGGGAGGAGCGGGGCCAGCGGAGTCGGGAAGAGATTTGCCATTGGTGAGTAGAGCAGTGGAGTCTTGGAAAGATCCATGGTAATTTTTCCACCCAAATACCACCCGGACCCTGTCTGGTACCATACCGCCCAGGGTGTCATTTCCCTGACAGGCAGGGAATCAGAAGTACCAAGGGGTACTGGGATGTACGGTACGGTATCAGGATGAGGGATTTTGCTCCACCTCATCACCGACACATCTGCAAGTCTGCAACAAGTCTGCAGTTCTTTAAGGCTATCACTGACCATCACTGCCATCACCACCACAACCACCACACCACTACTTTCGACGGGCGGGGCGGAACAAGGCTATCCTGTGGTATCACCGCCAATAACTAATTTCCACTGCAGGACGAACCCCCTAGATGCCTTAGACTATTTCAGCAAAAAAAAAAGGGGGGCAGAGGATCCTCTTTTCCGACCGGCATGAAGCCACAATGCATGGCCAGTGGACAGGAGGGGGGCAGAACGGACCCAGCAAGTGTCTTGGACTCTTGGGATGGGGACAATTGGGTCAAGGTCAATACCCTCAGCCATGGGTGAGTCTGAGATCGGTGGAGCCGATGACGATCGAGCGGGCAGCAGCGGGTCTCAAAACGCTCGCGCCGTTTCGCTCTCAATCGTGAGCCGGTGATGTCATGGGTTTTGGATTGGGATTGGTCTGAAATACGCAGTGGAGGAGGGGAGGGGGGCAGGAGGAAGAGGAGGGGATGCCCGAGGGTTTCATGACGGTTTTCACTGCAATGCCGTCATGTTGTGCCGGGTGAAGCTCGCTCCGGGAAACCAGAGAGGACAAGAAGAGCTTCGGTGGAGGAGGAGGAGGAGCTACCTAGTTAACTTACCTTACTCATAGAATCCATCCAAGCTTGCCATAAATCTACTGCTATGAGCTCACAATGCCATTGCCCTCGAACCTCATTGCTAGAAGCTTCAGAAAACTCCATCGAACAATGTAGAACTCATCTGGACTCTGTAGAATAGCTCAGAAAAAAGGTTAATGTCATAGTTGAGAGCCAATGGCAAGGTGACAACCACGCCTCGCAGCATCATCCATCACCACCACCATAACCCCTCTTTAGACGCCCTTCTCCCCCACTTCCATCCTTCCTGTTCTACTCACCACAAACCACCACCAGTACCCAAACCACTTGTAGTCAGCTTTATTTGGCCTTTCCTCCCACGACTCCCGAACTGAAGCCGGTTCTTCTTTCTTTCTCTCCCATTAACTTTCCTCCCCCCAACAACAACACCCACATCCACCACAAACCATCCATCATGTCTTCCGGCAAAACTTTCACTCTGAGCAACGGCGTCAAGATCCCCGCCGTGGGTTTCGGTACCTTCGCCAGCGAGGGATCCAAGGGTGAGACCTACGACGCCGTCACTGCCGCCCTCAACATCGGCTACCGTCACCTCGACTGCGCCTGGTTCTACCTGAACGAGGACGAGGTCGGCCAGGCGGTCAAGGACTTCCTCAAGAAGAACCCCTCCGTCAAGCGCGAGGACATCTTCATCTGCACCAAGGTCTGGAACCACCTGCACCGCCCCGAGGATGTCGAGTGGTCGGTCAACAACTCCCTGGAGAAGCTCCAGCTCGACTACATTGACCTGTTCCTGGTCCACTGGCCCATTGCCGCCGAGAAGGAGACTCAGGAGAAGCCCAAGATCGGCCCTGATGGAAAGGTAGGATCTCATCCCTTCACCCCCTCCGCAGCCACCAAACAACATCCCAGCTAACCAACCCCTTCCAGTACGTCATCCTCAAGGACCTGACTGAGAACCCCGAGCCCACCTGGCGGGCGATGGAGAAGATCTACAAGGAAGGCAAGGTCAAGGCGATCGGAGTTTCCAACTGGACCATCGAGGGGCTCGAGAAGCTGCTCAAGTACGCCGAGGTCAAGCCTCACGTCAACCAGATCGAGATCCACCCCTTCCTGCCCAACGAGGAGCTGGTCAAGTACTGCTTCGACCACGACATCCTGCCCGAGGCCTACTCCCCCTTGGGCTCGCAGAACCAGGTGCCCACGACGGGCGAGCGCGTCAGCGAGAACAAGACCCTGAACGAGATCGCCCAGAAGGGCAACAACACGTTGGCGCAGGTGCTGATCGCCTGGGGTATCCGCCGCGGCTACGTCGTCCTGCCCAAGAGCTCCAACCCCGCCCGCATCGAGTCCAACTTCAAGAGCATCGAGCTGTCCGACGAGGACTTCGAGGCGGTCAACAAGGTCGCCGAGGGCCGTCACTTCCGCTTCGTCAACATGAAGGATACCTTCGGCTACGACGTGTGGCCCCAGGAGACGGCCAAGAACCTGTCTGCTTAAGCGGGTTCCTGGCACGGAAGAAGAGACCAAGCGTTTAATGATTTATGCGGGACATAAAAAAATGACGGAATGAGATAATCTTCTTATCAGCTAGACGATACAGAATTATGACCTTTTGTTGGAAGATTTTGGGCCAGAATTTAATTATTGTAACCCGTAGAGTAAAGCATTGTAATTCACCCCTTCAATAGTCAACCCAGCAAGACAACGCAACAGCCCCCAAACAAACCATCAAATTCCCCAAGCTTGTAACGAATTAGTCAAGACAACTAACTAATCCCCTCCCTGCCCCCCCGTTAGAAAACTAAAACACTCACCACCCACCAATAACCTTGAAAACACGAGGTAGCAACCTAAAGTCCACAAGAGCACAAAGTCCAGGAACAGCAATGCAATGCGACATCCGACACACACGCACACACACCGCGCCGAAAGCAAAAAAAGACCCAAACCGCTCGAAGCTCGGAGGACAGTCCTCCACGCAGAGGAGCAAAAAAAAAAAAAAAAAAAAAAAACCACTAACCTCTGCGGGATGACGTCGGTTTGCTGTCAATCACCGACCACCTCAAAAAGAAAACCCAAAAAAAAGAGAAAAAAAAAAAGGTTGTGTAATGTGTAACTTAATGTGTAACCAGCCAGTAAACTTAGTACCTTACCAGGATTGGATTATTACTCGTGACGGATTGTGAAGAAAATCTGCTTGGGGTGGTGCTTGGTGGGTTAAGCCTTTCTGCTTGATATTTGAGTCTAAAGTGGTTATTGTAGCAGGGGACGGAAGTAGCGAGTAAAGCAGAGCAAAGCAGCCACCTACAGCAACAGCACCAGCACCAGCACCAGCAAGCAACTGAACGTCAACGTCAACGTCAACCCCCGATCGAGAGGAGGGGGTGTTGAAAGCCCCTCACTAAACCCAACCCAGCCTAGCACCCCATCTCCCCGAACGGGACTAGTTTACATCTACCGGAGCATCCCGGAAAATCCCGGGAAACAACACCTGGCAACCAACCCTCCTCCTCCCGGCCCGGTGGACAAATCCGGCAAAGCCCTAACCACCACCTCTGCATTCAACTTAGCACTGCCTGGGCTCCTGAACTCCTGGCCAAAAAAAAGTGGATCCCCCGCCCTGCGCCAGGTGCGGCTGCCCTAACCCTATCAATTTCCCTTGGGTTTCGGTGGCTTGCAGTTCGGCATTCCAATTAGACCTAAACCAGGGGAACAACACAAAAAAGGGGGCCCGGGGGGAGGGGGCAGGGGGGCCAGGGAAATTAGTGACGTGGAAGATGTAATGGACTGTGCATTGATTGGCATGGGTAATGCCTGGATGTGTGTTTGATTAGAATTTGTATAGTGAGGCATTGAGGCATTAAGACTTCCGTACAATCACAAAAACAAGTGGGGGGGGATGCGTTGCTTTGCTTATGATTCGTCGGGTTTGATGGATATCTATTCGAGAAATTTCAGGTACACATTTCATGCTTGTTGTTGTGTTTATTATTGCACTGGTCTGTCTCTGCCTGTTTGGTGTGCTACCTACACCGGTTCTTTTCGTCGCATTCACCAGCATTCGGAATCCGGCCCAGTATGCCCTGCACATGGTCCGATCTCGTCATCTTTCTGATGATGAGAGCCCATTCCATAGAGCCGGGATGGAGGCCGAAAACCCGGTCAACAATGAGTAAGCTAAGCGGTGATGTTTCCAATTCAACGGTCTCCATCCATTATCTCCATCCAACGAACCAAACAAAAGTCAAACCCGGGTTCTCCGAGTTTCCGACACGATATCTCAATCTCAACAACCAAACAACAACGACACCAACTGCAGTTCCCACAAACCGGTTCTTTCGCCAACGTCCACCAACATCCTACCAATCACGACAGAATTAATCTCCCGTACCCTCGATGATAATCACAAAGGAGTAACTAGTGTTGTACCCGACTGAACCCATCCGACTACTTGCGAGATCCATTTCCGTGTACAGGTAGGGTTCCAGCGAGGAGCGCAGCGGGGGTAGGAGGGAAATAACAACTGGAGATCCTCTTTTTGCGCGATTATTGTTGTTGTCTTTGCTACGTAGTACTAGGTAGATTGGAACTTCAAGAATGATTTTTTTTCTCGGCAGTTGCGCTTAACTCCATGTATCGGGTTGATTGTTTCTCTGCTGCTGTTCAACTGTAGGGGATGTTTATGTCAACCGTGCTGGAATATAGTCGTAGACGGAAAGGTGGTTGATGCCAACCCCATCCGAAGTAGTAACTATACTTCCTTCCTTGCCTGGCGTAGGTAATAACTCAGGCCCTACCGGGCGACAGTCCTCCCGCCCCGTTACCAAGTGCCTTGATACTGGTAGCATATCTCCAGGTTTTCACGCAGATCTCGAGAAAGAGAGAGAGAGAGAGAGAGCTGCATGCACGTAGCCTTACAATCCAGCCCCCCCTTACTTCGTGGCTTGACACCCGCAGGAGGGACCGCTGGTCCAATTCGGACATCTCATTAAAGTTAAGGTGTGCTGTAGCCTGTAAGTCGGTAAGTCAGTAGCGAGCTTCAGCGGTGGTCTGACTCATGCTGGAAACGCAAATGACGACCAAGGCAATGCGACATATGTACATGTTCATGTACATGTATGTCTGGAAAGGGTTGCAGCAGCCGTGCAGAGGATTGTATCATCGTGCAGGATGTGTCGCGTGCGGGTGTTCTGCTTTCTGCTCTCCGTCTGAGGCTCTGTTGGACTTCGGGTTTGGTGGTTGGGTTGAGGGTGAGGGTCTGCAGCTCATTCCAGTCGACTATATTTCTGGTTTCGTCTGTACGAACCGCGTACGTATCCACGGATATACATGCTATCGTTCTCAGTAGTATGCGCGCTGATGAATCGGCGGATCTCAGAGCATTCAGTCCGTCCTGCTTTCAGCTAAAGAGTTCGTGTCTTGGCCAGATTGTCTGGAAGCTCAGCCTCTTGTCCCCTCGTTTCTTCTTCCTTTCCTCTCTTGTTATTTCAATTTACAGCTTCTGTGCGCTTTAGTTTACGAACCTCAAAGACATGGATTGGTCTCGACTCCGAGCAGTGATCTGGGCAAGAAGTACAGTACTACACCCACAAGCCAAACAGGGGAGGACGAACCTTGACCGTAGAATCTTTCCAGTCTGGTTTGTAGATATTATTTCATCCCTGCGACACGTCGTAGTACAGAGCTACAGGGGGATATATTAGTTTTTGACTCCTAAGCCATACTAACGACCATTGAATGACGCTCGACGAGATGGCAAGGTAGACAGGCAGACGTTCATGAAGAAGAAGGATAGTATCAAATCTTGATGTTTGCGAGGATCAGCTCATGTTTGGCACAATAGCCTTATATACTATGCTATGGTAGCTACGTTGAAATTATGTGAAGGCCAAGTCAACCAACAAAATCATAAGTTTGTGTAGAGATATGAGCTAAAATTGGATAATGTCTGCTACTTAGTCCTTCGTGGGAGTTCGAAAGAAGATCTATCAGATACTGTATCTTACTACCCCTGATAAGGATGAAACTCATTCCTTGAAAAAATGACTCTTCATAGCAACTTGGTGTCGATGCTCGTCTCCCGATACACAGGGCCAGCTATATGGACGGGAAATTATATACAGCGGATATCCCACGACAGCATCTTCGAGGGCAAGACATGCGGCCTGTGAATAGAAAGCATCAGATACCCTATATTCCTATCTCCTATCAAGCTCCGCGACTTATCAATCAAAAGGCATAAACTTGACATTTGAGAAGTGCACGTTGCATAAGAGCTTGCATCCTCAGCGAGGGTCACACGACCAAGTAACTGTACCCGGGATGCGAAACATATCTGTGCCTGAGGCACCAGATCCACTTCCCGAGGCATAACTCAAGGCTCTAGTTGCGAGTGCATCCGCACAGGATAGATAAGACAAACTCAACACATGCACTCAACCGAAAAGATCAGCAGTATGTGATATTGAGTACCCGAATGACCGAGATAACAGCCCAAACGCCTATCCTATGCATCCAGTAAGAAAACCCACGCCATCCATGCTAGTATGTACAAATAATCAAACAATAACACTCTACCCCCTCCGCCTCCACGGCCCTCACGAGCGTGAGCGAATCCGTCTGGCAACCGGCGTCGATCCCGCATTGACCTTCAGCAGACTCGTCTTCGTGCTACTGCTGCGGAGTGATGTCTTGCTGCTGCGGCTCGTCATGCTGGCAGTGGCACTGCTCCCTTTGGACGGGGTCTCGAGCGTCTTTCTGGGGGACTTGGGGATCAACTTCTTGCGTTGACCGAGGGGACTATCGTTGCCGGAAGATGCAGACGACGAGCTGGGAGACGAGGTGGGAGCAGCAACAGCAACAGCAACAGCGACAGCAGTAGCGACAGCCGTGGTTTCGGGCCCGGACGCTCCGCGCACGCGCCGCGCCCGCGGCGTTGCAGTAGCGGGTGCAGTAGTCGCTGCATCGGGGCCCGTCTCACCACCAGTCTTCTGCTCCGTCTGCGACCGAGTCGTGCGGCCACTGGCTGCCTTTCTTTTCACATCGGAGGGTTTGTCCGTGCTGCGCTGATGCGTTACCCCACGGCACACACCAGCGACGTCATGTTTGTGATCGGTCGCGCTGGCGTCTTCCCCTTCGAACTCCACGAGTCGGTTATTATTCCAGGACACATGCTTCTTGGCCTTTGAATCTTCTCGGGCCACCGGAGCAGGACTGGCTTTGTCGTCACCGATCGGGGTGGTGTAGCTTTTGTGAATTTGGAGAACATGCAGTGTCTGCTTCGGCATGGTGGAGCTGCCTTTGTTGAACCGCGTGTTGCGTTTCGTGGCCAGAGCGAGCTCTTGGGCCTCGGTCCGCTGGAGGAAGACGAATTCGTTGCCCTTGGCACGGCGGAGAGCGAAGGTGCTGCGCACTGCAGCCGCCACGGTAGAGGGGCGTACTGGCGGGGCACGCGCACGTGTGCTACGACGCGGGCTGCCGGCCTCTTGATTCTCGTTCTCGAGAGACTTGGTGGGTGATACTTGCTGCGGTTTCTGCGGCGAGGGCGAGTTGGCATCGAGGTCCTCTAACGCGCGCCGCGACGGCGGAGTCGGCATTTCGACCGGTGAAGCTTCCTGTATCTTCTTGGCTTCATCCTCCTTTTCAACCAGCCCGGCCTTCTTTGCGACCATCTCCACGACCTCAGCAGCTTCTATCTCGGCAGCAGCCTCGGTCTCAGCAGCAGCGGCAGCAGCCTTGGCGTCACGCTTGGCCTGGGCCTTGGAGAGGAAGTTGCTCAGTAGTTCGGCGTCTTCTCCGCCCAACGAGCTGCGCAAAGCCGACCGCACAATAGTCGACTCCTGCTCGACTGTAATATCGGGGACGATAGCAGGGACCTCCGGATTCGAGTCCAGCTTTGTCGCACTCAGCAGGACCTCCTTGATCGTAGCAGCGGCATCACCATCATCACTGTCCTCCTCCGCAGTATTTGTAGTCGGCGAATCAGTAAGAGACCCTCCGACAACCGGACTAAACACAGTAAATGGCGAAGCATGACTGATCTCGTGTCCTTTTATGTTTGTCATGTCCCCGTCCAGACCGGGGGACAAACCGTCTGTATCGCCAGGTAGCGTGCGGGGGTAGGGCGCACCGGGCACCAATTTCGTAGGGGTCTCCGGGAGGTCACCGGTCGCTAATTCGTCCGGCTCGCTGATAACAAGGTTCTCGTGCATCGACGTGGACGCGTCTCGCTCGTCGCTGGTACTCTCGATACGGTCATGTGGCTGAAGAAGACTGTCCGTCGCCATCGGTTCATCGGGAAGGTCCACAAACTCGCTGTAAACCAGTGGCAGCTTGCCTGATCATCGTTAATTCCTCCGTGAAACATGACGTCTTCCGCATCGCCAAGGGAGCAGAAGCATATAATAGCCCCCAAAGCCCAAGGTTTAGAACGAAAGGGAAACTTACGTCGTCGCCCCTTGGAATCAGACTCCCACTGTGTTTCCAGGAATGACCTCCCTCGTGAGTTTCCGCTGGCAAGGTCATCCGGGTCCAGCGCGAAGCATCTCCGCTTGACTCCGCGGACGAGTCCCAGATTCCTCGTGCTGTTGATCTCGAGCTGGAGCTCCTCGTCGATCGCGTGCCGCTCGCCGACGGTGATCTGCTGCAGAGCTTTCATGCTGTTGAACGAGGAGCGGAAGCGCTTCCAGACTTTGCGCGACCGGCCGCGTGCGCGAAACGACGTGGATGGTTTGCGGTCCCAGACGTGCGGAGCTGAGTGGGTGAGGGTCTTGGTCGGGGTGAATCCGAATTTCGTGTTTTGAGGGAGCTTAAGGTGTGGGGGGCTATTCAAGGTCGCATGTTAGACATCTGGTAGCGATGGGGTTTGACCAGGGTGATAATGAAGTCCAAGGTGAGAGGAAGGAGGGGATGCGAGAAAGGGGCCCAGGCCGGAGTGAGTGAGCCAGTGTTGGCCTGTCTTGGATCGACATTGCAACTCTCATCGAGGGGAGCTGCTAAGCCTGACACGAAGAAGATAAGTGTTTCTCCACGTACCATAACGGTTGGAATGTGACGGACGGACAGACAAAGTCCTCCATCTTGATGGTCGCGACCGAGTTGGAATGTGCGGCGTGTTTTGACGTCAAGGAGCGGGTAGAAGGAGCGATACGACGGTGGATAACGGGGGTAGAAGATACACCACTATTATACTGATTAATGCGAGACGTCTGAGTCGCGTCAGTTGTCGGGATGCGATAGCAATAAATAAATGGCGCGATTGTCTGAGAGCAGAGTTTCAGAGCAGAGCTGGACTGCGATGGAAATGGATAAGTTATTGGTTGGACCGGGGCGGGCGAGCCACCGGGCTGTTTTGGCGGTGATCGCGTTGCTGGGCCAACCAGCCTACAGTCCATTCACTGCACCAGAAAGCACTTCAACCTAGACAACCTAGACTCTACAAACGCCGAGGTACTCTGCTCCTAGTGCAGCCCTGTCCAGATTTCAAGCCACAAAATCGAGGTGAAGAATACCGAATGCTATTCTATGATTGGCTAAATGCAAATCAAGCTTGTAAACGTGTAATCATCGCGATTCCATCAAAAATTCCGCCCCGCTCAGAACAAGAAGATCACCTAACACCCAGAACTCCAGTCTCCACGCTGTTCATTGGCTTCGATGCAATAAAAGTTTCGCAAATAGACCATCTCCCCCGTCTAGGGCCCTTGCTCCATGTCTCTCTCATCGAACGGATCACCAAACTCCGCTGCAAAAGCTATGCATCAGTATCACGTTCAAAACCGCAGACCCCATTGATCCCGTAGAAATTCCGGCCAGATGTATTGGAACGTACCCAAGCTGAAGTCTTGATCGATGACGAATTCCATTGCTCGCTGGTATTCCTCCTCCGCCCGCTTGTTCATCCACGACGCCACCGGGGCGGACTGCTGGTCGCCCTGGGCGAGAAGACCCTGGGCTGCCAACGGCGAGGCGATCGGTCCCCCGGGACCGTGAGACTTCCCGGGGCCCTCGAAGGCGCTGCTCTGAGTCTGCGAGCCGGGCGGGGACAGTTCAGAGCCATCAAACTGAGGAATGTGGGTGGGCAGCTTGTTGGTCGGGGTGCGGGTGCCGGGGTTGGAGTCATCGGAGGCCAAGGGGGAGGACTCTGGCGAAGAGGCCATCTGGGAATCGCCGTCTCGGTCTGCAAAGACAGTCAGCATGCAGCAGCAGCAGCAGCAGCAGCAGCAAGAGTTGGCAAATTCAAGATGCTCGAGCTGGGAAGCGGGGCCCAGCCAGCAGCCCCCGCGTGAGGCGGAGGCTCGAGATGGGAACTGACCGAGGTTCATGGTGATTTCTGTGGTGTGGCTCGCGGGGAATTCGTATCGTAGTCTGGTTTACGCTCGGTAGAGATTAGAGAGCGTAAGGGAGTTGGAATAAGGAGCGCGAGTGGTGGGTGGTTGTCGGAGGTCGTCTTCGTAGTATGAGTAGGTAGTGACGATGGAGGACGATAGTGCGGGCGGGCTCCGGGGACTATTGGAGGATCTTAGTTAAGCAATCCTTCCTTTTCCACCTCAGCATTATTGCTGTTCTCCTCTCCTCCTCTTTGAGTCTGCTCCTCTTTCCCCTCTTTCTAAGCCAACCCTCAGCTCCTTTTCTACTTATATATTCGTACATCAGTGTACCAACAGCAAACCTCGTGTCAACCCACCTCACATCCTCGAATCACCATTCCCCACACCGCTACAGCAATCCATTGCCCCAAATCGCTTTCAGTCCGCCCTCCACCGAACAACGATATCCTGCCATGAGCGCAAAGTCCTCAACAGGCCCCGATGCATGGGCGGAAAATTGGGAAGAACAGGCCGATGTACGTCTAGATCCTATCTTCGAACTCTACGCCCATATTGCTGTCTCCCCCATTGCAGGGACCCCCCTCTCCTCCACACTTTCAGATCGTTGACATTTTTCAAAAATTTTCCCCAGAAACTCGTGGCCGACACCACCACCCCACCCCCGCCGGCGGAAAAGAAGGTCTCCTCCAAAGTGACCAAAGCGCAGCGCAGAGCCCAACAGGCTGAGTTTAATCGCCAATTATGGGCGGAAGCGTAAGCCCTCCCCCATCTCCGCGAAAAACAAAAAATCATAATCTCGCCGTCCTAACATGCTCTTCTTTTTCTTGTTCCGCCATGTGCAGTGAATCTCCTCAGACATTCCATTTCCTTGAAGCCCGCTCCGATGTGCCCCTACGGCAAGAATTCAAACCCGCAGTCACAGTACTCAGTCGGAATCCCCAGATCGCGACGCGCGGTTCAGGGTTGAACGGAACCACGGCGGGAATGTCCCGTCTGGGGCTGAATGATGACGACTCGGAGGATGACGGCAGGGCTGCTCTGCCCTCCGCCGAGGAACGCCAAGCGATGGCGCTGCGTAATCTGGAGGACAGGCAGCGCAAATACGAAGAGGTGCGAGAGCGCTTGTTCGGCAGTTCTTCCGCCCCCACGTCGGGGGCGTCGTCCCCACGCAGTGCCACGCCTCCGACGAAACCGTACGAGGGACGCGGCAAAGGCAGAGGTCGCGGGAATGGACGGGACAACAGCTCCAACAGCAGCAAACGCGACTCTTCCACGGCGTCCGGGAAATCCGGGCAGTTGTATGACCCGGACTCTCCTCGCACGAACCCCGGCTACAATTCTCGGAGAGAGAAACAGCCCGCAGGTCGGACTAATACCGACGGTACCCAGTCACCCCGACAGCCAATCCGCAGCCCCCGGGGACCCGATAGCAGTGGTCGAGGTGGTTTCCGAGGTGGTTTCCGAGGCGGTCGAGGTGGTTAAACTACGTGCACTATCTATGATACGGCACACAACCCCCCCGCCCGAATAGGGCAAAATACAATCGAATCGTCAGCCATGCGACGCCAGGTCCCAGCCACAAAGATCTTTATTAGGTCGATTAGCATACGAAGAGATCTACCGCATATCATGGAAGCCCTCGCCCAGAATTAATCGCGTTGGCCAACTGTGATGTGTTGGGCCGGTTTTCTGGAAGTGTCAGCAGATAATCAGCTCGGACAGGGCACGAATACCTACCCGCGTATCGCTCATAACTATCCAGATAAAGGTCATCATCGCTGGTGGTCGCCGCGACGTGGGGATCTTTCTCGATCGCGTCAACCCACGCGCCCCATCGGCTACCCGCTTCTGGCTCTGGCCAGCCGCGATACGGCTCCAGCACGCGTCGGAGCCGGATGATCCACGGCGCAATCTGTACGTCGACGAAGGAGAGCTTGTCGCCCAGGAAGAACGGACCCTCAGCATGGGCCGCGCCAATCAGAGTATTGAACGAGTCGCGGAGTTCTTCTGCATGCGAGATCTGTTTCTCTTGATCCTGTGCTTGGAGAATGCGGTAGAAGGTGGGCACAATGTGGCGGTTTACCTGTCTTGGTTAGGTGGAATGGTCTCATTTTGGACTTTTGCACATACATAATCAGCCCACAGTCGACAATGTGCTCGCAGTTTTGGGTCCCCGGGGGGCAGCAGCGGAGGGCCGGCGTTCAAGTCTTCTAACTAGAGGCGTGTCAGAAAGGGCCGGCGGGGTCTGAAGCCGATCACTTACGTATTCGAGCAGGACGGTGCTCTCGTGCGAACTCCAGTCCCCGTGGCGCAAGGCAGGAACTAGGCCCCTGGGATTGACTTCAAGCAGGGATTTGGGCTTCTTGTAAGGGTCGACTTCAATATACTGGTACGGGATGCCCTTGAACTGCAAAGCGATCCATACACGCTGGACAAAGGGACTGCAGAAGATGGTCAGCAACATGAGCCGGCGGGTTACAGCGAACCGCCTCACCAAAAGCAACTACCAAACAATTTCAGATCGTTGTCTGCCGAGTGATCTGCAACGGTCTCGGCCGCGAGTCCGGTAGCTTTGGTGTGGTACGACTTCTGTGGTTGGTTCTGGGTAGACATGGTTCGCGTCTGTAGACGGTCGGCGTTAGAACGGAGATATGCTGCTGGAGCGTGTACAATTGGCGGTTGAGTTTGAGCGATCAGACCCTTCCACAAACAAGGACTCGTCTGCCAAAGAGATCGAAGGAACATAGCGCAAGAAGAAAAAACGATGGAGGAAAAAGAAGAGAAGGGGGAAGCGGGGAAACGCGTGCGGTGGGCATCTTCATCCCGCCGTACCTGTGACGTAACCCCCATCAACACCACCGCCCACCGACAGTAGTAGAACATAGAGAACTAAATCGATGGAAAGGGCGTCTTGGAGCTTACCGGGACAGCCTTCTTCCTTTCTTGCCTCGCCTCCTTCAACAGAAACCGCTGCACACTATTCTTCTTCACGCGATCACTCTCTTCCAGCGTATGCCGATGCCCCCCACCAACCCCATCATTCTTCCCGTTCGCCCCATTCCCATTCACCCGCTGGATGGTAAAGAACCGCTGCCCCTGCAAACCAGGATGCCCCTCGGGCAACAGCACATTCAGATTCGGCGTGAGCATCCCGAATTGATGATTATAGTTAAAACCGGAGACTCCCTCCATCCGCCCACCAGCCGTAGCAGTAGCAGCAGGCGAACCGTTCCCCTCCCCAACCGACAAACCCTTGCCTTCTTCCCCCTCCCCCACCCGCCCATCACTCTCCCCCACCCCCGTCCCCGATTGCGGAAAATACTCCGTGATCTTGATCTTGACATCGCACAGATCCCGCTCGCGGGCCGTGCGCTTCCGCTTCTTCTTGTTGGGGTCGGTGGACTTGGGCGTGCCCGGCGGGCGGCCCTTGAGCCGGCAGTCCCAGTAGTGCGAGACGAGAGGCTTGCGCTTGTAGTGCTGCGTCGAGCGGTGGGAGTAGACGTTGTCGATGTGCGGGAAGTAGGTGAGGAACCTGCTCGCCGCCGGTTTGGGGGGATTTAGTTTGTAGATTTGGCGTTCGATTGGTTGATGCGCGGAGAAGAGGAGGGTGTGAAAGGGGGTCATGAATGGATGGGGGAAAAACGCACTGTTCCTCACTAAGGATGATCATTTCATCCACATCGAAGAGGCGCGTGCGCCAGAGGTCGAGGTCGGGTGGATTGAGGATGGTGCGGATGTCGAGGGGCTGGCATTGCGTGTGGAGTTGGGATTGTGGTTGTGGTTGGAGCGGAGTCGAGGTGGAGGGTCCGGCGGGGGAGGGGTGGGGATCACCGGCTGGGGTAAAGGACTGACGGTGCGTGGTATGCTGGTGGTGGTTGGGATGGAAGTTTGGGTTGGGAGAGGTGAATTGGTGTTGTTGTTGTTGTTGTTGTTGTTGTTGATGATGCTGTGGATGTTGTGATGCAGCTAGGGTGGATGCGTCTGCGGCGACAGAGGGAAGGGAGGGTGCGAGGTAGGTTGGATGTGGAGTGGAATGTTGTAGATCACCGGACGAGATGCAGAGGGAATTTTCCATAATGATAAAGCAGCCAGCTCGTATGTTATACTGTATAGATAGTGGATGCGATCTAGATGGATGGACAGGCGAAGAACGCTGCTTTAATCGGGGCGGGGAGGAAAAGAGGCTGGGGTTTGAAGCGGCGGGCGGTGAGTGGAGCACTGGCCCCGCTTCTTTATTGGTGTCGATCCCGCCTTTAAGTTGTGCCGAACCACCAACTCATACATCCGTAAATAATTCTGGCATTCCGCGGCCCAACCGCGAAGATCAGAAGAGTAGGGAACATCTCCTCCTCCGGGAACAGATACGGGTAGGACGACTTCAGATCTTCCTTGTCATATTCATCGGCATCCATCAGCTCTTCCTGCTCCGCCTCGGTATTGATCTCCAACTGGAATGCACGGCTGCGCATCGCCGACACTAGCGCAACCGGCTCCCCGTGGAGCAGCGCGTTATCACGGCCTACCTTAGGCTGATAGGCAAGCAGGGTGCGGTGCGGGAAGACCTGGTCTTCGTGGTCATCGGGCTCGACAGAAGACTTGACCGTCCAGCGAGTGCGGTCCGCGTAATAGCCTACGTCGTGGGGGTCGAGGAAGAATGGATCCGGTAGGCTGAGGTACCGCATTAAGGAAAGGCTAGTGTTGTGTTTTGTGTTTGAGCTTCTATGTACATCGTGATGATGACAAAACCTCTGGGTGAGAGCTACTTACGACATTTCGTGCAGACCTAATTGAGCGAGCACACGGATGCCCCACGCGAAGTCGTAGATAAAGTCGCAGCATAGGAGCGTGTGGTCTTCGATATGGATCTCCTCTGGGCGATGGGGAAGGTCGGGGAATCGTCGGGAGATGGGTAAGGTTTCGGCACGAATCTGTCTGATGATGCCGACCTGGGGCTGAACAGGGAGCTCAGGAAGGGGGCTCGAGGATGATCATGATGGGTCCAGTAATCGCTCGAAATCGTACAGCGTGGTGTGGCGGATGTCACTGTCTTCTTGGAGGTTCACGTGTCCATCTCCCGGGATGGCGGGCTGAATGTCGAGGAGCCGTTTGAGGAGCTTGTCCAGTTGTTGTGCGCTGATTGCAGACGCGGGGTCGGCGAGAGGAGGCCATTGTAATGTTCAAGGGAGGACTGGCGAGCTATCGATAGATGTTAGAGAGAAATGGGAAGAAGGAGGCCAATAGAAGAGAATGAAACATGAAATGTGAGATGACCATTCTGACTTCAACACGGATCTACTATGGTAAATCAAGCGATCATGTATTGTGCCTGGGGTTGGCTATACTACCATGGTTTGGTCGTGTGGGGTCGAATTAAGCATTTGATACTGACTTGCTATCCTTAGAGAGAACATCCCTAATCCACACAAAAATAAAAGCAAAAAAAGGGGGGGGAAAAAGAAAAAACTAAACAAGTTTGATGGATAGTGCAGACTAATGCATTCATCGCAGATTCAAGTATTCAAGTTGGTCTAGTAGAATTCACAGTCATGATCAATATACAATTTTCCTTCTCGTGCCTTCGCATTGCCCAACCCCATCACTTTGGTTTTGTATCTAGGGCTATGCACGTGAGCACCGAAGACATTGTTGAGGATGAGACTAAATCAGCCTAAAAGAGTCACAAGAATCAAGGCAACTCATTTGGGGTAGTGGGGCTTGATTTGAATTGTCTTGGATCAAACTTGCCCGGAACAGCAGGCCTGCTGGAAAGCATTGAGATGACTGCGCGTGACTGCGTGTAAGGCAAAGGAACAGATCCAACTTATGTAGCTACTAGACTAAATGAAGATGAAAGCCCTCGCTGAAGTCGTTATTTCTCAAACCTCTGCCCGTACTCTTCATTCGTGTGTTTATCAGTTGCCGGTATTTGGGCCCCGAGACTATCTCATCTGCCAATTGCGGACTCAAATCAATAAATGAATCCTCTTAAAAAATTGTTGGCGCGTGGGCATCGCACCAGATACGATCTACACCCATCCATCTATCTCAGCCCCGATTCATGTTGAATTTCATTGCCGCGAGATCAACCATCCAATGATCTCTATCATAGAGCACAGAACAATTGACTCACCCTTAGTTGTAATGCGTCAAGGAGCTCAATCTCGCCACCTCAACACTCAACTCGTGTAGACTCTTCACATTGAAGTCGGCCTTGTCAAGGTCAGCCCCAAGTCCCTGGATATCCAGGTCCGAAACTCCATCTCGATGAGCGAGCCCACCCCGTTCTCCCGCACCGAGCGTGACGGGTCAATCTCATCTTCGGCGATGCTCAGAATTGAGGACAGCTTTCTCCGGATCCCCACCAGCGCCATCTCTACGGCGGCTTCCTCGCTCTGGGCTGTGGCCAGTAGAGTCTGCACATCATGTTGCTTGGTCGAACCTGTCGGCACCCCGGTCGGGGACACGTGATCTCGCAGGTTCATGAACAGTGGATATTGCAGATGGGGCGGAAGGGGGATACACCGTTGCTCGTACGCGGATCTTGTGGCTAATCCGCAGACGAGTTGGCAGGTTTGCGGGGTTCGCTTCAATCGTGGGTCTAGCGCGTGGTCAATGATGGCCAACATCTGGTCCTCGCGGTGCACGGTAACAGCCCGGAAGCTGTGACGTAGAGACTCTCGATGCTCGGCAGTGAACCCCACCGAGTCGACGGCGCCGAGGTCGATGCTCACGCCCGGGAGACCCTGAGACACACGCAGCCGGGCTATTGCATTTTGAAAGGTGTTTCCGGCGTTGTAGTTCGCCTGGCCGCGATTGCCAACCACGCCTGCCACCGAAGAGAGCATAACAAAGAATTGAAGATTGTCAGATGAGAGAAGTTGGTGAAGGTTCCAGGACCCCTGCACTTTGGCCTTGAGAGGCTCCTGCCATTGACGGTGGCTCATTTCCCCGAACGCACTGTCCGCCAAAGCCAATGCGCAGATGATGCATCCCCGAATCGAAGCGCCGTTCGGACCTCGGATGCCTTGGAGAACAGCCTTGGTTCTCTGCGCGTTCGCAATATCACAGCAGATCACTTGGACCTGGCAGCCCTTGGCCTCCAAGGTAGATACCGCGGTCTGCCCAGCGGCGTGCAGTTGGGGAGTCCGATTGAGGAAGACTAAATGCCTCGCTCCTCGCATAACCATCCAATGGGCGATACTGCGGCCGATTCCCCCCATTCCACCCGCCAGAATGTAGGCAGCACTCGGGTCAAGAGAATACGCCGCTCGGGAATCAAGAGCGCAAGGAATCTCGTCAGTCTGCTTCGGCACGCAGACGATCTTGCCCATATTCTGGCCAGTTTGGAGAGATCGTAAGGCGGACTGTATCTGCCCGTAGGGCACGAACGTCGCCGGCTCCGGTGGATGAATCCGTTCGGGCCCTGAGCGTCGAGGCCACCTACCATATCACTTTCTCCGGCGTGTAGACTCTGGGTAGCCAAGTGAAAAGCAACCATTGAGCTGGAACACGCAGTCTCTACGGTCAGACTGGGACCCTTGAAGTCATAGAACCAGCTCACTCGACCTGAGATCATGGAGCTTTCAGCCCCTGTGGGCTGATATTTTAAAGCTATATCTGGATCGGTGCTCAGTCGATCACGATGATCGTGATTAAAGCCAGCCGCAAAGACAGAAGTGTTGGACGACACGAACTTGCTCATCGGGAGCCCGGCTAGAATTCAGTTAGTAAGAAGTCAGCATAATAGTGAAATACCGCATTCCATACGCACCATTCTCAAGTGCATGGTAGACATTTTCCATAACGAGCCGTTGCTGGGGATCGAGACTTTCAGCCTCGGTTTTGCTGATCGAGAAGAAGGCAGCATCAAAGGCATTGGGATTCTCAGAGAGAAACTGTGCCTGTCGAGTATGGGTCTATTCAATACTAAGATTAGGTAATCGCCTATAAGTTAAGGCTGGCATTCAGGCTCTATCAGTGTGCCCACCGTTCCAGCATGTTCAGGATCTGGGTGATAAAATCCCTCGTGATTCAGTCTGTCTTTTGGGTAGCTCGTTGTAGCTTCTCGAGCTTCAAGAAGGAACTTCCAGAATCGATTGACATCTGTCGCTTCCTGAGCGTATTTGGCTGCCAAACCAATGATTGCGAGGGGTTTCGACTGCTTGGTCGTCAGTGTCTCCATATTCGGGTGGGTTGTGGGGTAATAATGACTGTGCAGCTTCAGGAGGATGACTAGATAAGAGCGAACTATGTGCCGGATGTCGGTTTACAATGCGAGAAGATAGAAGTTGGATCATGGGAGGTTTCCATGGCCAATGACCTAGTGTTCCCGGAGTGTAAGATAGGTCCGGGCCGGAGCGCTACTTGACTCAGGTCAGCACAATGCGGTCACACAACGTTTAGCACAATCGCATCGGGACCATTTGATGGCATCTGTATGCTTGCCTCTCGCATAAACCTCTCGTGGGCGAAACCTTCACCTTCATCTTGAGCAGTGAGCTCTACCCTGTCGGTAGCGTGTCGCCTTTCTTCTCTGATCCGAGAAATTTGATGAAACTAGTAGGAATTAGTGAGAAGTCATTGATACTTAAGGATGGTTTGTTGACTTCGTATCATGCAAGCAAGTCCTCCCCTCGTCGACCAAGGTAGAGAACTTCGAAAAAGATCTTAAAGGCCAGAAAGAATATGGATGTTGAGATGATAGATAGAGGGAACGATGGTTGAGATGATGAAGAATATGGAGCGGGAGTGATTGGAGACTTAAGTGTCTGAAGGTCAGGTCAAATGAGAGTCAGCTCCGTCCCTGCAGCAATCGTAGCCTCAGGCTGCAACGTCCCGAGTACGTAGCTACACTATTGGATTTGCACTATATACCAAAAACAAATGGATAAGTTGACACAATTATTCCAGTTACCTCGAACTTAAAAGTTAAAACTGGATACCGTTCGATTTGTCCAGACCGAACAGGGGTAAAGAGCTTCATATACAAACTTGAATCGTAGATAAATACATATACATCATAAATCACAGAACGCCTTGTGCCAGGTCTTGGCTATGCAGAAAGCAATGTGCAACAACCATAATTCAGGGAAGCACGGTGACCAGACTCGGCGCTTCTAGAATTGACACGGAGCTTCTCGGACCAAAGGTTGAGCCTATGGCTCCTCCACCGGCAACTTTGCATTCGCCGCATTTTGCTCCTCGGCAATCACATCAGCGGGGATCTGGTCGGGCGTGGTGTTGACTAGCATGATCATGGGTATCAAGGCAGCGCCGAGGAGGCCGAACGTCACGCAGCTGGAAGAGATCAGTCAATACTCGAGCCGCTGAGAGAAGATGGACCGCGAGAATGAAGAAAAGGAATTTTACGTACAAGCCAACAAGCGGACTACTCGACGTCTGAGTGTTCATGCCATAAGCGATGGCTTGGCCAACAGCCTCAACACACCGAAATGCTGCGCCGTTGCGGACGTTTTCTAAAAGCGTGTTAGTAAACTCGACCTATATTCTGAAAGGGTATAGCAGATGAAATCACCTTGCGCATCCGTTGCAAAGGATGAGAGCAGCCAGTACATATACGACTGGGACAGGGGGCCCGTCGTCTGCACGAAGAAGTAGGGTAGGAAGGCCGTGGCGTACAGGCCATCGTTCCAGTCGATGTTACCGGGGTCGTGACGGTCAAATTTCACCTGCATGATGATAGACCAGATGTACACGCCGATGTTGAGGATGACGACGGTGTAGAGACCAATCTGGGCGCGGCGGCGCTGGCTCATGCCCTTCATATCGAGGATGAAGCCGAGACCGAAGCAGCCAATACTAGAAATATTGTTAGATTTTGCATGGTGTGATAAGATTATCGAGGTGTGGAAGACGTACATGCAGAAGAAAGGTGAAATCAGGGAGGAGAGGGAGCGGGCGCGGACGGAGAAGTAGTCGGCCAGATAGGTGCTCCAAGATCCTCTATTATCACGGTTAGGCTCTGGTCGGTTGGCTCGATTGGTGTGGTCAAGAGTGTTGCTTACGAGTAGAAGAACGACCACAAAGCCCAGAGGGCGGAAAGCATGATGAGCTTGGAGGTAATGGTCTTAGCGATGCGTCGAAGTTCCATTCGACTGGAGAGCGTCTCTGCTGTCACAATTCTAGTGCCATCGGAGCGGACAACGTGTTCGAAGGGAATGATCAACAGAGCGAATGGTAGGCTTCGAGCGTGTGTTAGCTTCAACCTTGCAAGTAGATTAGAGTGGCCGAGAACTCACGCAATGCACTCAATGATCACAAACGCAATGAAAGTGTCAGGGGTCACCCCACCCTCCGCTCCATCCTTACTATTCTTCGCCAAGCTGTGCAGATAACCTCCAGTCAGAACTCAATCACCAGTAAATTGAGAATGTGGGTAATAACTCACTTGATCGCCCCTCCGACCAACTGTCCCAAGTTCCTCGACACAATCCACAACGCTAGATACTTTCCTCGGGCGCCAGACGGCGCCAAGGTCATGATGGCGCCAGCCTCGGCGACATACCAGCAAGCAGTGCCGATGCCGCCGATAGCACCGCTTAGGATGAGATACCATTGGTTTCCGAACTTGCTATTGCAGTAGTATGCTGAGCCCTGAATGGGGAAGGACAAGGAACCGATGACAAGGGCCCATTTGACGCCGATTTTGTTGACAATGGGACCGCCCAGGAAGCAGACTGCAAGGTTGCGGATCCTCTCGTTAGCGTACTCGGCATTCCTTGCTGGAGAGAAAGTTTAACTTGAGAGGAGAAACATACCGACTGCAAGCATGGCATATCTGATTGCATTGGAGATGTTAGACACCTGGGGACTTGCAAGACCACCACCACCCAGGCCTGAGAGGGATTAGCTGCGCATTCTATGACACATCAGGATGTCATCGAGGAGCTCTAACCAGTGATTGCGTCCGACATAGCAGGTCCACAGAACGCTTGCACGCTCAGTAGAATCATCTGCGTCAAGCTGTGACACCAGACTCGCTTCCACCATGGGAGAAGGGGCTCGCTGGTCCCTACCACGGCAGTGGAAGGAGGATCCTCATGGGTATCTGGAATGACGGCTTTTGAGTCGGTCATTGTGATCGGGTAACTGTACGACTCCTACCGCCTGTATAGTATCGCTCGAAGGAAAGGAGATCTTGGAGGAAAGGAGGCAGAAACCCGAGGCATGGAGGGCAATTTAAGGTCCTGTTGGTAGGACATCTCGGCTATACGAGATAGCATATTCGCCTCTTACCGTGTCGATAGACCCGACAAGAGATTAGGCTTATCGTGGGAACCTCTCGCCGGCGAGATAGCGACAGTGGGTCGCCTTCCCCATGGGGTGAGTCTTGAGCATGGGAAGGTCCACGCGCAGAAGAAGAGTCTAGCAGTCTAGCAGTCTAGCTCCCTGCTTGGCTCCTCAATAGCGATTGGTGGCTTTATCGTGATAAGTTGGAGCAGTTGGAGGTTCTTGGCAAGACTTATCGCTTATCGTGCCTCATGACTGATAAAAGAGCGGGGATTCCCTCCATCTGGCCGGCGAGGGGGGTCGGAAGGTCCACGCGATGGCATCCAGAGAGATAAAGTGATTAAGACATGCTGTATATGCACTGGTTTGATTCTGGAACCTTAAGATTTGTTGATGTAATTAACTTTATGTCAACCTTGATTGTTGGGTTGGGTCACGGGTCGTATCTAAGTGCCTGAGGCTGTTGTGCCTTGTTTGTTGCCTGGCTTGAAAGGCACCCAACTAACATTGTATGGGCCTCGGGATATGACTCTTCAGCGAAGAGCTAGTGAGACCAGGGGGTCTATGACCGTAAGTTATAGAAGCGCATACGAGGAATGTCATATATGCTAGCCCGGTGTCTGAAGTCGAAACTCAAATCATCCGATTATAGGACAAATGAGAGTGGCTGCTGTAATAGGGTAGACAGGAGTTCATACGAAAACTGCCTCGGTTGAAACATTTGTTCTCTGTGTCGGAATGGGCAACTGGCAGTAGAGTGAGCATATGCGGTAATAGTGGCAGTGCATGTAGAAATGATAGTGAAAGTGATCATCCACTCTTAAGTGAAAGACAACAGCCCACCAGTCAGTATAGGAACAGAGCTTTATAGTGCATGAGGGAAGAATGATTGTTGACGATGATCCCGTGCAAGGCTTAGGCAGAAATATAGCTGGAGAGATACCATGGAAAAAGATTGTGAGCAAGAATGATCTGGTTGAAGGAGGGTAGTCAGCCCGAAAATCCCTTCAGAGTCTCGCAGCTTAGTCTCCCTAGAATCCTTGAAGGGGATCATCTTCAAGAAACCCACTTGCCACAGCGGTGCAGGTCACTACTGGAACGGATTCTGCGACATTAGTCTGAAGATAAACCAAGAAAGCCGGCAGCAAGAGCAAACGCCTTCCGCTGCATGAGAGGCTGTTAATTATAGCAAAGGGATGCGTGATTGAATTGATACGTTGACAGCTGACGCATTGGGCCAAAGAACAGATGTGCTATTATCCGGGAACCAAAGAAAATAAAGGAGAAGAAAGAACTAGCGGTATCCAAAGGATGATATTTATCGGATGTGAGCTCCGCCTCTGGTGAGAACCATAGTTGAGGTAGCCAGGGATAGTGCTTGAGTAGGCTCTCCCGAGGCCGTCATCCTCAGTTGTTCCACGCCAATGCATTCTCCGCGCTTAAAACCTTAGCTGGCTCCGATGAATAAAAATTCCGCGTCACTTTAGCCCTAGTACTCGATTCTGAGCTTGAATGAGTCACATAACCTGCCATGGCAACATGCCCTGCGCAGAGATTTCCGAAGGCCATCGGGCCCCCTGCGGGTATCTGGAATGGAAAAGTGTTGGTTCGGTCATTGCCGCAGGCCATCGCACGGTAACCATTCCATCGATCTCATAATCTCATGCACAGCGTTTGCCTGTCTGACGCGGTCTGTGCTGTACCTTTTGGCTTGAGTGAACGGCCTGTAATGGAGCACATCGACGCCTCTCATGATGACACCACCACGGCAACAATGTGTATTTGTCTGAATCGCATGGTGCTCATAGGTAGCTCGTCTGCTTAGCCTGCATTGTTGTGTGCTGTTATATGTCCGAGCCTTCCCGCAACAAACAGCATGTTCGAAGGTCGCATTGAGGTATCGATCCGACGCGCGGTTGGAATAGCTTGTCCGTCATATGTGCCACCTCAATCCCGTATCTTGGATCTTCCTAACTTGGAAAGCTACAGACTCACGGTGGAACTGTACTCAAAAACAAGCTGGATATGGCGTGCCTGAAACGTGGAGATATGCGAATGACTCATACTGAAGTGCCAACAGGTGGACTTTTCCTATCAGCTGATACAATAACATGTCAGCGCAGTCACTGGTTTAGAGTTCTAGCTTGATATAAAAAGGCTCCTTCCAATCGAGAACGAGCAGATGCCCAAGTCTTCTCCTTCCGACTATGACCGAAGGAAACCATGCCTACAAACGGCGATTGATCATCAACTTTCCCGGCGCTTCATCACCCATGCAAACCCTCATAAGAACCGCTATCAAGCATAAATTAAGCATACGAATCCCAAGCCTATTGTTCCACAGGGAAGATAAGTTCATAGAAACCGCGACAACATCTCACGAGAGAATGCCCTTGCTGAGGTCAGACATGAAACCCGAGCAGGTCGAGGATTGTGTCGAGCAGCAAGCGTCGTTGCAGAGGGACCACCGGGACCTGTCCGACGCCGCCGATAGGGTCTTCGGCTTTGGCAACTGGAGTGAAGAGCTCTATCCTCCGGAGTGGCTCGAATACGAGGACAATGAGACCGATCCTTCGGTGACGGTGAGAGTTTTTGTCAAGGTCCGAGTCTGGGTTACATCCCCACAATATCCATGCTGTCGCGACGAGATCAGTACTACGACATGCACCTACACTATACCTGCGGACGACACAAGGACACGGGCTGAGGTCCGGCATTGGCTCCAAATGGTCGCTCTGGAGACGGCAGTTTTGCGAGGTAAATGTGGTGCCTTGAGGCTCTTTGAGTCCATACTCCTTGATGGCCCCGAAGAGCTATGAGCTTGGAAAAGGGAACGGAGGTATGTCAATCTCCTGCCACTATGTCTTCGTTTCCTACCCATGTGGTTGCCAGTGCTGTTCAGGGCGCTGACGATGTCTTTGTAGGCTGGAAAGAATAATCCACGCCGACGAGGGTGGAACTGATAGCTATTGCTTACTAGCTTTGAACCATACCGCCATTTATCTCGATGATTGTGGCTCGATATTCCGCCTTCAACGGTGGTTTGTTTCTATATTACCTTCCTCCCCCCCGAGTTTCTTCAACAAGGCACAATTGCATATTGTACAACATGGGACACATTCTTTACTGGGATGTTGCATGGAAGATGGGCGTTCATTAGAAGGTCTCAATATTTTATCATTAATCCGGTTTCTCTAGCCTCTATTGAGGTAGTTAGCAAGATGTGCTATTACTATTAGTCGGTCGCTCGACCAACTCCCAACTCACTGTGCTCTATTGCTGAATCATGGTTGGAAAAAGCCATAGTAAGAAGTATAGAGTTGTAGTGTGATATTGTATTCCATAAGTCTTGTTTACTATCACGGTGTCATGAGCTTCTGGAGACCATCGATTTTCTATGGGAGGAAGTTTGTGGGCGACGAAGAGACTATTCTGTCGTTCGGAGGGGTTACATATGTCCTCCGTCCAAGTCCAAAGAGCCGGAAGAAGGCTACCGCAAACTCAGCAGCATCTGTTCCGGATTCTCAACCAGCTCCCGCACTCTGTTAGCCATACGCGCCATAGTCGCGCCATCCACCACCCGATGATCGGCACTCCAGCTGAAATTGACGAGCTCGCCTTTCGTGACCTGGCCTGCGTCGTCGAAGACAGGCAGAGTCCTGACCTTTCCAATGCCCATGATTGCCACCTCGGTCGGAACTAGCACTGGGGCAACATAAGTGCCTCCGATATTCCCAATGTTAGAGACGGTGATAGTCCCGCCGTTGAGATCCGCCGGTGTGATCTTACCCTCCCTGCCCAAGGCACTAAGTCGAGTTATCTCCGATGCCACATCCAAGATAGAGCGATTGGCGACATCCTTGATGTTGGGTACAATCAGCCCTTGGGGAGTGTCCATTGCAATGCCGATATTATGCTTCGAGCGCATGATGAGCTGTGGCTTCTCTGGATTGGTCGCGTCAACCCTTGCGTTAAGTAGGGGGTACTCGTTGAGAGCAAGAGACACGGCCTTCACAACAAACGACAGGAAGGTGACTTTCCGTGGGTCCTTTGAATCAGCGGCAAGTTTCCTTCGCATGGAATTGACAGCGTTGATGTTGAGCTCATCAGCGAACAGGAGATGGGGGATTGTGAGAGAGCGAGTCATCGTCTTGAACATCTGCGACTGAATGGGCGTTAATTTGACTACCGTTTCAGCTTGTGGCTCTTCGAGCACCGTAGACTTTGCAGCGACCCCAGAGTCTCGCCTCACAGCGAACCGCTGTACATCCTCTTTCAGAACCCGGCCATCCTTGCCTGTCCCTTGTACATCTTCGATGTTGACATTCAGTGTCTTCAGCAGCCCTCGGACTGCGGGGGTGGCGAGCGTTGCATAGGGTGATTTTAACGTGCTAGTGTTGACCTGTGATTGTATGGGCTGAGAGGCTTGCTGAGGTTGGGCCAGTGTGGGTTGCGAGATTGCTGGCTCCGGAGCTATTGTGATCGGTTCGGAGATGGGCTTAGGCGGGGGAGTTTCGGCGGGGTATTTCCCATCTTCGACCTCGATATCGCAGAGAGCCTGCGCAGAATTATTTAGTACGCTGGTTTATGAGTGTCCGTCTGTAGCATACCTTGCCTGTGGGGACGGTATCGTCGGCTTGAAAATGGAGCTTCTTGACCACGCCTTCGTATCTTGACGTGATCTACAAAAATCAGTATGAGGTCAACATGAGGGTCGGGAATTCAATTAACTCACATCGTCAACTGCCTTATCAGATTGGTATTGACAGAGTGGCTTCCATTCCTCGATACGCGCCCCTTCCTCGACGTACCATTGGATGATCTGGACCTCCGTTATCCCTGCGGAGACGTTGGTAAACAATCGATTCGGGTTGGGTTGCACAACCACGTCTGGAAATTTTCAAGTGAAATGATTAGGGTGCTCATACCCTCGCCGACATCCTTCAGTACTTGTGACTTCACTCCCCACAAGGGCGCAGCTCTGTGAAATTGCCGGCGAGGATTGGTAAGTGTTTTGGTCGGAAGGGCCCACGACCGTTGACCAGAGCGAAGAGCCCAGGAAAAGCTTCCACTGCACCGTAGCACGTTCATAATAATCTAAACTCAGTCCACACACTGGAAGAAAGAAGATGGGTTACAGAAAGAGAAACCCAGGCAGCTTCCCCGCTGCATGGTGGGTGATGGGGGAGTAAGTAAACGCGGGCTCCGCCGACGATAACCGACGCTCGGCGTCATTGCACGTGACCCTTCTCCGCATCTCCGCATTCTCTCCGGGCCGTGCGTTTTTCCGCTGGAGTATGCATAGTTGAGGGAGTGATCGAGATGGATCAACCGGTAGAGTACCATTGACGGTTCATGAATTTTGCGGGATGGACTCACGCCTGATCTTATAAGAGAGTTGTTCCGGTGCATGACATACCCGTGCGTTAGTCAGTGACATGGTCATATCTCACCCGACGGATCTCTTCTATTTCCTTCCCTCATTACCTCTCCAGCGGATTAACCTACCCAGTTTCATGCCAATGACATGCCTAGCCAGACTGATATGTGACTATCATGGTCACCTGGAATATGCTCACAGAAAAGGCTATTTCCAAGACCATTCAAATGAGCCTCATGATTCTACTCGAGGATGAGTCCCTGGACCCATGTTTTCCCCACCACGGTCCGTGCTTTATATATCAGTGGAGCACGATTGCGAATCAGCCTTCCGCGATTCTATGTCGATCATTATCATGGCAACACCTCACTTGTCAGAAAGATGTGATACTCTAGAGCCAGCGACACCAACCGAATGTTTGATAGAGCGCTGCTGACCCTTGGCATCCCTGAGGTTTCTGGGTGTGGTGGATCGAGTCTTACCTTCCATTGGCGCCGAGCCCTTCATTTGCTTTGCTGCTTCAGCTGGGGGATCTCCTTCAGCGCTAGCGACTGCCAATGATAAGCTGCGCCCCAATCGTTGTTTCGAAAGACTGATGCCTACCGGTAGGCTATTTCTTTGACTCGCCCACAGCTTCAGCCCTATCCGAAAGTTTCTTGACCTAGGTCTCAGTTGCAAAAATTTTTCCCTTTGTGTCCTAGATCTTTCGCCTTCATCTACATTGATTGGGGGCAATCTATCCTTCATCCCGAGCCACTCTTATGCACAAGTGAACGCTACAAGATGGTTGCCGAACACCTCACCATCCGCAACGTTACATCGACACCAATCCGGCTCAAGCGCATTGAGCGGTTCCGCGCGCCGGAGCGGTCGTTCGATGGGGTACAAACATTTGCAAGGAACTTCACCCGCGTGCTCACCAACGTGACTCGCGCCACCACGCCCGTCGCCGCCATCCACGACGACACGACACCATTCACCCACAATGAAGCTGACTTCGAGATCGCGCCCTTCCAGACCGTCCACACTGAGATCCGCGCGTTTCTGGAGTCGAAAAAGGAACGCCTGCGCTGGATCTTCGAGGTCGAGGGCGAGGAGCACCAGCTCCAGACCCCCGTGCCGACCACCGAGTCCGCCACCATGAAGCCAATGAGCGACGACCCCAAGTTCCGGCTCACGGGCGTCTTCATCACCCCGGAGTCGCACCTGACCATCTTCTCGTCTGCCCACCTCGAAGCCTGGATGCGGGAGCTCGACGGCGACGTGCTGCTCTCCTCGCTCTCCATCCCGGGCACGCACAACTCGCCGACCTGCCATGTTGCGGCGCCCTCGGTGCGCTGCCAGGCGGTCAGTCCGCGCGAGCAGCTGCGCAACGGGGTACGGTTCTTCGATATCCGCGTCCAACCGCAGTATCCGGACGACGCAGACCGCGACGAGCTGATCCTCGTGCACAGCGTGTTCCCCATCTCCCTGACTGGCAGCAAGTACTTCCGGGACCTGATGCGCGAGGTCGAGGAGTTCCTGTCCGAACACCCGTCGGAGGCGGTGATCATCTCCCTCAAGCGCGAGGGGCCCGGAACCCACACCGACGAGCAGCTCAGCCGCATCCTCAGCGACCACTACACCTCCCAAGACGGCAGCCGGTGGTACACGGCGCCCAAGATCCCGACGCTGGGCGAGGTCCGCGGCAAGGTCGTGCTGCTGCGCCGATTCAATATCCAGGACAGCCTCAAGGAGCTCCACGACGGCCACGGCTGGGGCATCGACGCCAGCGGCTGGGCCGACAACTGCGCCGACGCCACCTGCCCCAGCGGCCAGCTGTGCATCCAGGACTTCTACGAGGTCCTCCTCACCCAGAATATCGACCAGAAGATCCAGTACGTCCGCGACCAGTGCCAGCGCGCCGGCGGCACCGTGTACCCGTTCGGCGTGCTGCCGGATTCGTCTGCCACCCGTGACCATCCGTTCTATATCAATTTCCTCAGCGCCAGCAATTTCTGGAAGGTCGGCACGTGGCCCGAGAAGATTGCGGCTAAGGTCAATCCCGCCACGGTGGATTATCTGTGCAGACGGCATGGCAGCGGGGAGGATGGGGACTGGTCCACGGGCATCCTGGTCACAGACTGGGTGGGCTTGGATGGGGACTGGGATTTGGTGCGGTGTATTGTAGGGATGAATGCTCGGGTGAGGGAGAGGCGGCTGGCGCAGGTGGACGATTGGTAGGATGGGCGGGGATGTACCTGAAGTAGCAAGATTACCACATCCAACCGATAGTGGACATATAAATAGATACCATTTACTCTTATTTCGGGAGCTTCGAGCAAGCACGATCAACGTTCTTCCAGTAAAACGATATCCAAAAAGAAAGGTCATTGTATCCTAGAGCAGTAGACTCCGATCTCTAATCGATCTCATATGCTAAAATGGGTTGAGAACAAAACACAAACAAGAAAAAGTTACACATGGGTGTTATTATACACAGAAAAAAGAAAGGGAAACCTTGGACATCCCCCGCCGAAAACCACAACTGTATTCACCGCCCTGTTCAAGCGGACTCATCCTTCTTCTCCTCAGAACCCTTCTCCTCAGGACCCTTCTGCTCCTCCTCCAGGACGCTCCGACGGCTCTCCAGCGTGAAGTACAGGCTCTTACCAGCGCCCTCGAGGGTGTTGGTGATGCTGGAGCCGATGCTCTGAAGCGCCATGACCAGCTGTGACCGCAGACCGTCCATACCGCCCTCGATACTGCTGACCCACTTGGACTGCTCGACGTCCATGACCTGGCCATCCATGCGGGCGGCGATCAGCGACAACTTGCTCAGACCGTTCTGCACGGGGATCTCGTGCCAGCCCGGGTTGGCCTTGCGGGTCGGGGCGGGCAGGCCGACGACCTTGGGGGCCAGGATGGTGAGGGCGGCCTTGAGGTGCTCCGGCGAGACCTGGGGGATGGTGAGGACGGCGGTGGGGCCGACCAGGAGCGGCGCCATCTCGTGCTGGCCCTTGTGGTCGAGGACGGCGTCGTGGGCGGCGCGCGACAGGTCGTGCGTGAATAGGCTCGGGTCCAGCGGGATCTCGGCGGAGGTCTGCGTGACGGGGTCGACGGCGTCCGGCGTGGCCGCCGCAGCCGTGCTGCTGCTGCCGGGCCGGAAGTACTCGACGATGCGCAGTGCCACCTCGAAGATCCGCGTCTGCACGATCTGCACCTTGATGTGCGGCGCCAGCGCGGGCGCGTCGCGGCCCTCCGAGGCGATCTTCTCGTCCACCTTGCGCATGGCGTGGCCCAGCTCCCGGCGGATCGCCGTCCACTCCACCGACTGCAGGTTGTCGTGCTGCAGGAACACCATCAGCGGCGCCGTGCGGATCATCGAGGTATACTGGCGCAGGAGCTGCGAGCGGCGGTACTCCGGTCGGCGGTATGACGGGGGCTGCGAGGAGGGATAGTGCGCGATCGGAACGTGCGAGCGGGTCATCTGTTCGTGGGAAGCGGCCGGGGTCGTCGCCGTGCTGGCGTATCGGGCTGCAATGGCCATTTCATACTGGCAGAGTCTCTGGCGTCGGACTGGCTGGGCGAGCCGGCCGCTGGAGACACGCATCCGAGGAGGCATTGTGATGGTGGGAGGGGGTGGACGGAGGGCGTGAAGAAAGAGGAAACAAAGACGGACACAGTAGAGGGAGTAGGTCCAAGAACTAAGTGAGGATCTCCAAGTCCGGTGGAAATGACAACGCCGGCGACAATCAAAATGTCTGGGGCAGGATTGCGGACTGGCGAAAATATGGCACGAAATCTTGTTGTCCCGAAGTGGTTAGACGAAATCGGGGGCGGTGAGATTCTGCAAGTTTGCTTGTGCAGCGCCGGAGGGGACCGAATGACTCTTTCGACTTCGGTCTCTTCCATTGTCTCCTCTTATTTCAGTATATTTTCCATTTTCCACTTTGAGGGAAAGCTATAATACCTGACTAGTTATATTTTCTTCGTCGTCAGGAACAATGGCCGCTCCGCATCAAGAAACCAAGCAGGGACAGGTCTCCATCTCACCCCTCCTCAAGAGACTCGCCTACCCCGCTACAGAGGTTCAGGTCTCCGCGACCGAGATTGCTGCTGCTTTTGCGCTGATCTTCGAAGATGGGCTCTCGCAGATCCAAACTGCCGCGCTTCTAACGCTCTTGCACTCGACCGGACTCGATCGCGATGCAGAGGTGATCGCTAAATGCTCCCACCGCATGAGAGAAGCTGCTGTTCAGGTGGACAAGGCGGCTCTCAAGGCGGCTATGAAGTCCCGCGGTAAGAAGGAGGGACAGTACAGAGGTGGCCTGGTATGTCATGCTTAGTGATCCGATCGCTCCTCATAGTAGACTTATCTGACGGTTCCCCCCTCGCGAGCTATAGTGCGACATCGTCGGAACCGGTGGTGACTCTCATTCCACCTTCAACATCTCGACCACCTCCTCCATCATCGCCTCCCCCCTTCTTCTCACAGCGAAGCATGGCAACCGGGCACAGACGTCTTTCTCTGGGTCCGCCGATGTCCTGCAGGCCGTGGCACCCATTCCTCCGAAGATCGATGCCGTCACCGCCGAGAACCTGAGCAAAGTGTACGCCGCGACCAATTACTCCTTCCTGTTTGCGCCCAACTTCCACCACGGCATGCGGTACGCCGACACTGTGCGACGTGGCTTGGGCCTTCGGACGATTTTCAACCTCATGGGACCCCTGGCCAACCCTGTCGATTGGGCCATCGAAGCCCGCGTCGTCGGCGTGGCCTACCAGAGTCTGGGACCGGTCTTCGTGGAGGCCCTCCGCCAGAACGGATGCAAGAAGGCGATGGTCGTCTGCGGCGCGGAGGACCTGGATGAGATCAGCTGCGCGGGGCCGACCAACTGCTGGAGGCTGTCGGAGTACCCCAACGCCGCGTACAAGCAGCCGGAGGATGGGGATGACGAGTGCTCCTGCGACGAGGACCAGAACCCCCGCACTCTGGTCAAGATGGAAATGTTCCAGCTGCACCCGTCCGATTTTGGCCTGAAGGCCTACCCGCTAACGGAGGTGTTCGGGAAGAAGATGCCCAAGGACAATGCGGAGAAGCTCATGAGCATTCTGCGCAACGAGCTGCCCCGTGACGACCCGATCTTGAGCTTTGTGCTTCAGAACGTGGCCGCCCTTTTGGTAACGTCCGGGATCTGCGAGGCAGAGACCAGCAACATGGGTCCTGGGGACGATGGCCAGGTGATCACCGAGCGGGGACCTGGCGGCGGGCGCTGGAAGGAAGGTGTCCGCCGGGCGCGCTGGTGCATTGAGAGCGGCGCCGCTCTCCGAAGCTTCGAGCACTTCATCGAAGTGACCAACCAGCTGTGATTGACTTTTGTTATGTGAATACGTGTGTATGCGCTATATAGTTCGGTTCCTCTACGGACAAGCATTGGGAGATTGGATTATTTTGGTCGGATAGACCGGTCTGATTGGACGTTGTGAGTAGCATAGGATAGTGCAAGCATAGGGTAGCATATGACAAGATGCCGAATTGATGAGGCATATCCTAGCCACTTGGCAGGAAAAGCCTCGCTAGACATTTCCTATGCACAAGCAGTAAGCTGCTGCAGCTTGACCATAGCCACGGTGACGGCCACAGCATGCGGTCCCTTCCTGTCGAAGCTCGATCTTCGAGCCAACTTGAAGACAAAGAAGCCTGCCCAGACTACCCAACACAACCGCCCCACCACCACCACCACAACGCAAAGAGAATGAGAAAAATAAGTGGTATGAACTCCCAAACACCACAAGTGAAAATGCACATCAATCGTAATTCAAACAGCAACCCCGTTGTCCCCTCCGCTCCGCCCAGGCTCCTCCTCCCCATCTCCCTTTTCAGGTCCCGATGAATCTGCTTCTGCTTCCCTTCCCCATATCACCGACACCCCACCCAGCATCCAAAGTAACATCAACTCTCAAAGCGCCAAAATCACCTCGCCTCAAACTGCACCATTCTATAGCCAGAAAACCCACGAGTCAGCCAAAAACCATCCTTCACCCCGGAACCCCGAAGGGCAAAGACAAAACAAACCTCTTCGTCCGCTCCTTATACAGAACACGGTGTCCGCACTCTTTGCACCGGATCTGGTCGCCGCGCTTCAGCGACACCCGCGAGTTGCACTCGCCGCACAGGTAGGCGACCATGGGGCCGTCGAGGGAGCCCGCCGCGCCGCCCGCTCCGGCGTCAGCGCCGCCGAAGGCGCTCTGGGAGCCGCCGAGGTTGGAGGGGACTTGGTAGGCTTCGCGGGACATTTTGCTTTCGGAGTGTAAGATGAGGTTTTTGGTAGGGGTTATGGCGTGGATGGAGGTGGGATGGTTGCGATGGGCTGGTAGGTGGATGGCTCTGGAATTATCGCGGGAGCTTTTTTTGCGGCGCGGAAAGGATAGAAGGATCTGGAGTGGTTAGTCAGCTGATTGTTGGTTATCGGGGTGGTGGATCGGCTAGCTTTTTGGGGTAGGCGGTGGGTTGATGGTCTATATCAGTTTCCCTATAATATGGTAGGAGCAACAAAGTTTGGGCCTTATGGGCGTAGACTTGTGAATATTCCAGCATTTTTATTGCTTGGAGGAAGGCAAGAATAGTCTTTGAATAGGTTGAATGTTCAGCTATTTATTTATCTATATCCGTAGCTATGCAGATGCAGACCTGATGCAACCGTATGGAATCATATATGCAAACATCACAGGGTATATGTCGTCATCAAATGTAAGAAATCACCAACCACCACCGATCTTCCCGGCCAACTCAACCACACGAGCGGCATCCGGTGGTCCCTGGGGCTTGCCCACGTCGCTCTCAACCTCCCGATATGTAGTATAAGCCAGCTTTGAAAGAGGCACGCCCATGAAGGTAGCCCAATGGTTCAGGGCGTTATGCACCCTGGCCTCTTGTTCCGCAAGAGACAGGGGCTGTGACTGAGGGTTGACCTCACCCTCCGAGTCCGACTCGGCAGAGTAGTATGCCTCGTCCACACGAGCGAGCCATGCGCGCTGTTCATGCGGGGAGGGCTTCGGCGCCTCCCCAGAAGTCTCAGTCTGTGCGCTTGTCGCATCCCTGGCGTCTTCAATGCGGATTTGTCCTCCGCCATTGGTGCAGCCCCCGGGGCATGCCATGACTTCCACGTATGCGTAGTCCGAGCCCGATCCACCTGATGCGGCATTCCGTCCCATCGGCTGCCGTCTACTGCCTCCCATTGCCCCATTCGCTGTCCTCGCACCCGGGAGTCGCGAGACTCGAGCAGGCTTAAGTTTGCGGACAAGGTTCTGAATGTTCCTGAAACCGTAGTAACGAGCCGCCTTCATAATGGGCTGACGTTCAGGTGACATCAAAAAGTACTCCACGACGTCCGCGTTCCTTCCTCGTTGAATCTCAATCTCGCTACCTGGATTGCGTGATTGGAAGTACGTGAGGACGTGATAGAGGTAGCCTCCAGAGGTACCTGTCGTAGCATTCTGGGCAGAGTTACCCTTAGAGAAAAGGAAGTCGTTCAATACTGGGTCGGGGAATTGTGGCTGAGAGGTAGGCTTCAAAGGCAAACTGGGCAGCGAAATGCCTCTGGAAGACGCCAATGAAAGAAGCTCGCGCGTGGTGATGACGCAGTCAACGTCGCGAACTGGCGTGGTAGACTCAGCAGCGGAAGGAGACCATGCTGCATCTGTGAGTTCTTCTCTGCTGGCCTCCAGCTTCTTATCAAAGCACGGCATTATAGCCAAATGCCAAATGCGAGAAGTGGGAATTCCCAAGGACTTGCTAAGCACCGTTTTCAGAAACGTTCCGGTGAGTGCCTGGGGAGACTTGAGGCGCGACAGGTGAGGAAGGATGAAAGGATGCGTCTTTTCGGCATAACAGATCCATCCTGGACAGGCGGAAGACAAGATAGGGCGTTTCGGTGACGACGATCCAGTGGTGCCTGAGGTTGCAGCTAATGAGTCGCTGACCTCGTCCGCGGTGAGAGATAGAACGGCATCCCTCATTACATTGGTGTCGACGACCCATGTGAAACCGCTGTTCTTCGCTCCTCCAGCCCGTAAACCCTGCGGACCACTCAAGAATTGGTGAATCATGTTCTCGGCATCCTTCTCTGCTATTCCGTAGGTCGCCGCCAAGCTCGCCCTCACTTGTGGACTGACACTCGCAACGAATATCCGACTCTCGCCATCTTGAGCGTCAACGCCACTTAGCGATAGTTCGGGATATGTATCGAGGGTGTTGAGGACCTCGGCGTGTGACTGCAGCGAGATAAGCACTGCTTCGGCGGATGTGACACATCCAGAGCAGGCGAGACAGTCTGTCAAAGAAATCTGAGCCGGAGGGAGGTTCTCGGGCTCAACCTTGTCTTCTTTGGTCACTTCATAAGGATTCTATACAATTAGAAATTAGAGGCCTATCATTGGACCAAGCGGGGTGGAGGAGGAAAAGAGTTGCTCGCGCACGTACGTCTGAGTTGGATTCCTCTTTCTTTGGAAGGGTTTCGACTGGCTTAATACAGGCGACACCAGGGGAAATGAAATCGTTGAGGTCGTCTGCAGAGAGAATTGCACTCATTGTGGCAGACGCCGGAGGCCGACGCAGTAAACTGGGATTGATAGAGGGATCCGCAGCTCGTAGAGTTTCAGGTGAAAGCTTCGCGAATTGAGTCTGAAGTTACAGAAAGGCACGCAGTAAGCCTGTTGTAAGCAGAGAAAGTAAGTTATCTGGAAATTATCAGAAGTTGCTGAGAAGAGAACTCGGATTGAAAGTAATTGTGATAGAATCAATGCTTTGTCATCGTGGCGACGGAACCGCATTTGAAAGGCGGATGAGATTGAAGTGGTTGCCCCGCGATCGGCGAAGATAAGCCCACCGCCTGCCACTTTGGCCTAATCTTATCGCGTCCCTGGTTGTTCTGCCGGCCCACCAAACCCGAGGCACCAACCGTTGGAATGCGCCTTCCTTGCTGCCTAGGAGCCTGATTTTAGGAAAAATAGGACACATTCACACTGAGAAGTCTCCAATTCATTTGTCTGATCTTATTGAAGCTTCATAGAGTCCTCAGACTGCAATCCTTGAATGGCTTCGAACCTAATTACTGATTATTTCCGGCCGGTGAGCGGAAGGCGGAAGCGGCCGCAAGCAGAAGCACAACAATCGTGGCGAGGCCGAAGAGAGAAACTCAGATTGGTCGCAGAAGAAACAAACGCATTGCTCCCAAGAATTTTGTCGACACGGCCCGAGGCACCTCCTATCGGGCAAACATGTCACGGCTCCAAATATGAAGCTCTTGATCCTAGATTCAGCCCGAGGCTGACGGCCCAAGTGGAAATACTGCTCGGTGATACCTTCGATATTGCTACTAGACTGGGACCTTCTCTATACCCCTACAATCAAAACAACGCAGAGCACGTGTGTATTCTCAATATGGCCAACGCAAAAAGGCCTGGCGGAGGATGGCTTAACGGAGCCCTTGCCCAAGAAGAGGCACTCTGCTACCGGAGCAGCTTAAGCTCAACACTCAAACATCATTATTACCCTTTGCGATTCCTCGGCGCTATTTATTCTCCATCCGTCCTCATCTTCCGAGAGAGCATTAATCAGGGCCATGAGCTGATGGACCTGGCGAAGCCTGAACTTTTCCCGGTAGTGAGCGTGATTAGCGTGGCTGCTATCCAGGAACCAGAACTAGACCGCCAACACGATCCGCCGAGGTACAAGAGCCCGCGCGATCGCGAGGGAATGAAGTTGAAAATGAGATTGATTCTTCGGATCGCTGCGTATAAGAAACACCGCAGGCTTGTTCTAGGGGCTCTGGGTTGTGGCGCCTTTGGAAACCCGAACGCCGAAGTTGCTGATTGTTGGGCCGAGGTCTTGCGGGAGAAAGAGTTCCAAGGCTGGTGGGAGAAGATCGTCTTCGCGATCCTAGACGATGCGAAGACAATTGCGCAGGGTAACGGAAATTTCGATGTCTTCAGAGACAGGCTTCATGGGATAACGATGTGAGCGTTGGCGCAGCAGCAAGAAGTTTAGACCAAAGGTATAATATGTCCTGGTCGAATCTCATCTCGAGCTTGTCACATTATAGTTATATTTGACAAGGTGGCGACAATAAACAGGACAGCCCCACACATGGAATCACTTCCTCGCCCTTGTTGAGCGCCGTCTGGCTGTGGTTGTCGATTCCGACGCCTTGGATTCCTCCTCGTCTTCGGTTTTGATGGCTTTTTTGTTTCCTCTCTTGGAGCTAGCTTTTCTTGACTTAGATTCGTCTTCGCTCACTGGTGCTTCATCCTCTTTCTTCACGACTGGGTCTCTCTTTCGCTTCGAGTTGCTGCCGCTATCGCTGTCAACTTCTTTTGCCACTGGACCAGTCTTCTTCTGTACGCTGGGAACCACAGCACTTGTTCTACCGCCCACGGTGAGGAAAGTGATCTTCTCTCCGTTGGGCAGGACAGATGGGACATTCTTCTTGCCCTTACTCCATCGATGCTTGAACAACCAATGCTCCGGAAACTTTTCGGAGTCGGCTAGCAGTTCCACTGATGTCGAGCAGACATAGTGCATAGCGGTGTGGAGCTCCTTGATCTGGTCATCATTCAGGGTGTTGCTATACTGCTCTGGGTGTATCTTTGCGTGATACAAGATTTCATCACTAGAGCTAGTTTAGCCATCAAATGTACTTAGGAGCTAAAAGAACAATGAACATACCCCATCCAGTTCCCAATTCCGCTAATGTTCGCCTGATCGAGCAGAAGAGCCTTGACAGGAACCTTCTTGCTCCTCACTTTCTTTGCCAGCCACTCCTCTGTGACGGTATCTTTATCAGCAACCGGATCCGGGCCATTCTCTTTCAATGGGCTGTGCTTGCGAATCTCCTCGGCAGGACAATCGACGAGCCGTATGCGAGCAAGACGACGAGGATCCACAAAGGCCGCCTCTGTCTTCGGATCACCGTCAGTTTCCAACAAGAACTTCCAGTACTTGGGCGGCCATTCTTTGTCCTCTGGTTTGTCGGTACGATAGTAGTATGTGTCGGCATCCCGGATCTTAAGCCAGCCAGCCATGCCAAAATGCATCACCGCATGGGGCGGCGTCGACATGGTGATCCAGAAATACTTGCCCTGCTGACCGGCGCCAACGACCTTCTTTCCTTCCATTGCCTTCTGAAATTCGGCGGCAGTAGTTCCGACTTTGCCGTAGACGATATCATCATGCTGCGCAGACACTTTTGTCAGAGTCTTGCCGACCAGATGGTGGCGTATGAAGTGGACGATGCGCGAAACCTCCGCTAGCTCGGGCATTGCGGAAAGATAGGATGTATGTGAACGAATTGAGCGTGTACAAAATTTCGAACCCTCTTCATCAACACAGATAAAGCTTCAGAGACGATTTTCTGGACTGAAAGCGAATTGGATTAGTTCGACTCGGAAGGAATCCCTCGTCAGGCGAAAGCGTTGTAGCAACACGCGTCAAGGAATCACGTAGTCCCGTGATTCGAGATTGCTAACCGGTTCCGGCAGTAAGCTGCTTCTGCTAATGGTCTGGACGGCATGCGGGCCGGCCCTCATGCGCATTATTCCCACTTCATCGCTTCAGGTCCTGGCTAATCCTCAAGGATATCTGCTCCCAAGTACGCTTTGAATTACTCTCAAACTATCGTCTAGGGCGTTTTCGACTACTGAGAGTGCCTCCTCGGCTTCCGACTCAAGTTCAGCGATACTCTCTTCTCGCTGATCGACTTGCCGCCAACAGACGGGATTGCCACCCACAGCCGCCTTGACCGCATTCCCAACCTACAAAGTGGATTTATTCTGGGCCGAGAAACGTGCGTCGGACGGGGGGGCTGAGAAAGCAGAGGGTCAGAAAATGTCTCACCAAACTTCAACCGCGGCCCCTGCGTTAAGTCCCAAGTTTTGTTTCAATGAAAGGGCACTCCGAGGTATGTAGACTTCCGTCGCCACCAAAGTGTGCAATGGCACAAACAAGCGCTGACGACGGTCTCCACGGGTAACTAGAGTTTCTGCGCCTCTCACGATCGACGATAGACGACTCGATCACGCAGAATCTCAATGCATTGTATACTCCCGCGCGGGACGGTTTCGACCCCTCCTCAACGGCCGCCCGCCAGATAGACCCCACAGCGGAGCGAACAATCGATCCGGCAGCCTGCGAAGGCTTCAAGAATAAAGTGTTGTTCCCGTCATGGCAGGCGAGATCAGATGTGCTCAGTTACTGCGCTGGTGTGGCAACGAGCCCTGACCCGGAAGATCCGGACCTTCTCCTGCGGGAAGTCGAGTCGGCCAAGGACCGCGAGCGGGTGGTCGACGAAAGACTCGATCCTTACTCTGCGCGGTTCTTTCCTCGCGAACCACGCACGGAATCCCTGGCATACCTCGTCCGGTATCAAAGAAGCGTTGAAGAAATCATTCGTGCGCGGACCTGGGGTCTTGTGACGGAGCGATGCGAAAGCTCATCAGAGAGCTGGGAAGAAGCGCTGAACAAGTGGCGCGAAACCAAACGACAACCAGCGAAAGACTTGTAGAATATCAGTGGTAACAGGGTCGATGGAGTCTCGCTTGGGAGTCTTCTACTTTGGAGGGTCGGGTCGATTCCGGCCAGCACAAGCGGTCATTTGACCATGTTCGCTAGTTATGTATGTAAATGACCATGTAACAATAGCATTCAACGGCGTTCTTCACTCCTTCAACATTCTCCCATTTGGATGAACCTAGTCTAGTGAATGGACAGGCTGCCTGTCCAGGGTTGCATATGCATGCAAGCGCCGCTTCGGATAAACATTTTGACTATTACCGGGCAGCCCTCGAGGGAAGACGGGGTCGGGAAAGAACTTTGTGAATGGATAGCTTATTTGTAACGTTTTCAATAGAGATTGCTCGACTCAAAAAGCCTCGGATTATCCATTGTTGTTTGCTGTTCTTCTTGTGATTTTCTCTGTAAAAGTTCTTGTTGTAGAAACGGTCAGAGCTTATCGCTGCCTAAGCAATCGTCATTTATCGAGTCCGTCCCTCTTCTCTCGCTCTCTCTCTCTCTCTCTCTCCCCTCCCCGCGCACGACCACCGCCCAGCTTCCGTCTTCCGCACACAGTCAGTCATCTGGCAAGTCCGCAAGTCTTTGCACTGCACCTTCCACCTGTCACCCACACGCACCATGCCACAACCATTGAGCTCCAAGGATGCGGCCTTGTTCCGCCAAGTGGTCCGTCATTATGAAAACAAGCAACATAAGAAAGGTGCGTTCTGCAATAATACTCCACAATGAACACGCTTGTCACTTTCGCAAGTGGGTAGCAAGCACCCAAGTGCAAAACAGCTAACGCAATGCTCGCATCGCACAACAGGCATCAAGACCGCCGAACAAATCCTGAAGAAGAACCCCAACCATGGCGATACCTTGGCGATGAAGGCTCTGATCATGAGCAACATGGGCCAGTTGGAGGAGGCTTTCGTGCTGGCCAAGGAGGCCCTCAAAAACGACATGAGGTCGCATATCTGCTGGCACGTCTACGGGCTGCTGTACCGTGCGGAGAAGAACTACGAGGAGGCGATCAAGGCATACCGCTTTGCCCTGCGGATCGAGCCCGAGTCGCAGCCCATCCAGCGGGATCTTGCGCTCCTCCAGATGCAGATGCGGGATTACCAGGGTTACATACAGAGCCGGACGACCATGCTGCAGGCCCGCCCCGGCTTCCGACAGAACTGGACCGCCCTGGCGATCGCGCACCACCTTTCCGGCGATCTCGAGGAGGCTGAGAAGGTGCTCACGACGTACGAGGAGACGCTGAAGACCCCGCCGCCCACCTCGGACATGGAGCACTCCGAGGCTGTCCTGTACAAAAACACAATCATGGCCGAGGCCGGCAAGCTGGAGCAGGCTTTGGAGCACCTGGAGAAGTTCGGTCGCAGATGTGCCGATGTGCAGGCTGTGCTGGAAATGAAGGCGGACTACCTTTTGCGCCTGGACCGCAAGGCCGAGGCTGAGGCCGCTTACACTACTCTTCTGGAGCGGAACCCCGAGAATTCGATCTACTACGATTCTTTGATCCGGGCCAAGGGTCTTTCCAAGGACGATACCAAGGCTTTGAAGGCCTTGTATGATTCCTGGGTGGAGAAGGCTCCCCGTGGTGACGCTGCTCGCCGGATCCCTCTAGACTTCCTCGAGGGAGACGACTTCAAGCAGGCTGCCGATGCCTATCTGCAGCGCTCGCTCAAGAAGGGAGTTCCTTCGCTCTTTGCCAACATCAAGGCCCTTTATACCAACGTCGCTAAGCGGGATACTGTACAGGAGCTGGTTGAGGGTTACGTCTCGACTCCTCAGTCCAACGGTTCCGCTGAGGGTCAGGCCGACAGCGACAACACCGAATTCCTTTCTTCTTCCCACTACTTCCTCGCCCAGCACTACAACTACCACCTCAGCCGCGACTTGACCAAGGCGATGGAGCATGTCGACAAGGCTATTGAGCTGTCGCCCAAGGCCGTGGAATACCAGATGACCAAGGCGCGGATCTGGAAACACCACGGCAACCTCGAGAAGGCTGCTGAGGAGATGGAGAAGGCCCGTCTGCTAGACGAGAAGGACCGTTATATCAACTCCAAGGCTGCTAAGTATCAGCTCCGCAACAACGACAACGAGAAGGGTCTTGACAACATGAGCAAGTTCACCCGGAACGAGACTGTTGGAGGCGCTCTGGGCGATCTGCATGAGATGCAGTGTGTGTGGTTCCTGACGGAGGATGGCGAGGCCTACCTGCGCCAGAAGAAGCTCGGCCTTGCCCTCAAGCGCTTCCACGCCGTCTACAACATCTTCGACACCTGGCAAGAAGATCAGTTCGACTTCCACAGCTTCTCGCTGCGGAAGGGCATGATTCGCGCGTACGTGGACATGGTTCGTTGGGAGGACCGCCTGCGTGAGCACCCCTTCTACACCCGTGTGGCTTTCTCGGCCATCAAGTCATACCTGCTCCTGCACGACCAGCCGGATCTGGCCCACGGACCTATCGCTACGAACGGTGTCGGAGAGGATGAGAACGAGCGCAAGAAGGCCCTCAAGAAGGCCAAGAAGGAGCAGCAGCGCCTGGAGAAGCTGGAAGCCGAGAAGCGCGAGGCAAGAAAGGCGGCCAGCACCGGCAAGAGCGCCGACGGAGACGTCAAGAAGGAGGACCCTGATCCGCTTGGCACCAAGCTGGTCGCGACCCAGGACCCGCTCAAGGAGGCGATGAAGTTCCTGACTCCCTTGCTGGAGCTCAGTCCCAAGAGCATCGAGGCTCAGACTCTCGGATTCGAGGTTTATCTCAGAAGAGGTATGTCCACCGCCTTGCGATTTGCTTATATCACCCCTGCTAATTTCATCCTCGATTAGGTAAATACGCGCTCGCTCTCAAGTGCTTGACTGCCGCCCACTCGATCGACGCCGCCAACCCCACTCTCCACGTTCAAATCCTCCGACTCCGCAAAGCTCTGGACAACCTGTCCGAGCCCCTTCCTGCTGAGGTGGCCGAGGCCGTCAACGCCGAATTCGAGGCCTTGCTCCCGAAATCCACGAACCTGGACGAGTGGAACGAGTCCTTCATTTCCACCCACAAGGACAGTGTCCCTCAAGTCCAGGCCGGTCTCACCAGCCGGCAGCTCCTGAAGCCCGACACCAAGTCGCAATGTGAACAGGAGCTTACCGCCACCCTTGACTCGAACGACATCACCATCGACACCGCCCTCACCGGCCTGGAATTGCTGACCGCGTGGGGCAGCGACCAGGCTGCCAAGACCGCCTACGCTCAGAAGGCCAGCAGCAAGTGGCCCGAGTCGTCGGTGTTCCGTCTGGAGTAAGGGTGAAGTGAAATGAAAAAATCGAAAATGCTTTGAGTTTGGATGGGTAGAACACTATAACACGATACCCGGCTCAAACAGCCGGGGCTTGTTGTGTGTCATCTCTTAAGAACTGGATATCTGTCTCCTTTTTGTTTCTGGTGATTAGCCTGGGTATAGCTATTGCAGTCGCGTGTTTGAAGTATACCTTGTATTCATGGTATGGGAACCCGTAGAACAATGAGGGGGAAGTGGCAATTGTAGCTAGACGTTATAAAAGAGCTTTCATTCTTAAGGTGTGTATGACTAGTCTGATTGTTTGATTTGTCAAAGTAGCTTACCTGCTCCAGCTGCATTTTCCAGACTACCAATTCATGTGGAGTGGTTACTCGAGCCGGTATTTGAGAACTGACCACATTAGAAGCGGAGAGCCCATCCTCTGATATTTTTTAGACCTCGCAAAGGAATACACTATATTCACACAACAGGAAGCATGCACAATCAAAACACCTCTAGATTGGAATAATATACACCTCTAAGACGACCAGCAACGCAAAGAAGATAGAAATACAAACCAGAGCAGCGACGGTTCCGTTTCCCATGCATAAAACCAAAACCAAAAAAAGATAAAACAAATGACATGTCATATCAACAAGGCCGATAGCCCAAGATGGAGGGTGGTTGGGCTGGGGCTACCCGATCATCATCCACAGAAATAGCATCTATATACTGGTTTCCCTCGTCTCGCCTCGCCTTCTATCCCAGGTCAAAAAGAAAATCTAGAACTGATATAGGGATCCCTTTTGCGTCAAAGAAAGAGCTCTTATACATGCAGAAAGAACAGACTTCTACTCTACTCGCCATCCTCATTGTCGAGGTTCCCCAGAATCGGCCTCCGGCGGAGGGTGGCCTCGTCCTCGCCGTAGCCGTACTTCACCCATAGGCGCTGCCACACGGGCACCGGGGCGGGCCGCTCCTCGCCGCGGATGTATTCCTCGCCCGTGGCGATGCGGGTCGCCCGAGCTTCTTCCTCGGGGGAGACGGTGTACCGGTGCATGCGGGACGCGAGGCGCGGGTCCAGCACGATGGGGTCGAGCCATTCGCGCTCCTTGTCGGGGTTGGTCTCGTCCGTGCGGTGCACGGATTTGTGCCAGTCGCGTTCGGCGGCCGCGAGGACGGTTTCTTGTTCGGGGATGGGGTCGGTTGTAGGGATGGGTTCGGAGGAGTCTGTTGTGGAGGTGGGGGTGGTTTCGGTGTAGGGGCGACTGGAGGAGGCGAGGACGAGGGCCGCGACGTCGCGGCCGACCTCGTCGGCTAGGTGGCGCCGGTTTAGGTAGCGGTAGATACGGATCGGGGTGTTGAGGAAGCCCAGGAGGTGCGGGAAGGTGATGGGGACGGAGCCGTCGAGGGTGGCGGGGAGGGTCGGCGGGAGGGGTTGGAGGTCGTAGGCGCTGGTCGGGAGGTAGGTTGGGGTCGGGCCGGTGGGTTTCTTCTTCTTCTCTTCTTCTTGCTTCTTCTCTTCGGTGGGTGTGTCTTCTTGCTTCTCGGGGGTTTCGGGGGCACCGTCTTCGGGCACGGGGGAGGAGGGTGGTTGGGGTTCGTCTTCGGTGGGTGCAGGGGGAGGCGGGTCGAGAGGGCCGAGCCAGCCCTCGTGCAGACCCCGAATGTACTCCTTCCAGGTGTGTCGGCCGATCACCAGGTCGCCCTTGGGGCCCGGTTCGTCCGTGATGCCCAGGTGCGTGCGCGTGTCGTAGACTACGCCCTCGACGCTGGGCTCCTCGACGACGGAGCTGGGCTCGCCCGCGCGGCGTCGCGTCTTGCGGATCTGCTCGGCCAGGCCCGCGCGCACCTCGCCCTCGCGGCGGCCCTCGATGACCTGGTAGTCGACCGCCGCCGCGACGAGGATCGGCTTGACGTATTCCTTGAAGTGGTCGCGCGCGACCCGGAGCCCGTCTCCGGGCGGCGCGGCCAGGAAGACGGTGATCTTGCGGCGCATCTGCTCCACGGGCAGCGTCTCCTTGGACAGGTGCGCCACCAGGTCACACCATTTCTGCTGGGCGCGGCGTTTCTCTCGACGGTCGTAGATCAGGGCCGCGGTGAAGGAGCCGGTGATGGTCCAGAAGATCATCCAGTTCCGGGAGGGGAGGCGGAATTTGATGTTCGGGAGGCCTGGCAGTCCGTTTATTAGTTTGTGGAGGTTGCATACAAAGAGCTTATGGAGAAGGTGCGAGTGCCATACCCATCATCCTAAAGGCAGGGTTGCCAGGCTTCGAGGCGGGCTTCGAGGCCGCGGGCTGAGCCGGGGCTGCAGTCTCCGCAGGTTTGGGGTTGGAGGAGTCTGCCATGATGGTCGAAATTGTCGACTGTCCGGAATGATCCTCGGAATGTACTGGACGGATGAGTGAACACAAGGGAAGATCAACTTCCTCGTAATTAGGTGGTGATTCCCGAGGTCAAGAATCTACTACTACTATGGCGGAGGACCGAAAAAGTTCGGGGATGGACGCTACAGCTCCGTCGGATTCACGTTGATCCGTCCGGGGGCGAGAGTATACCATAACTTACTCATGTTTGTATGTACCAATGTACACATTCATAGTGCTCGGTAAACAATGATATTCTTAATTTTAGGTAGCTATAACTTTCATAGCTGATTCAATTACTGGACAGCCTCATTATTGGTTGCAACCATCTGATAGATATCCTCCATTTACCTTTGCGAGCATAAGAGACGCCTTCCGGTGATGTACTAGTAGTACTGTATAGTCCTATAGTCCCGTGATCGGAAGGGCCCTGGAAGGCAGAAACAATCAATCCCTGATGGAGACTAAGACTAATTACTGGGTGATCGGAGGATCAGAGTCTTCGCCTGATAGGGATAGTGAAACCACGCAACTGGAGACCCTGCCATGCCGTAGCGAGGGAGTCTGGCCTCTTTATGTCTTGGTGATTGATGGATACTCTCCAGATTGTTTCAGATCGATCCAGTCCGTTTTGGGATGTTGTGGTTACTTGCAAGCCTCGATGCTGTTTGTTGTGTCTGGCTTGCTCTGGGAATGTCAAAGATAAAAGATAATGTGACATGTCTGTTCGACAACAGACGGAAATGTTTCATCTCTTCCACGTTATCAATCATGAAACACCAATATCATGGACAGTGTCAAAAGGCAAGATTTGCCTCCTGAGACTGTACAGTACTGTACTGTAGAGTAACTAACAGCCACCGCTCCTCTCCCGCCCGCCCCTTAAAGTTGTTTTCCTCCCCTTCCACTCTTCCACCCTTTCCCTTAACCGCCCCTCCGTCTCTCTCCTCTTTAGTCTAGCCCAAACCAAAACTCCACTTGAACTTCCACCACATCTTCCACATTCTTGACTCCTCTAATCCTCTTACTCCCCCCCCACCCCCCTCCCTCCCCTCCTTCTCCCCTCCCCCTTGGCTTTCTGCTTATCGTTCGTTTCTTTTCTTTTCTCCCCTTTCCTTCTCCTTCTCCTTCTCCCCCATCAACTTAACTTCTCTCCCCGCCCATTCTCTGTCAATCACGGCTATCCAGCCTCGGGGAGGATAGTTCTGCTCATCATGGATCCCAACAACAATCGTCTCCACCTGAATTTCGGGTACAATGATCGCTCCTTCAACAACCCGGCTGCCAACAATCGCGCTTATCCCACCACCCCCTCCGCATTCCCTCAGCCCATCTATCAGAACCAGGGTGGTCAGGAATATGCCGATGCTCAGAACGGTGCCTATGGCCAGGGTTATTTCATGGCCAACCCCTACCAAGCCCAGGGGGCCTACTCCCAGCAGCAGCAGCAGCAACAGCAGCAGCAACAACAACAGCAACAACACTACGGCCAGAACCTGCAGTCTTCTCAAGCCGCATACGGGTCCCGCATGGGCTACAACGCCAATGATGGGACGAATGGTCTGATCCAGCAGTTCTCCAACCAGGACCTGAACTCCCCGCGGTCGGGTTTCTTTGGTCGCGCAGCCTCTCCCGCTCAACGACCCCGGACCGCTGGCTCCCCCGCCGCCGCACAACAGCAACCCGGCCATCTGGCCCCTCCCATGCCACGCAGCCCTCGGACCCCCGCCGAGAACGAAGAGCTCCAGCGCTACCCGGAACGATACTCGGAAAACGTTCACAAGCGTGGTAAGGCGGCCAAGGAATTGGTCAGTGTGTTTTTCAATGAGAACATTGAGCGCGCGCGTGACCGCAACTTGCGGTGAGTATTCGTCTGATATTAGTCGAACTCTGTGAAACGGGCAATGCTGACTTTGATTCCTTTCTCCAGGTCTGCTGAGCTCGATAAGATGATTCGTGACCCTGGTGTTCCCAAGGATTCGAAGCGCAAGGAGGCGGAAGTGCTTGCGAAGAAGGAGTCGACGTTCTTGCGGTTCTTGCGTACCAAGGAGACGCCACAAAACTTCCAGACCATCAAGGTCATCGGAAAGGGTGCGTTCGGAGAGGTAAAGCTGGTGCAACGGAAGACCGATGGCAAGATCTACGCGCTTAAGTCGTTGATTAAGACCGAGATGTTCAAGAAGGACCAGCTGGCCCACGTCCGTGCCGAGAGAGATATCCTGGCCGACTCCAAGGACAACCCGTGGTTGGTCAAGCTGCACGCTTCCTTCCAGGACTCGGCTTATCTCTACCTGCTGATGGAGTTCTTGCCCGGTGGTGATTTGATGACTATGTTGATCAAGTATGAGATTTTCTCGGAGGACATCACTCGCTTCTACATGGCAGAGATTGTCATGGCTATCGAGGCTGTCCACAAGCTTGGTTTCCTTCACCGGTAGGCCGATTTATTGTGATTTGCGGAAACAACGCTAACTCCCTGCAGTGACATCAAGCCTGATAACATTCTTTTGGATCGTGGAGGTCACGTTAAGCTGACCGATTTCGGTCTCTCCACCGGCGGCAAGAAGACGCACGACAACTCATACTACCAGAACCTACTCAAGAACTCCACGTCAAAGGACAAGAACCGCAATTCGGGATACTTCAATGACGCGATCAACCTGACTGTTTCCAACCGTGGCCAGATCAACACGTGGAGAAAGTCTCGTCGCGCTATGGCCTACTCGACCGTCGGTACACCCGATTACATTGCGCCGGAGATTTTCAACGGACAGGGATACACTTACCTGTGTGATTGGTGGTCTGTTGGTGCTATCATGTTCGAGTGCTTGGTTGGCTGGCCGCCATTCTGCGCTGAGGACACGACCGACACCTACCGTAAGATTGTGAACTGGCGCGAATGTCTGTACTTCCCCGAGGAGCTTGTCCTCTCGCGGGAGTCAGAAGGTTTGATTAGAAGGTACGTTTTTTCTCGCTGCATTGTGAGGATTTCCACTGACGAGCTATAGCTTCCTGTGCGATACCGAACACCGTATTGGCAGTGAAGGCGGCCAATTCGGCGGTGCGACGCAGATCAAGAACCACCCCTTCTTCCGTGGCGTTGTTTGGGAGCAGCTGCGCAGCATCCGGGCGCCCTTCGAGCCGCGGTTGAGCTCGAACATCGACGTGTCTTATTTCCCGATCGACGAGATTCCTCAGGAGGATACCAGTGCCATCCACCGCGCCCAGGCTCGGGCCATGCCGGAAGAGCAGGAGGCGGAGATGAGCCTGCCGTTCATCGGCTACACGTACAAAGCGTTCAACGCGTTCCAGGCAAACTAAGTTATAGACGTGGATATTGCATGTTTGTTGGTGAACCCACGATAGACGTCATTGAAGAGTCCGAAAGCGGGCGGGCTTGCATTGATGGATTTTCAGTGGCGCACTCGGCATTTCGTCTCGGTATTACCACATTGTGCATCCGTTTCATCGAGCATATAGCGCATTTCATCATCTCTGTTGGTCACGACCCAGGCATATCCGTTTGATTTCATTGCATCCTTGTCGCGAGACGACTGCTCACTGCTAGCCGTGTATGTAGCTAAAAATTCGAGTGACATGTGGACTTCACGGCGACTTACTTAGACTCAGACCTAGCCTTGACTTGTGACTCAGGTAGCTGTATTCTTGGAAGTAATTGTGAGTAATGCTATTATGGCTCTGGGAATGTGGAGGATGTAGATGGAAGATCATTAGGGCCATGATAAGCTCGATACGAATCATTGTGTTGTTGCTAGTGTCTGAGTATCTGAGAAACGAGGAACCCCTGAAATAGAACGCCACCCAGAAGCTAGAAATGATACATGCATTTTGAGAGAAAAGAGAAGAAAGAAAACCTGGTCCACAAAACACCAGCATCACCCAAGTCACCCAACCCAAACGAAACAAAAAAAAAAGAAAAAGAAAAAGCTCAAGCATTCGGCTCCAGCGGCGCCAACCCCGGCACACCGGAATACCGCTCCTCGCGCTCCGTCTTGAACATAATCTGCACCCAGAACTCTTTACTGTCCTCATCAAACCAGGTCCAATACCGCCCCTCGCGCCGATCGATCTCCCGCGCCTGCAGCTTAAACGCACAGGACTGATACGGCTCCGCGGCGACGACCAGATACTGAAAACTCTTGTCCGGCGGCTCCTCGACCTTCTGCTCGAATGCCGACATGAACCGGACCCGGGGCGTCACGCCCGGCGTGATCTCCTGGTACTGGAGCTGGAACAGCATGCCGAGCTGCCGCGTCAGCGGGTCGCGGATCTTGGTGATCTTGTAGCCCGGCCGCCCGATCTTGATGGTCTGTTTTTTCACCTGCACGCCCATCGCCCCCGGCAGCGCCGACGGGTCCTGGTTCTTGCCCTCGCGCTGCTCGCGCGCCGCGCGCCGCGCCAGGTTCGTCTGGTGCTTGCGGCCCTGGGTGTGCGCCAGGTACGAGCCGTCGTTCTGGTGCACCGTCAGGCACAGCCGGCACTCGAATGACCCCACGTGGTTCTTGAAGAAGTACGGGTCCTTGTCCAGGTCGATCGTCTCCAGCGCCAGTTTGCGGAGCCGCTCGCGCCGGTCCGCGTTCGTCGCGCTGTGCGAGGCGACGCCGCCGCCGCCGAATTTCGAGCCTGCGCGGTTCTAGATTGGGGGATCGTTAGTGGGTGGGTTGTCGGGGATAGGGGGATAGGGGGATCGTACCTGGTAGTCCATTTTGGGACTTGCGCCTTCGGGCTCGGTTGCAGGGTGTAATGGGAGGGAGGGGGATGTGAGGGTGTTGTGGTTCAGGATATGTTGGTGTTGGAGGTGGATGGAATCATTCATCGATGGCAACTGAGGCGGTTTGGCGGAGAGGGAGCTCGGATTAGGTAAGCGGGCTGGTGGCGGTGCTAATTGGTTCGTGCTGTGGTGTGGGTCCCGCGGTATCGTCCATCAATGGATATGCATTGCACCTTCAACGACGGAGTATCTTCTTGATATTCGTGATTGAGATCGTTTTGGGTGGTACTTGAAGATAGAGTCTGTCATGGATACTCCGGCTGTTGGTCAGCGACGGTCCTATGCTGGGGATCTG